TACATCATCCAGCAGTTTACAAAACGGTGGTATCCCCAATTTTGAAGAAGGGTGACCGTTGGTGGCAGGAAATTATCGGGGCATTGCAGTTGGAGAAGCACTTGCGAAATGCTATGCGTCAGTGATCCTTAACCGCCTGGTATGTGCTGGGGAAATACTGGACCTGCGGCACCCATGCCAAGCGGGTTTCAGGCGGGGTTTTGGCACTGCTCATCCCCTCTTTGTCAAGCAACACCTGGTCAGGCGGCATCGGATCGCGGGACAACCGCCATTGATAATAATACAGTATGACTTTGAGAAGGCCTTTGATAGGGTGCCTCGCGAGCACATGTGCCTTCGGTTGCAGGAGAGGGGGATTAGCGGCCCCATGCTAGGTGCTCTGAGAAAAGCGTACGAGGAGGTGTCCATGGTGATGAAGGTAAATGAGAAAGTGGGGGGAGAGTTTGAGTCTAAGCAAGGCGTGAAGCAAGGGTGTCCCTTATCTACGGGGTTGTTTTGACTCTTCATTGAGACACTAGCTGATCTGATTGATACTCATGACCTTGTAGAAGCTGGAGTACGTAAGTATGACGCACCCCTTGTGGACAGCAAGCGCGTCTCCATACTGTTGTATGCAGACGATGTTAGTCTGCTAGCGACGTCACTAGAGCGAATGTCTGAGTTGCTACATCTTGTGGACTTGTTTTGTGAAGCTTTTGGGATGCGACCAAATGTCTCAAAGTGTGAAAGGCTTGTTTTTGCATGTGATGGCACCCAGCAATCGGAACTTAGCGAGAGATGTCAACAGTTACGGCTGTCAGGCCGGGTAGTACCTGCCAAAGATAGAGCTCGCTATCTGGGCTTGGTATATGGGCCAGAACGGCCTTTTAGTGCGTGCCGTCAGCAGTTATGTGATACAGGGCGGTCCGCTATGTTTTCCTTAAGCGCAAAGTCGGACAAAATGAAGCTGTTTGCCCCCGATGTGCGAATGCGGTGTTTTGCAACCCAAGTCCGAGCAATTCTGTTGTATGGCTGCCAGGCGTGGGGCCCTTTTGCGCTGGCAGAGGTCGTGGACAGGGTGGGAAGGCGGCGGGATAAAGCCAACCTTGCGGAGGGCATGTTTGAAGCCTGTTTGAAGGATAGCGCAGTCCAGCTGGGTTGGGGAATCTCAATGTTACGACTGTTTTCCTTCTTGGAGTGCAGTATTTGGAGCAGAATACCGCAAGAAGTCGTGGGGGTAAAGGAGCGTGTTGACTGGTTGTTGAGTAGACCTCTACCCGAAGGAGCGATGATAACGGCACTAAGAGAGCGTTTGATGAGCGGCTGGGACCATACGCGTCTGACTGTCTTGCCAGAGGAGTACCCATAAGATGGGAAGCAACCGGGAGTGCAAATGGCGAAGTATAAGCACTGGATGGGGCTGAACTTTTCGGGAGCCGCAGCCGTTATGTGGCCAACACATGCTAAGGTTTTCATTCCTCGTTTAGCACATCGTAAGCTAATGCAGTTTCGTTTATGTTGCTGGGCTTTGGAGGCAAACAGAGCACGAAGGGGCAAGTACCATGTCCCCAGGGGGCAGCGGTTTTGCCACTGTTGTGGTACTAATAGCCGAATCGAGGATGAAAAACACGTGTCGACAGTCGACGCAAATTGTGCACGATATGCACGCACTCCTGTCATTGCATTGTCAGCTATTCCAAATGGCCAATGCGGTGATATAAAGCTAACGACAACTATCTCTGTAAGGACGAACCAAAATCACAACACCAACTTAATCGCGGACCCCGGCGAAATAAAGCCTCCAATTAGATAGATAGATAGTAGATAGGCAGATCGATAGATAGATCGATAGATAGATACATATATACAGATAGATAGATAGATAAATACATACTGACTAGGAACTAAGTTGAGGCGCCGTTGATCCGCTAGATTTGGTTGGATGCTGGTGGTGAGTTGCTGAACCCAACGAATACATTCTGAAGTCGGATGGGGTGACGGATTCGGGTGCCCCTCTCGCAGGGGAGAGCAGGGAACTGCCTTGGGAAAGGGGGCCGCTGGTGAAGCTATACCACCCTGTAACAACATACATACATACATACATACATACATACATACATACATACATACATACATACATACATACATACATACATACATACATACATACATACATACATAAACTCCCGGTGTGCGGTGAACGTACGGTGGTGTGGTGTACGGACATGACGACCGATCGACAAACTCTTGCGACCCGGGAAACCGAGAAATCATGGATTTACTGCTCCCTACGTGCGTTTCGCAGCTGACTGCAGGCCAACGAAATCGACCCAGGCGCCGCATACGTTATAGCAGAGCGACACCGCGCGTCACCATGTGCACCGAATTAGCAGCAACCATCAAAGCCAGCTTAAACCCCACCGGGCCATGTCAACGCAAACAACTCGCGAGCTGACCAGGAACTAAGTTGACGCGCCGTTGATCCGCTAGATTTGGTTGGATGCTGGTGGTGAGTTGCCAAACTCAAAGAGTACACTCTGAAGTCGGATGGGGTGAATGGCTTAGGGTGCCCCTCTAGCAGGGGAGAGCAGGGAATTGCCTCGGGAAGGAGGCCACTGGTGAAGCTTAACCACCCTGTAACAACATCAACAACTAACAGAACCAGGAGATACGTTAAAACGGTTAACGCCTGAAGAACCCAGTGAAGTGCGGGTATTACATAGAGGTTATCGTTCCGTTTTGTCAGTCAGTCAGTTAGTCAGTCAGTCAGTCAGTCAGTCAGTCGGTGACACCGACTAGTCAGTCGGTGACACCGACTCGGTGTGTGCGTGTTCGCGCGCACGCGCGTGTGTGTATGTATGTGTGTATGTATATATGTGTGTGTATCTGTTACATATCGATCCGGGCCTGACGCTGGCCAGGAGCACCTAATCGTACCCCAACGGGAACGAGCACTCCGTCATTGGAGGGGCGTTATGTGTGTGTGTGTGTGTGTTACATGGTTGGGGGTGCGTGACCCCATACCTGTAAGACTACCCATACGAGCCGAAGGCCCAAGGGCAATACTACAACGCCCAAAAGCCACGGAGGAAAGGAAAACACCGCACATCAGCCCAGACTAGCGTCCAAAGGGGGTAATTGATTTTATTTTCGGTGAGCCCACATACGTTCCAACATCCTCGCCAGGCGTGCTGGTTCCCATTTCATGGCCCCCAACATGCTCTATTGATGATCGAATCCCTCTTCAGCACGAATATTATTATAGGCTGGGCATTCCAATAACACGTGTTTTTCATCCTCGATTCGGCTATTAGTACCACAACAGTGGCAAAACCGCTGCCCCCTGGGGGCATGGGGCGTTATATCGGTCAGAGTCCTAACCGTTCTCCTTTATCAACGCAAGGCGCCGTCACCTGTTAGATCTTCTAGCCAGCTACATACACCAGCTCAGATGCCAAGTAACCTCCATGATCTGTGAACGACACAAACATCTATCTGACCGGCCTTGATAACACTGGCCAGGGGCTGCTCCCCAGCCTCAACGGAAAGACTGCCTAAGCTATTTCCCGCGGACGGGGGAGGGGCGTGAGGGGCCTTTGCCAAAGGCCCTTTGGCCCCTTTGGCCCTTTGGCCCCTCCTTAGCAGCCGAGAGCCGTAGGTCCGCTAGTTCCGCTCTCCTCCCACGGGGGTGGGAGGCGCCGCACGCGCGCACGATGTAATTTTAGTTTACTAAAATTACACTGGATTCAAAGCTCCGTCATGCGAGTTTGCACACGGAGCTTGAAACACGCAGCAAGACTCCTCTCCATCCCCGGCCTGATCCGGCTCTTGGGGTGAGGTGAGGGTCCACCAAGACAGAGGAAGCTCGGAAATCCTGTGTGTTAACGATCTGAGCCGCGATGAGGGAAATGCCGAATGGTATTACACGAAGCGAGCTCCACAGTCCTCTGTGTATGTGTGTGTGTGCGTGTGTGTGTGCATATGTGTGTGTATATGTGTGTGTGTCTTTGTGCCCCAGGACATAACTCAAACGAAAACAAAGAATAGCGCATGCGGAGCCCACTACTAGCCACTATCACATGCAAACAAACGAAGGCGACAAGTAGACAGATACACAGGCAGTAAGATAGAGATACACACGCAAGAATACGGCCCTTGCTATGCATATACAGGAATGCGCGGCTTCGAGGCATCCTACGACACGACGCTGTACGACATGTAAAATCGCAGAATGTACGGCACGGAATCTCAGTCGATTGGCTAGACTGCGCCCTGCCTGCAGCAGCATGCTCTGACGTGCCTAGCAGGCCCAAACGTATCCCCAGCAATCCCCAGACAGTTCCGGTCGACAGAAACAGTCACAACTGCAGTGCTGCTCAGTACAAATCTGGGAGGGGTCTATACCATCCTACTCTGGCACACAATGGTATTGAAAACCGATCACACACTGCAGTTCGTAGAGCACCTTGTTTCCTTAAATGAAGATGTGTACCTTTCCTTGAGAATCAGGAGAAGAGCATCAGGAAGGTAAAAATCCTCCTCGAATTGCAGCTTCCGAAAACCTTGCCTTTCCCAAAACTCACATGCCCAAGGTTATCCATGAAGTGAAGATCATACCTCAAGACATGGATCTATAGGCCAGAATGCCATTTAAGCCACGCCGCGCCACGCCGCGCCACGCCGCGCCACGCCACGCCACGCCACGCCACGCCACGCCGCGCCACGCCACGCCATTGCATTGGCCCCCCCCCCCGACGACGACACCTCCCCGAGGTCACAGGACTCTTCGGCCCTCCTGCAAGTCTACCGTACAATGGATCCCCTCCAGGCCCGACCCGTGGACCACACCACTGGAAGTCCCACTTGTGCAATTCCACGTTCACGTCCTCCATCCCAGTTAAAAATAAAGCGCAAGGCCCCCAGGGGCTCTTACGAGTTTGCTGTTGTCGGCTGGTTTAGATTCAGTTTTACCACACATACCGCAATATTAATGCAAGTAATAATAGAGTCACAGATTAGGGTCCTGCGCTGGCGGGACGATCGAGCGAGCAAACCGAGTGTACCTTCTACAGCTAAATTCGACCTCATGTAAAGAGTACTAAATTGCTACTCTCCGCTCCTTTAGGTTGAGTTGGTCCCGAGCCGAATCGAACGCATGCAGTGGCACACGCGCGCCGATCATAAAAGGCGGTGCCGGCCCGCTGTGGGCATGGCTATTGTTATCAATGGGAGTTGATGTCCATCCCAAAAATGCAGTTTTTTTTTAAATTTCGAGGCTCTCGATATGTAATGTCTGTAACCATCTCGCTCTTAGCCGTCAGCACTCATAGACGAGGCAATAGAGTTCTTGTGGGACAGAAGGGCGCTGCCAGACGTAATCTCGTTCGCCGCGACACAGCCCGGCCCGCCGCCGCCACCGGCACTACAGCTGCTGCCGCCATCACAACTGCTACAGTGGCTGCCGCCACGACGACCTCCTTCCGCGGGTTCCAACCCCCCGGGTAGCTGAAACCCCTGTCCTGTATCCCCGCCGCCGCAGCGACTATTGCTGCTAATGCCGCCGTCGCCGCCGACGGTTGACACACTAACAGTACTGCGGTCGCCACCGCCGCCGCCACCGCCGACGTCACCACCGCCGCTGCCGCTGGACGGTTTAATACTCGTCGTTCCAGGCGACGACGCCTTCCAACCCGCCTCTCGCTGCACGGCTGCGCGCATTTCCCTGCCGCCGCCTCCTTTTTCGTCGTCCGTAGCAACAGCCTGTATTGCTGTTGCCTCCCCCATCGGAGACCGTCCCATTAGCTCAACAGAGCCTTCTGGAGAGAGGACAACGTAGCTCTTGTCATCCTGACCTCCGACGGCAGTCCTCAGATGTAGCTGTTGCTGCTGCTGCCGGTACCGTTGTTGCTGCTGCTCGTGCTGTTGCTGTTGCTGCAACAACCCAATCGCCGCGCTGAATGGCGCAGATCGAATCTGGCTACTGCTGCCGATACTGCTACTGCCCTTACTGGCCCGGAGACGCCCTCTGAAGGCGGCGGCACCAGATGGGCCAGATGTCACGCCACTGCTGGTCATGTTTAGCCGCGCCGCGAGGGTCTGAGCCAGGTTGGCGGTCATGTCGGCAAAGGGTATGCCACTGCTAGCAAGCGCGCAGCGCTCTTCGACCCACGGGCCGTTAGCGGATGGCGTGTTGAGCGGCGACAGTGCAAGGAGCTCCGGCCCAGGCGTCCGCTGTGCGGGGCCCCAAGATGCCACGCCGCTGCGGATCTGACTGCGGCTTCGCACGTGAAGGTCACTGTTGCTGCCGGAAAGCGTACTCCGGGAGAGTGACGGCGACGGCAATAGGTCAGTGGGCCGTACAGCGGTGGCGGCTCCGCCGCCGCTGGCTGTCACGCCGAATGGGGCCCCTTCCGATTCTTCCCATTCTGCAAGGAGGGCGGCACTGGTTGGCGGCAACCCCGAGCTGGCGGTTAAGCCACCACCACCGAAAGCGGCACCGTCGCCTCCTGTCGACCGCTTCGACTGGACAGGAAATGCAACCGCAGCCGCCGCAGCCGCCGGGGCAGCGGCACTGGCAGTTTGTGCGGCAGTAGCGGCCCTGTCAGCGGCGCCCGCAGCTGCTACAGCCAGGTCAGCGGAGGACGAGAGCCCGTAAACAGATTCCCAGAGAGGAGGGCTCCGCGCGGGGCTCCGCGGCAGAGCGCTGCTACTGCCGCTGCCGCTGCCGCTGGGGAATGGCGTTCTTTCCGCTGCATTGGGGCTGCTGGCGGAGGCGGTGGCAGCCGTGACGGAGGCGGAGGTGACGGTGGCGCTGGCAAGGCTGCCTTGAAGAGGGCCTCCCGTTTCACAGGATTCAGTAGAGGGCTGCTGCTGCTGCTTATGCTGCTGCGGTCGCCAGTAGTTCGGTGCGATGTGGCTGTTGGCTGATGGACTGACGCGAGTGACCGCCGCTGCCGCCGGCGGCGCCGCTGTCGTCATTGCGGGCTCAGGTGCGAATGCGGCTCTGTTCAGCAAATTCATTGCAGCGGTGAACGGCGCAGCCCGAATCAGTCGAGATCGCTCCGCCGCTCTGGCCATTTCATCGCTACGATCCGACGCAAGCTTCAGCAGCTGTTGCTGCCGGTTTGTGGTAGCCGTGCTGTCTTGCGCAGCCTGTACGGCTCTCTGTACGGCCAACGACATCTCAACTGCGCAGTGCGAGTTCCCGCGCCGCACGCCGCCGCGTGTCCGCTGCGCGGGCGCCAGCGGGAGGCGCGGCGGTGCAGGAACGCTCTGTTGGACTGTTGGATTGTTGCCGCGGCCAAGTCGCCACAGCAGCTCACCGGCGCCGTCGACGTCATTGCCGCCGCCAGGCTGGCGGCCATTCCGTCCCGCCATTTTCGTACAGCGATCTGTCACGTTCCGCGATTTGCGTAGGGCCTCTAGCCAGTTGAACGAAACCCCGGCAGCTGCGGCCGCCTCGGCGTCGTCGTCGCTTACGTCATCTCCGACGTCGTCGCCGACAGGGCGAACCGAAGTGATCCACCATTGGGGCTCTGAGTCAACCACCAGCGATTTCCCTTCCCTTTCCCCGTCCGCGTCCCCGTGCGCATGGCCCAGCTGATCCTGCGCCTGGCGCTTCTCGTCTCGCTCATTCCGCCATTCCGGTTTGACCTCCTCTTCCTCTTTCTCCTCCTCCTCATCATGATCATTATCATTATCATCCTCGGCAGCCGTCGCCGAGGATACCGCCGCCAACTGATCATCATCCCCTGGCTGTAGTTTCAGCCGCAGCTTCCTCCGCCATTGCTTCTGCTTCTGCTGCTGTGTCGTCATCATCGTCGTCGTCATCGGTGGCGGCGGCGGGGGCGTCTGACGCCCCCGATGTCCGTCAGAGGGCGGCCTCTGAGCCTCCAGGAACTGCCGACGTGGCTGTCCTAACGGCACAAAGGCCGCCAACAGCTCAACAGCGTCAGCGGCGGCAACCCCAAGTCGGCCACCGCCACCGCCGCCGCCACCGCCGTCACCATGGCGAGTTGCACGTTGTGGCTGATTGTATGACTTGCTGCCCGTAGCCATGCCAGGCGACGTGTACGACATTGACCGCGATACTCGCTGGGCAAAGCCGTCATCGCCGCCGTCGCAGCCGCCACCACCCCCGCTGCCTTTGGTGGCCGCAAGTGGGCCTGAGATGCCCAGTGGCCGACCGGGCTCGAATGCGGTGTTCCGTAACACTTGAGCCGATGGGTACCGACCTGGTGGCAGCGACGGCGCCGCTGCAGCTGGCGGCGGGCACGGGGTGGCAGTAGTACCTGTGACGGCAACGGGGACCCCACACCTTACCGTGAAGGCACTCGAGCCGCTAGCGACGGAGGCGGTGCCGGATGTAGTACAAGATCGCGAGTTCACATGAAAGCCTGCCGCCGCCGCTGTTGCCGCTGCCGTTGCCGAGGTAGAGGAAGTTGAGACCCCCGGGTCACGGGTTCCCATCAGCAGCCGCGCCAGCAGATTTGGCGGTCGCACAGCGACACCCGCTGCGGTGGCAGCGTCGGTGTAACTGCTGCCACCGTCAGCGCTGACCTGAGGTTGTTCTGGTGCATTTGCCGGCGAAGGTGGCGGCGACCACGCCGATGCCTGCAGCAACGGCACGACTGCATCCGCATCCGGTGCCTGTACTTGTCGTTCCGCAAAGGCCACGAGGGCTGCGCTGGCCTGCAGGGATGTTGGGGTGTCGCTTTCGGGATGGATCCGGATCGTGCCCTGGACCCCTAGCTGTAACAGCAGCTTTTTGGACGCCTGCCGTAAACCCTGTGACCCAGCGGGGCTCTGGCCGCTGCTTCCAGGTCGTGACGTAGGCGGCGATTTAGTGTAGCTGACGCTGACACCGCTGCTGACGACGGCGTTAGCATCAGTAACGACGCCTGCAGACTGGATCCTGGATCCGACGCCGCCGTCGCCACTGCCGCTGCTGACGCCGTTGCTGCAGAGCTCCGATCCGCCAGCTGCAATCGCCGGGATTTTATCGGACGCGCATGCCAGCATGGACGCCCTCTCTGCCGACATCGATGCTGACGCCGCTGTTGTTGAAGTTGTCGTTCTCGCTACCGTGCCTGCGTTGAGGTGACAAGCTGACTGAGGCGACGCCTGCACCGGCAGTTCTAGTGGATACGATTCTTCCCCTTCGGTGGCTGCACGGCCGTCGGCTACGGCGTCGGCCAGGGCGGCCCGTCCGTTCAGATCACCTGTACGGCCGTCACTGTACGGCACCTGATTGACTTCTCTCCGGCCTCTGCCGGCCCCAGCGCAGCTGCCGTCACCACCATCATCTATTTCCGTCTGCCGCTCCGAAACACCGTCGTCCGGAATCGAGCCGACGGCGCCGGCATCTCTTTCGAGGTTGCCTCCGCCTGCGCTGCATCCGCCGCTGCCGTCACCATCGCCTCCCGATTCCTGTACGCCAATCGCAAATCGTAGTTTCTTCTTTGACGTCCCCACGGGGCGGGGTGGCGCGGCAAGTGTCTTCAAGGAGTGGGGGCTGGCGGGCAAGTACGTCGAGGTGTCGTACTCTAGGCACCCCGGGCTGGACATCGAGTGGGGTACGCCGGACGTCCGTAGGGCTGAGCGCTGCGGACAACAACCAGAGTGGGTACGTATGTATGTATGTATGTGTTGGGGCCATTTGGGGGCACGTTAAGATGCCTCGCGTTTTTTGCGAGACTGACTTGCTGTGACATGGCCCGTGGGCCGCAATAAAGCCGCTCGAGGAGGTTTCGATCGGTACGGCCGCAATGCAATACAGAATCCGTGCCATATGGATGGCAATCAGCATGAGTGTATGTATATATGTCACACAGTTGTGGTGCAGATTTGTACTGGCCAAACCAGCTGCCGTCTGCGGCCCTATGCACACCAGTCAGCCATATCGAGATCACTTCGCCGCCCCGCCCGCTGCCAGAAACCGCACCCTGGGTTTGTATGTCCTGAGGTGGGTCCTCAGCGAGTAGGCTTGACCTTCCACCATAATTGTCGGAGAGCTCCCATCCGGCATGAGCCGTACCCGCATACGGGAGCGCCAAACTTCGAGGATCGAGTGCAGCCAACGGAAAGCCGCCACCAGCGCCTGCACGTCGGCCATGTCGGGCATGATGGATATGATGGATATGATGGATATGATGGATATGATGGACATGGTGGGCATAAATCCTCCGGAACCCCAACGCAAGTGCTCAGAGCCCTTGGATGCAACCAGGGATGCGGAGCGACGGGAAATTAAAGGAGAGAATACCCTCTGGAAGAAGGCGCCAGAGATTTGCCACACGAATAGCCCCATGTGTACCATGCAGCCGCGTGCATACAAGGCAAGGCACATGATGCGAGCCTGTTTGTGCATGTGCTCCCTAAAGGCCTGCAAACCGGTTTCGTACTGCGCCCCATACTGTCATACCGACGTACCGGTCGTTCATCGTCGTCGGAATCCGATTCCGTGTCTTCCGGATGTTGACCTGGAAAGGTGTCAGCCAAACCTGCCGTACGCCGCACTCCTTTGGAGGCGAAGGATGATACCGTTGACGCTGGCCATCGAAAGCTGTTGCTGCCGTCATCGGCGGCGTCACCATCGGCACCATTCCAGAAACGACTCCAACAGCCCACAGAGACGCCGCCGCCGCCGTCGCCCTGAGATGGCGTCAGTGGGAAGTTCAAAGGGTCAGGAGACATGAGGGCTGGTACGGCAGACATAGTTGTACGGCCGACATAGTTGTACGGCCATGCTAGTGCCGCAACACGCAACCCGGCGCTGAATGCGGCCGCACTGCCACTCTTGCCGGCCCATTGCGAAACCGGAGTAGAAAGGGTTTCCCCTCTATCGAGGGTTTCAGCGCGGCGGGGCGGCAAACCTAAAACCGCAAGCTTGTTGTCTGTGTGTGCAGTCAAACAATTTTGGACAGGGAACCCCCTGGCATCCCCTCAGCCCCTCCCCGCCTGATCCGACCGGCAGACAACGGAGGTCCTCTTCCTTCACGGCAGGTGCAACGAACAGACCGGTACAACCCACGTCCAGAGTCGTGACACGGCACCATGATGGCATGCACAACCTCGGGCAGTGGATGAGGCAGGAAGTTTAGCATTTTTATGCCCTAGACATTCTTCAGAGCTTTTTTTTGCGAAAAGGTGCTACGAAAAACCAGTCATCACAGTGCCGTGTGAGTATTCATCGCAAAAACCATTTGCATGCTTACACCCAGAAAGCCAACGCTTCATAGTTTGGTTACAGCAAAGTAATCAGCGCGCGGCACTTGCCCCGGCGCCTGAAGCGCCCTGAGTAAGTAAGGCGGCAGATCATGTCTAACAGTCACAATGATGCCATTTAGTGCTCGTCATAAAATGATGTTGGCGCTCGCTCATGTAACAGGAAACGAGCTTAGCAGTCTTTGCCACCGTTAAGAATCCAGTACAAAATACCTGCAGCGCGACAGAAGCCGCCTGGACTTTAAAGGCCGCAGCTCCACCTGGATGTCCTTGCGTGGGTCCGACGCTTCTCCTGAGCCGCTGATGCCCTAGCAAAACGCTGTCAGCCCGGAGCCGACCAACACCACCCTGCAAATCTTGACGTTTTTGTGAGTTATTTTAACTAATGGTTCAGAGGATTATAAAAGAAATCACAATAGTTCAATGACGGGGCATGGCCCTTGCGACGCAGAGTAAGCGAGACTGGTAGGGTGGAGGTTGCGCGCTCACGTTTTAGAAAATTAAGAAGCGTTATGGGGATGCAAATATCATTCCAAAAACACGATAGCTCACCTCTAACATGTATGTTATTAGAGCGCGAACCTAGTTGCACTCACCGTAAAGCTGTCAAAGGAGGCATCCGAGCGGCTGAAGTTCCCGGTATCAACACTATTAGGATTATGTATTACTCTGCCCATGATAGCAGTGTTGAATGGAGCTTTGCCAGATTAGGATGCGACAAGCACACCCCAACCCAGCAGGAAGCATAAATATGGTCGAGCCAAGAAATGCAAGGTCATAATGTTTAAACAATCTATACTCTTTTTGCCTACTCGGTATGTAAGCGGTAACCTTGTTGCCGGATGGTCTATTGTACGATGGAAGACCGAGTATTTGGATTGCAACTCAACCATTTAACCGTTGATACCTGGAATATGACTTAAGTCATACATCATACTAATGCTTTGTTAAATTAGGTAGCTGCGTGGATACTCCGCGGTCGGGTTCAATTGGCGGTGCCATACCGTATTGCCAAGGTGATTTGGTGATTTCCATTTGGCGAGAGCCAAAAAATGCCTTCGAAAATTGCCTTCGCACATGCCAGTTGGTGACAGCTCACGCGGGAAATAGGTCTGGATTTTCACGTGTTCTGAAAACTGGTGACGGCCAAAAGGCCCACCGCGCACGCGCACAACCGCGCCGTTGAGTCTCAAACCCTTTCAATAACGCAGCGAAACGATCATCTATTGCCTTGGATGATTAGTCGTTCAGTCGCACTCCTAACGCGTGGTACCGCCGGCAACCTCTCCCTACAAACCCCAACCACCTCCCTAAGTGGGTCGCAACCGCCAGGGGGCCGAATCCATGTTCAAGCAAAAATGAAAAATGCAGCCACAAGAACTATGTACCCGATTGTCAGATTATGTACAGAAAGCACATGAAAACTTGCAATGCCAAGCCATGTAATGTCCTGCCGATTACTGCAAGTAGCGGGCGGGTGGCCTGCAGTCACGGCGACTCCTGCCCTGTGCAACGGACCGCATTTGCCGCAGCTCCTCGTACTCAGCATCGTCACCCGCCCCATCATCGGACCCCTCGCTGTCAGATCCGCTCTCACTCGAAGCCCCACTCTCACTGCTCCCCTCAGCCTCCGACTCTGAGTCGCAGAGCTTTGCCATGACCGGCTTGTGCTTAGCCGCAGCAGCCCTTGCATCCCCTTGCACCCGACCGAGGCGCTGCTGTCTTTTGGCTACTCTTGACCTTGGCTGTGCGCTGTTTTTTCGCTGGTGGTGATGCGGCATTGTCGAGAAGGGCATCGCAGTCCTGCTCACCCTCCAGACCGTCGGGCTCACCAGTCCGCAGCTTCTCGACCTCCTCGGGTGTTAGCGCGTCAAACTGTGTCTGCTCCTCTGTGATAGCGGTGAACAGCTCCTCCAGCTGCTCGTCCGTGTCGTCAGAGTCGCAGGGCCATGCAGAGGGGTCGGCCTCCACAGCATGGGTTGCCACAGGTTCACCGCCTGCCAGTCCAGGCATAAGCTCAGCCGCCGTCGCCTCAGCGCCAGCCTGGCGCTTGCTATGGGCTTCAGGGAAAAGCTCTCCAGCACGCTCGAGACGCAAAGCCTTTTTCTGACGCTCGGCAGTAAAGGCCTCCAGCAAGCCGCAGCGCTCCCAACCGTCCTTAAAGGGCTTGTTGAGCCCGACATCACAGGGCTGAGCCACAGACGTGCAGTTGGCGGGCACGTACTTCAGCAAAGCGCCCGGAATGGTTGCCTTGACATGCTTGCGGGGGCGACCAGCTGTTCTCGCGTTGGGCGCCAAGCGCCGCTCGACAGCTTCAGTGCCCTCGGCTTCAGCAACAGCTTCCTGTTTAGCCCTGATGGCCTCTAAACGAGCATGCTGCACAGCTTGAACCTCAGGTGCAAGTTTGGCAGGCTGTGCACCAAGGCGCTGGTTAATATCAGCTCCGGCTGCAAGTTTAGGTATCAAATCAGCACACATCCTGCTCTCCTCGGAACCCCTACGCTCAAGAAGCTCTTCCAGGAACCTCTTCAAAATTACAACAGCCAGGATTAGGCTAGACGCGTGACCGACTAGAAAGGAAGGGAGCACCGGCAGCTCAGTAGGGCAGCCTCCCTCACGCGCATTCAGCACTAGAGCTTGCACTGCAGGGCAAAACCTAGGCCCAGCCCGCAGGCACTGACCTGGTGATGTGGTCCCGAAGCTGCGTGTGCGCATGCGTGCGACTCTATGCTCGTCAGGTCGATTCCCACATTCAGACGTGCCCCCAGCCGCTCACAGACATCCGGGCTTTCCTGCCGTCCAGCGCACACCCGCCCTGTGTTGCGGCTGATAGGAATCGATGTTGCGACTCTCATTCAAATCGAAACAGGAAAAGGGCGACACTCAGCCACCCTCATTCCCTCCATTCATTTTGATGAATGCCCGACTTTGTGCCGCATTCGGTAACCCGCCACCGCTCCACACGGTACTCAAGAGAGCTCAGAATCCCTCAGCCGTCTGGAAGATTCCTCGACAACAATCATTTGAAAACTCTCCCTGTTGGCCGATGACGCATCCAGCGCCCTCGTTGCTCTTCGCACACCGCCATTTTTCCACATCGGCTTCTGGTAGGTTCCACGGTTTGCAAACACCGGCAGCCATAAAGGACACCATGACAGCAAAGCGGATGGCTGGCCGACGACATTGTTGATAAATGGACGCATCGGGATTGAAATCAAAGCAGGTGGCTAGGCTGCACCGCGGGATCGCCCTTCCCCCTGCAGGCAGGTACACAAGGGCGGCTGTGCCACATAGCCTGACAATACCCATGCGGCCGGCTCTCCGTGATAGTGCCATAAGGTCACACCGTGTGGTGTGTGCAGCTCCTCCCAACAGCCCCCCCGCCCGTTATCGTGTGGCGCAAGTGGAAGCGCCCTGGGAGGTTTGGCGACAGTAAAAAACCGACAGTTGACAGTTGGCAGTTGACAGCGACTGCAGTGCCTTTCCATGCCGGGTGCATCATGATGGTGTGAAGGGATCCATTTGAAAATTGGATGTGTGGCCGTCCATCCGTACTTCTGATTGACGTACCGGTTATCAGGAATGCATTGGCAGGCGGTCTGAATGTTTCCCTAACTAGGTTGTAGCCATTGACGCCTTCCAGGTTCTGTCCCCTCTCAGTACGGCGGGGCTACCCAAGCTCTCAGTACGGCGTTGGGTAGCCCCAAGCTCTCAGTACGGTGGAGCTATCCAAGCTCTCAGTACGGCGGGGCTATCCAAGCTGTGTGAAACTTTAGAGCCAGTTACTTTCCCCTCGCCAGTCTCCTTGCCTGAGACTGGTTTCGGTGCCGGTGGGAATATGAGCAGGCAAATGCCTGCTCAGAATAAGTCCTTGAGGCCCTCGTGCCTGGCCAGGTCTTCATGGTACTACACCATGAGCCGTACGCGGGGGGGGGGCTTTGGGGATAGGTGGTAGGTGCCAAACAGAGTTGCCCGAATCCCCTTGTGTATTCTAAAGGCTGCTGGGCCCCCAATCGCAGAGCGTGTCAAAGCGGGATTACCTGTAAGGTTGTCCCTGGTCCGCCGGGTGCTGCTTAGCTGCCTAGTTATTGGGGGACTGCCCAAGCCGTGACACTGGGTTCACCTTGCTTGACTCCTCGCCGGAGCCCTTCCTGACGTGTCTTCACCTTGTACAGGCGCAAGAGGCAACTACATGTGATTGTGCGAGATTGACTTTGACGATGACGATGATACGAGCAATGTGGGGTGCCGGGGTTGGCAGAGGTCAGGAAGCACAATTCGCTCGTTGCGGCGTAGGTACGCAAAGGGGAGAGAAAGAAACCAGAAAGGACAAAGGACCGGCTTTGTTGGAGGGGCTGAGAACGTCAGCGATCTTACAGCCCTTGCTGCTGCCCGCCATGAGCGCGGACCTGCACTGGCAACGATGGCAGTGCAGGTTTCTACATGCCCTGCACCTCAAAGCATGTAGTGGTGATGCTGAATTCTTGTATGACAAAGTTCTGTGTAGGGTTGCAAGTGCCATCGCTTGAGGCATGAATGTGAGATACTGCGGGCACCGGCTTGGTCCCCGTCCTAGGGTTTAACCCGGGCATTTCACGGTACGATCCTATGAGCTTTGTATAACCAAATAGTCAAACGATGTCATGTTCGCGTCTACCTAATCGCTGCTGGACATCCTGGACAGTCATCCTGGTGAAGTTTCCAAAGCCCTTGGCCGAGATGGCGAATCCGGGGCAAAATGCTGCTAGAAGCAATTAGTCAAACTGTTGTATGTGCGCTGTAACCGCCTAACCAGCTTCAGCCCTTAAAGCAGAGGCTGGATAGGTAAACGAACTCTGCGCTGTCGCATTAAGACATAAGACTTCGAATACTAAGCTTTACTAGTCGTGCGTTAGGAAAGCCCTGTAACAGATCATGGATATGCTCTTTTGAGGGCAGTAACCCTAATGAATTCCAGCTGAAAGGGAATGCGCTCCGATCGAAATTAGGATGCCCAATGGGCATCCTAATGGCATTTGTTACACTCTGGTCGAGCGACTAGAGCCGACTAGCAAATCGTAGATGCGCAATAAGGTTGACATAACAAACTAAACAACAATATCGTCTTATACAGCAATACAGATCCGAAATGCCGTTCAATCGCCGTACATCGTGGCGCGCTTCATCGGGGTTGAGACCGTATTACAGAATAATACGCCAAGCACAATTACGCCCTAATACGTCAAAATACGCCGGCGAGGCGGCCGATTTTTCGCGTGGCGTCTTAATGGCGTAAAGTCGGCGTATATTGTGTGTGTGGTCATACAGCCCCCAAACCGCTTGTTCTTACCCCAAACAGCGCGCACTGCTCTCTCCGTTTCTAATTAATCGCCTTAGTAGTGCAGTGATATCGACGGGCTCAGGTAAACAGTTGGTCTTCGTGTCAGGCGGCACGATGGATGATGGGCCCGAACCAAAGAAAACCAAACGTGGTCCTACACCAGGTGTTACCAACGATTACTTCGATGACATAGGGCCATATTGCACTACTAATCGCCGTCATGCTAAGAAGTTCAAGGCATGCGGCACTGAAATCCCTGCCAGACGCTCCAAGCAGTGCCTGTCGCTATCACATGACAAGAAACTGGAGTTTAAGCTGGACACGGGTATAAAGGCCCCGTCGTTCGAATTGGGGAGCTAAGGGCCACGTGGGTGCTCGCTTGCCCTTTTAAGGGGGTGCGTGGGAGAAGGTCGGGGGAAAGACGAAACGGGTTTTAGTGTTGCGGAAGGCATTGGGGGAAGGGGTTATTTTTTGTTTGGTGGTTGCGGGCTTGGATGGCTGGTGCTGAGGCGTACTGCTACGGCGTAAAGCTCTGTCAGGGTCATTGGAGACTCCCTATCCATCGATCCCGGGTACGGGGCCCGTGGTAACGCGCTCAGCGCGTGATCCTGTCAGGAGTCAAAGTGGGGGAGTGGGGCCTCTGGGGTAAGGGGCGCATTTTCAATAGCGACTCTTTGTTGGTGTGACATGGTGGAGTCATTGTTGCTGTAGACGTAGTCATCATACCTTGCGTGATCGAAAAGGACTTCTGGACGACTGAGCCAGCTTGTCCGATACTTCTGCTATTTGCATGTGTTTCTCGCTAGAAATAATGTAAATGAAAATACGCCGGAGCTTTTGCAATACGCCGAGTAAAAAGTTGGTATCGTACAATACGCCTTTCGCCGGCGTAAAACGTTTTGGGATGTCGTATTACGCAGGACGGTCAAAAGTAATACGGTTGCAACCTGCGCTTCATCGTGGCGCGCTTCATTGTGGCACGTTTCATTGTGGCATGCTTACTGATTAACAACTAACTTGTGTGTTTCCTTTAAGGCGTTGCACACGAGACGTTCGTGACCTTCAAACTCGGGTAACCTTCTCAAACTTGGTTAAACATCCATATTTGTAACGTTCAAATTTGGGTAACACACAAATTTTCCGATGCAGTCCTTAGCCGAACGAGTGTCGATGCGGCATGCGACTTCGGACGCCCCCCGGACTTTCAAAGCGGATTATTAAGCTGCGTCTACTCGTGGAAGAGTACTAACTAACGGGAAAACTTAAAAAAAACTATTCTGCGCTAGTCAACGCTATGTGCGCAACGCCGCCAATCTGTTTCACCTCGACATGCGATTATGGACAGATTAAGGTCACTTCAGCGCAAACGCTTTTTGTGCAATTATGACGACTGGAGTGTGCGAAGCAATCAGATTTACATGCTCCTCAGGTGTACTAGCTGCGTAGCGTACGATAGTCAAGCCTCGTTTTCGCCTGGACAGATTCTTCCATGCGGAGCCAATGCGGCTTTGCGCCTATGCTACCGGTAAAGTACGTTATAACATTGCTGCATTTTTACGCAGGTTGAAGTGGCAATGCCGATGACATGATGTTTGGCAGACATCGTTGTGAGACAATTGACGCGCCAGCTTTATATAAAGCTTTTTATGCATTGTATATAGTTTTGGCCCCTATCAAATTTTGAAAGACTTGGCACGATTACGAAGATGATTTACGTACTTCGTCTTTAGAATCTACCAACTTCTGCTCCCCAAAAGGTACAGCAAGATCTCCACTTCAAACACTGTTCAAAGCTCATACGTAATGTCCATCAATGTGTTTTACGTACCGATTACGTTAGAGCTGATTGCCGCAGTGGGTATCTTAAAGCAGTTGTTTAAAATGGTTTGGACCTTCGTTTATTTTGCTCATGTTGATCATGTGATAGATCGAGAAAACGTGCCTTTCCCGCTCCGTTAATGGATAGTGGGCCAGGCGGGAGCTGCGGAATTTAATCATCTTCCTCCTTGTATCTCGCGTGGAGGAGTTAATAGTAGTATGGCGCTCTCGGCTGGCAATGCAGTCGGTGTGGTCCAGCGGACCTGCTCACGTTGCCTTTTCCTGATTTTTCCTCACAAGGCGCCAGCTGGCCTAGGTACAGCCCTGTACAGCATTCCCCCGCTTAACGCGCTCTCTGTCGGTCGGTGTAGGCAATTCGTGTGTATGTGTGTTTGTATGTGTGTGTGTGGATTTCTCCGTCTGTGTGTGAAGGTGGGCGCAAAATGTTGACCCAAATGTTTCGGGACGCATGTAGCACCCTAAAGCTGCATGTGCCCAAATTTTTGCATATTTTTGCGCTTCGACTTCGGGACTGCCACGCCTATTGCCTATAATCCCGGGCTGCGACTGGTGGTGGTGCAATCCGACGTTCTCTTTCCTTTCGTTCCATTTTCCTGACGTTGCGATGAGTATCATACTTAGTAAGTCGTAAACGTAGATTGACAAAACAAGGCAACACATTCCTGACTGGCTCTCATGCCGCATGATTGGGCCAGCTGGCACGTACGTCGGCTAGATTACACGTACAAGTTGTGCCTTATTAGCTGCTATTGTATCTTGTCGCCAACAGCATGTGGCACTGAATGCACTTCTTCCCTCCTATGGGTATCGCAGGGGCCCGAGGAGGGAATTTGGTACGGATGATGTTGCTGCCGGTGCTCGTCATCCTTGCTGTGGCCCCAGCAGCAGTTTACGCAATAACGGTGAAACACAGATACGACGATCCTTAACAGAACATGGACACGTGTAGAGCGGTTCACGGTTCATTTGAAACTCCACAGGACGCCCCTGGCCTATGATAACGAAGGAGCCCACACAGCTTTCAAGTCAATCGTGCCTGTTATCTTCCTGCATAACTGATTTATCAGTTTTGTTGAGTGAACGCATGGACCGTGTCAGAACCTCTCCATCCGCTAGCACCGTAATTGCGGTCCAAGATGCTGCTTTATGAATATCCGCCATCCGTGCGTGTGGTGCATGTGTGTGCAGGTCCCCATGAAGACGATTACCATTATGGAGCTGTTGTTGTCACCCAAGGACGCTCCACTACCCCCCGGTGTACTAGAGATATCGTTGGGGAATCTGAAGGGTGCAGTTTCGCTGCCAGAAAATATACAGGATATTAAATGGACTGGACGCGGCAGCGTTTTTCCTCCCTGGTTGCTAGCAGAGCACTGGAGCGAAGACCCCTTTGGGGACGACCGTTTACAGCCCGCCATGCCCGCAATGCCGGCATGGGTTTCCGATTTACCACCGTCACTGCCGCCGTTGCTGCCACTGCCGCCTTCACAACCCCAAGTGCCGCCGCCACCACCCACACCACCCTATACAGTGATGGACTCTCGTTATCTACTCCACCCCACCATCCACCTTTTGCCAAGTATGTATGTATGTATGTATGTATGTATGTATGTATGTATGTATGTATGTATGTATGTATGTATGTATGTATGTATGTATGTATGTATGTATGTATGTATGTATGTATGCACGTACGGGAGGTAGAGTGCTGTCTGTAAAATTCTTGGTGGCCGGTAGACCGTGCCGCCATGGCAACATAAATGGGGCCTTCGAGTAGATCGTATATGTCATGGCGTGGAGTTGCCCAAATCTAGATTCATGCCCTGGGTATAATGGATAAGCCTGGATTAGGTTGTCTACAGATAGTCCTCCAGTTTATAGACGTTTCAAGATTGCTAAGCGTAGTTGGCTCGTAGGGCTCATCGTTCATCAGAAAACAAAGCCCATTCACCAGGGGCATTCGGTACCTGAGCCCCAGAGCCAGAGCCGGCATCCGCGGACTTCCAGGACTGCTCGGCTGAACGTAGGGTGCCTAGCTGCCTGCCGAGCCTGTCACGTACCAGCTGACGAGCCTGTCACGTACCTGCACACGTACCAGCTGACGTACCTGCACACGTACCAGCTGACTGGATCTGCACGCCGCCCGACGCAACGATTGGCGCCGGCAGGGGTGTATGCATGCTCCTTTGTTGGCCTGATGTGCCTGTTGATCCCGCATTGCTCTTACTCTCATCACCATGCTACTCTCCTTTCCATGTCATGTCTGCTCGCTTGCTCACCTCGAACTGAACATCGGTTGTCCTGGACGTCACTGGTCGGTACAGATCAGAGCATGTCGATGAAATCCATGGGCGTGTATTCAGCATCCATACCTGTGCGCGGGCAAGAGCTATCACAGCTGGAACTCGACCTCATCAAGGTATCTGTCGGTGCAGAGCTACAGCTGGAGGACGTCACTTTTGTAGTGGGGTGTAATGAGCTTGACCTGCTCCTACAGACTTTGTGCACCAACACCCGCACATGGCCTTACGACCCAACCGGTGCTGTGACCGTAGAAGGCGGTATCATGCACATCCGCAATTTGACCTCCAGAGTGCCTGGGGAGGATAAGGACAGCACCCCGGGGGCAGGTGGCGAGGTGCGGTGGTCCAACGTCACGATAATGTGCCCGGTGGCCGATAGGCCAGCTCGTAAGGCCTGTGTGGCTCGGGCTGTGTCGAGTGGGTCGGAGCTGTATGCAGCTGCCAGGAAGGCCCTGGTGGAGGAGGAGGGAAACACGGTACTCCTGTCTATCACCGGTGACGTGGCGCTACCTACGGATGGCAGCTGGGTGACGGTGAGTGTGATGATGATCATCCAGATTTGCATATTTGTGTATTTTTCAGGTTACATAACCAGGATGTATAGTAGTTGATGATGGTGCTAGCTAGCTAGCATCTTAACCCCCGGGGGTGGGAGGGTTAAGCTCACAGTACATGGTCAAGCATCGCAAATGCTGAAGAAGTCAGTAAGGGTAGCAGCTAATGAATGAGCCGGCGCAGGCAGGGTTGAATACAAACAATTGTAAGTGTGTGTGTGTGTGTATGTGTGCCTGGTGAAGTGAGGAACCCACCCATAGCATCTGTGCTTGGTGCATCTACGTGTGTTCTGCCCTACATACCCCAATTGTTATTATTGTTCAGATTCCGCTGCGTCCGGACCAGCAACTGGTGTTGTTAGGCGACCCCACACGGCCAAGCACCAGTACCATCCAGCTGGACCTGTCTGGAATACCAGACGCGTGGAGTATTCAACAGCCGGAAAACAGCAACCCCACTGCATGCGAGGGGCCTCGACGGACTAGCCGGCCCGTTGCCTTGCTGTACGACCTGCTGCTCGTCAATTTACCCTACCCGACCGAGCCCCAAGGTCCCATGAGCCTGCTTGCTGCATCCCTGCCTTGCTTCACGGTCGTTAGGTATGTACGGTACTACTACGATAGATACGCTGTGGGCTATGGAAGGGTGGGGTACTCAGGGTACCTATGATAGCTAGGGTGGTGCCCGCGGGCTGGGAAGTGAGGTAGAGCCGTCCGATAGCAGCTGCTGCCGGCTTGGTTTCTTGCAGTAGTAGTAGTAGTACTTGTATTAGGTATTACAGCTTCTTGGTCGTAATGAAATGGTCTTTGCGCTATCGGTGTTTCAGCCAGGAGGGGTTACTGGAGCTTCAACTTCCCACCCGACCGTATTTCAGGGGGGAGAATGCAGCACGTGAAAATGAGGGCGACACTGTACGATTTCGGCAACACATTGCTTTATTGTTCGTACATCCCCGTTAAATTGCAGGGGGGTATTGTGGAGCGAGGGAGCCACGCAGCTGAGTCTCACTCGCAGCACCATTGTCGTCCCGGATAGAGAGCTGATCTTCCTCGCGGCAGCTGTAGGGCGCAATAGCAGTGATGTCTGGCCGGGGCAGCCGCAAGGCGGCTTCCTCATCACAGTCGAGAAGGTACGCAAATGTGCACCCCGTACGTGGGTACATACATTGACAAGGTGTCAAAGGCTGCCACCTACTTCCTTGTTTGGAGCTGCAAGCTGTTTGCACCCACGCACCCAGAGCACACATTATCACCAGATAGAACAGCAGATGGAAGTAAGTCGCACTTTAAAGAGGTATGCTAAGCAAGGTGTGAGTGCACATGCACCGCATGTGTGTGCGTGTGTGCATGACATGGTCGGGCGTGCAGTAAGCCCCGTGCCCTAGGACAGCTGCGCGACACGAGCTGTGAGGCCTGAGGCTCAACCAGGGGCCCTACTGCCTGCTACTGCCTTCTGCATACTTGGCCAAGGTCCTTGCGATTATGTAGCGGATACATGTGGTACGCAGTCGGCCATATAGCACGTGCTTTCGGAATATGTCTGCACCTCTCGCTCCTTGGTTGACTGCCTGACGAAATTTATGTATGCGGGGTTACCCGCGTACCCGTCTACCCGGCCCAACTGCCCAACTGTTGTGTACGACAGTCGCAGCAGCAGGTCCCGGAACCCTCGGCGACTGCTCGTGAATTCCGTGGGTCCTCGGACCCCCCGGGGCGCCTATCTGTGCAAGAGCTCAAGCTCCTGTCGGAGGTGGATTTACTGGGAAGGTTATGGCCGTGCGCAGGATAAGGGTAGAATGAATGGCCCCTGGGCCCCTTTGGGGTTCCAGGTATGGCCCCCCCCAGGTAACACCTCCAGAGGGTAACGCAACCCAAGCTGTAACACACGCACATACACACACACGAGCACGTGCGCGTGTGGATTGAACCAGGCTTGCGGGGTCACACTTACACCACGGCCCATTCAAGTGGCCTTCTTTTGCCTGAATCAATAGTGTGGCTAATGGTGTGTTGCTGCATACAATATGGGCGGATCTAGGATGGTGTTTCGGCGACTGGATAGGGTGCTGCTAGGAGCTGCGGGGTACACGGACCGTTTCCTAGCGGGTGGTCGCTGTCAAGGGATGCAGCGTGGCAATATGTTAAGGGCGGCTCTAGGGAGGGTCATCCTATCAGGTTCAGGAGCTGCCTGTCGCCGCCTGTCGTCATGCTTCTCATTATATCGCCGTACAAATGCTCGCCAACTCAGGTACTGTTGACCGACTGCGTGCTCATGTCCACAAGCAGCTACCAGCAACTGCCAGGTGCTGTACCGTTAACGCCCCAGTCATTGACGTGGTTGCCGGAGCTGTTGGAAGCAAATGATCTGGAAACCGTCAATCGCTGGGTGAGGTGGAATGGGTGAGATGGAATGGGTGAGGTGGAATGGGCATGCCAAATACTACAGAAAATACGCGCATGCACACCAAGAGACACGGTGCTGATGTTGATGTTGATGTTGATGTTAATGCCGAACACAGCCAAAGATGTCCGGAGGAGGAGACGCTGTATGTGCTGCATGTAACGCCTCTAAAGCTCACCTCGTCGTTTGCGTGATTTCGCATCTTTCACGCAAACAGCACAGTGTCGCTTGCCCGTGTTACGTGCCATTACTGCTGTCATGGCCTCGCGCAGGGCCATGGAGGCCTGGCGATATTCCCAGGACTACAGCAGGCACTCGAAGATTTGGTTTCCTGCGGTGTGCGCGACGGATACAACCCCGTCAGGCTGATTTGGAGGTGTGAGAGTGTATGTGTCTATGTGTGTACGTGTGTGTAGGTAGGTAGGTAGGTAGGTAGGTAGGTAGGTAGGTAGGTAGGTAGGTAGGTAGGTAGGTAGGTAGGTAGGTAGGTAGGTAGGTAGGTAGGTAGGTAGGTAGGTAGGTAGGTAGGTAGGTTAATGCGCGTGTGGCACAAAGAAACACACACAGCTTCGTCCAACACGAGGCCATGTGCACGCACATAACATAGAGTCATCCTGAAACTGCTCATCTTTGCCCTCCATCGACGCCGTCGCGTGGTCGTCTGCTTTGCACACATGTCCCCGGAGTTCTCGGTGAAGCTCTAGAACAAGCAAAACTTCTTACCACCGGTGTTTTGTATGTGCGGATGGATGCGTGTGTGGTATATGGTCGGGGGTGCGTAAACCTCTTACCACCTGAAAAGAGTTCATTCACTGCAGGCGCGCGTTTCTGTATTGTCTGGAAAAGGTGTCACTTGTCGTTAGTGCGAATAGATTCTTCCGATGTTACATTCCACCCACTTTGTAGTAGTCTGACTGACCGTTTGTTCAGTGCCTCGTGTTCGGGTGGGTGCACCCCTCCTGCACGGGCCCCCTGCCTTGCTCATCGTGTTGTTAAGATGGTAAAGTTGCGCAAACTGTTATACTACCATACTATACTACTACACCATACTACTACACTATACTACTACACTACTTTCTTTGAGCGCTTCGCACTACCCAACCCATCTTCCGTCGCTCATCACTCCCCCCCTTGACAGACAAGACGACACCAGCATCCCACAGCTGGATGCCATCTGCAACTCCACCGCGATCATGCCCGCGGCCGCCAGCACGACCGTGCGGGGACCCGCGGCCGACACCTGCATCGTGGATGGTTCTTCCTCCGCCAGCAGCGTCACCACCCGCCAGGGGATGACGACGACGCGGCAGAAGGAACGAGGTCCACGACGACATGCGTTCTCTGATCTACAGGTACGCACCGGCTTAGAGCCATATATCTACACGCACTTCTTGGTCTGGCTAGCTACGGCGGCACGGAGAGGGGAAGCCAATGGTGTGTCGATGTAGTAGCTGTCGTCTAGTGAAACGGCTTACACATCTCCTATGAATACGCGCTAAGGCGTTCAGCAAGCCATATCTTGAGGGGCCCTGTAGCGGCTAGCTGCTACAGGCGGTGCGGCTTTCTTCCAGGACGGGGTCAGTCACGACCGTGGCCGTGACCGTGACCGCGGGGGGGAGGAGGAACCATTTGCTTTGCTGTTGCAGCTATATTCAGCCGCCTAGGGTCCATGTGGAGCTGGGGTAGATGCGGCATGCATCACACGGCGACGACCACCGCTTCAGTTGTATGTATGTCGATGAGGAGGACACGCGCGACATCAGTCATTTGCCACCCAGCCAGCAGCCAAAAAATGATGCTACGTCAGCGCCACTTACTCATGCTCTCGAGCCTTTCCTCGCTAATGCATGGCCCACAAGCAGTTGCTGGCCCGGTGCCGTCGCGCTGGTCGCTTGAACTCCGTCTGTAGGGTTTTGTATCGTCTGTATATTGTGGCCCGGCATATTAGGCAGTACCCGTCCCTAGCTATCATACTTAGGCACAATTTACAGACCATAAAATTTACAAACGTCTACATAGTGACGGCCCGCTGTGTGTGCCCTATCGGTGCTCGACTGCTCCAGGGTGCCGTGAGCCGCATCGCACTTGCTCGTCCCATCACCCTCCGGAACCTGGTGTTGTACAATCTGGCGCCCGGTGGCGCATACCCGGTAGCTGTAACGGCGCAGCAGGAGGGGTCGTCGCTCCCTTCACTGCGCCCCTCCGATGTGGCCTGGGCAAATAGCGCTTTACCCCTATGGTTCTTCGAATTCGTCAGGTAGGTACGGATGCATGCACTTCATCTAGTACGTATACCGACGAGGTGGGAGCGCACTACTGGCATGTATGCGACAGCCTCTAGAAGCCTGGATGGGGTCATCGCCGCCAGCTGAGAACGGGAAGCCCAATCAGTGCTCGTTGTCCGCCATCTGGACGTGACATCAGACAATGATTGCTACAGCCCACTAGTAGAAGGTGGCCAGCTGAGCATACATGGGGCTCTCTTGTATGTCGATGATGACCATGTATCGAGATCTTGTGCACTTACCGTGTATGGGTTTCGGCTCCGAATCCCCCCACCAGCCATGTGTTGTAGAGTCATCATCACTTCCTCCTCGTCTACACGCTCTGCATCGCCCTGTGTGGGCTGCAGGTCCACGGAGGCGGATGTCAGTTGCCAGCTGACAGAGGAAAACTACAGCAAAATTGCGACTAAATCAACGGATGTGCACACGGCAGCTGCGGCAAACTTTACCGACAACAACAACCTCCTGCAGCAGCAGCACACGACCAGCTGCCCTCTGATATTTCTGGAGAACGTGACGCTCGTTGTTCCGGAGCCTGAGTGGCAGGCCTTGGTGGCTGCCGTACTGATGGTGCATTACCCAGAGGTCTTTTGGCAGAAAGCTGCGCCTGCGGGTCGTGAACCCACCAGCAGTGACCAGGGGGCTGCAGGAGCTGCGGGGGACTCCTCCACTCCGACAACCCTAAAAAGCAAGCTGGCTGAGAGTGGTGTTGCGTCAACCCTTGTTGGCAGCGTCGAAGACACTATAGCGAGTATCGGAGGTGAGCTGTGCCAGCAAAGGCACGTGGCGCGGCACCGGCGGTGCCTAAACCTACTGCGGCAGCTGTGTTTTTCCCATGTAATGGCGTCCATGGCGACCTTTCTGCATTTGAAGCAAGGACAGCTTGCGCCTCCAGGCAAGCCGACTCATGCATCTATACCCAGCAGCATATACAACCCCAGCACCCTCCATCCGGCACCCCCCGCTATCCCACCCGCTCCAGCCATCGTTCCGTTATTATTGCCGCCAATCCCGCCTTCAACCCAACCCGCAATCCCACGTCACCACAAACACCGCCTCCATGCACCCGCACACTTGCTTTCAGTGCCCCCTCTGTATGTATGGATGCATGCATGCTTCCATCCCTACCCAACAGCACCTGCAAACCACATCCCCACTTCCCGCGCCACCGGGGGACCACCGACCGTGGACCCGCCGGTCACACCGCCGGGCCCCCTGCCGTTGTTGTCCGCAGGCCTTCCAGGGTCGCCATCTCCGCCATCACCCCCGCATTCACCGCCGTCTTCTCCCGACAACGCTGACACAACACGGGCAGCGCTACTGGGTTTTGCCACCGCCTCTCAGGTGAGGGGAACAGTACCCAAGCATGTGCATTTGCTAGTTCTTATCTGAGATCCTGCCGGACTAGCTTTATGCGCCAGAGCAAAACTCCCTTGCAAGTGTGCAACCATACCGCTGTAGCTAGAGCTGTACGTATTCGGCTAGCTTCTCCCAGTCGACGGCGACACGAATACTGTTTGCAACAGTACTTTTGTGTCTATTTGTCTACATGCCAATGGAGTGCTGTAAAGCAGGTTAAAAGCCATCATCATGATACGTACCGTACGCCAAGGCAACAGAGTTGTCTTAACGTAGCCTGATCATATGTGTGTGTATGACGGCGTTGGCTGGCTTGCATGCGGCCAATAATGTACCCTATGCACAACAGGGGTCCCCCAATACAATACTTAGGGTTTTGGGGGTGGCCCCCCATCTTGTGGACGGTCTAGGACGTGATAAAATCAACTTGCGAGCTAACCAGGAACTAAGTTGAGGCGCCGTTGATCCGCTAGATTTAGTTGGATGCTGGTGGTGAGTTGCCGAACCCAAAGAGTACACTCTGAAGTCGGATGGGGTGAATGGATTAGGGTGCCCCTCTAGCAGGGGAAAGGAGGCCACTGGTAAAGCTTAACCACCCTGTAACAACAACTACTTATGTATGTAGGTGCTGTCGTACAACCACAGCTCAGGCGAGCTGGTACTGAAGGTTGCTCGTCATTATGGCTGGATCGGCAGCACCGTCACGATCACGCACAAGCTGCCTGCTGACGCGCCGGACAGCGCCAAGCTCCTGACGTATCCCAACCTCTCCTTTCCACACCAGGATGATGACGACGATTTTAAGCTCGCAGGTAGGGACAGAAAGAAACTGCGGTTAGCTGCAAAACAATAAACCAAACGAAACCCCCACGTATTCGCACGTGCAGCAGCAGCATGCCTACCTGGAAGCGAGCTCGCTCTCCGGGTTTTGGCAGCCAGCAGGGTGCGGTACACCCGCCATTCTGCATGTAGTGTAGCCGCACACACCCTAAACACACACAACCGCACACACAACACACACACACACACACAACACACGTACACGCACACACAACACACGTACACGCACACAACACACACAACACACACGCACAACACCACTCACACGCACACACATCACGCACAGTTCGGGCTTTACGTAACTATGCAGTCATATACACAGAGGGTTTGGCACCACTGGTAAGGCGCGACCATTGCCCCCGGGAGATCCCGGGATCGATACCCGTTAGGGTCAAAGTCCTTCCGATGGTGGAAGGCATTGCGCCCCTAGTTGATGGACGGTGGTGACCTGGGATAAAGTTAACCTGCGAGCCGACCAGGAACGGAGTTGGGCCGCTGTCGACCCGGCAGATTCCGTTGGATGCTGGTGGTGGGTGCGGAACCTGAGCGATCCACTGAGAAGTTGACTAGGGTGACTGGATGAGGGTGCCCCGAAATACCGGGGAAGGCAGGGTTTCGCAGGGTAGCTGCCACGGGCGAAGATACACCCCCCTGTTTCACACATCATACACAACCTACCTAGCTCATAGCTAGGATACTACTACACAACGTAATTACATCGGTTCCATTGACTGCCACGGGCAACTGGTCGTACATGTGTCCCTAGGTACTGGCAGCAGGTTTATATTTGCATTACGTGTCAACACATGCAATCACATAGCATTAAGGTATGGACGCCTTGTCCTGGCTGGCCGCTGACGAGGCCTATCGGGTTCCATATGCTCCGGCACATTGCGCTTTATTAGCATTGTATTCTGACCAAGTACTTACGTGCAGTACTGTCCGGCTACACGAACTATACACACAGGCGTGGACATCGACTTGTGGATCGAATCTTCCCCGAGCCAACCGCCGCCAGCTGGGGGAACCCCGCCATATTCGCCCCTCGCAGCCAAGACCCGGATTGACCAAGACCCGGATTCCAGCACCAAGGAACGAGCGGTGGGGAGTGTTCAGGGCCCATCGAGTAGTGGTGATGCAACCCCGCCGGTGGCGGCTGGTGCACCACCGCAGTTGTGGATTGCCGTGTCCCATCCGGACGGCCCCCACGCCACCAGCTTAAACCGCCGGCCATCCTGGCTGGTTCCTGTAGCGGTATCGATGTCTGTTTTTGGAAGCATCCTGGTTGTCGTCAGCTTAATAGCTGGCATTGGACTTCTGTCGTCCCAGCAGCGACAGAGTTGTTGCGACCCGAGTGCCCGTGATAACACGGGATCAACGAGCAGCCATAAGAGGAGATATCTCCATGCATACCATCGATGGTATGCTCATTTCCTGAACGGCGTAGCGGCATTGTGTGGAACGGCGGCGGCTGCCCGGCAGCGGAGACAACAGCAGCAGCAGCAGCAGCAGCGAAAGCCCGAGATAGTGGTAGTAACTTGTAACGGCCGCAGCATTACTACTGCGAATGCTGCTACTGCAGGAGGTGCAGCGGCTGCGGATTGTAGAGGCTGCTCACCATCATCAGCGGCATCAGCGGAACATCGTCAGCAGGATTCACTTTCAAGCACGGCTTTCGGTATGATGCCCACACCTGCGGCCGGCACTGACGCATCGTCTGCCAATGCAAACTCAAGAGGCGGTACCACCACCACAGCTGAGGTGCGTGCAAGGACAGCAGCGGACAGGATCATGAGCATGCTTTACCTAGCTGTTGATTGCCTTTTCGACACGTTGCGTCGCTCGAGCTGTTTCTGCTCCTCTGGTAATTGATGATCACGAGCTTATTGGGGTTGCTGGCACGGTCTTCTATATTTCAACGGTCGGATTCTTGCTCGTGATCCATGATGAAGCATGCATGCTTTGCCCCTAATCCTAGTCATGAGGGTTGGAATCGAGGCCATGGATTTGCTTATTTGTGCACCCAATACACCGTCAGCAGCAGAGGCTTGTTTGCTACTAGTAGTCTCGCAAGATGCCCTGAGACCGCAGGCTAAAGGAAGGGGGTGGATGTATGTACTGAAAATCTTGCGTACTGTATTCTAAGCAATTGCATGGACATAGCGCGCTGTACCAGCAAAGCGCTATGGTAAACCTTACCTCATGGCTGTATGTATGTATATTTGTATGTATGTTTCATTCCTGATGCTGCAGGCCAACCGAGCCGCCATGGCCCAAGCTCTGTTGGAGAGACGAACGGCACTGCTGCTGGCCGCTTCCAGTGGTGCAGCACCGACTGCTGCTGGCAGCAGGCTTAGAGCTGAGCTGAAATCAAAATGTAATACCAACGGTTGCGACGGCAGCAGCGGTGATTGTGGTAGTGGCTACGGCAGCCAAGGCAGCCAAAACCCGCAGTACGGCAGTCGTACGGCAGTCTCAGCAGTACAACCTTATTTGGATCACCAACAGGTGTTCTTGATGGAGCTAAATGTAGGTCTATATCTGCTGGGGCCAATGGGTGTAAGAAGGGATCAGCTCCCCTGGCATCTCCCTGAGTACTCTTTGCCTGGTGTTACAATGGGCAAGGTAGAGCTGCTGGCGAGATGGCATCAGTTCCGGGCTGGGGATCCGTTCCTCCGCGCACACAAGGAATGCGACAAGGGCATTTCGCAAGATGTGCCTGTACACATAATGCCCAACGGCCGCCTTCTTACCTTTGTGTGATGTCTTTTTCTGGTGTACATGCCCTTGGTCCGGACCCGACTAAGAACAATGGCTTGCTCTTGCATTTGCCCACCCACATGAGCACGATCGACTTACGTTTTGTACACACTCCGTCGGCGCACGCACAACAACACTAATATTTCATTTACGTGCCAACGGACATCACCCCGTGGTCTGTATGCATGTTGTCGGTTTTGCATCTTGCATAGTATTAATCCCTTGTATGTGTGTGAGAGCGGAGTAATGTGAAACATGCACGACACGTGCACGTGCATGTGTGCATTTTGATGACCTTGCTGACCATCTGCCATTCGCTTCCTACCTACCTACCCTCAAGCACATATCCCCGTAAAACTTACGCCTGCCGCTGGCACGTATGTACGACGACACGCTAAACCCAAACCTCAGGCCTACTACAACGACAAAATCGGCAACTTACGCTCGGGCTCATCACATGACCACCAGGCGGTCGATGAGGTTTGGAAAGTTGACAGCAGCAAGTCCTCGGCCGCGCTGGTGGTGCCTAGGCGCCACCGCGGCCCTCGGAGTATGTCCGACGCGATAAAGGCGATTCACGTAAGGCCTGAATCGTCTTGTGGACGCCTATCGATCAGCAACCTTGCTTTGTACTGCGTCACTACGCAACCCTTGAAGAGAGAGAGAGAGAGAGAGTGTGTGTGTGTGTGTGTGTGTGTTGACCGTAGATAGCTCGATGGGCTCGGTGCCTGAGCGCGACGTGTTTGCGGGTCTCCCAGACCTCCGAGGCAAAACCTGGACACAGCGTTAGGGGCCTTCCGCCGTAATAGTATCACCACCATCATCACCATCATCGTCACCACCATCATCGTCATCATCACCATCATCATCGTCACCATCATCGTCACCATCATCACCATCATCATCATCATCATCATCATCATCATCATCATCATCATCATCATCATCATCATCATCATCATCATCATCATCATCATCATCATCATCATCATCATCATCATCATCATCATCATCATCATCATCATCACCATCATCATCACCATCATCACTATCATCGTTCCTTGCCGGCCAATGTACGCCTTCTGCGCTTTTCCCAGGCTGAACTCAGAGATGCTGAGCTTCGACTGGATTACGTGATTGGCAGCGGTGCTTCAGGGGCGGTGTACAGCGGCGTATGGCGGGGCCTGCCTGTGGCGGTCAAGACACGTGTAGTGGTGACCGATCTGCATGAGGCCAAGGAGGGTAGGGTGAGGCAGCAGGCGGCGGCGGTGTTGGAGGCCGCCATCTCGCTCAGCATGTCGCACCCCAACGTCGTGGGTACGTAACGAAGTTGGTTGTGTCCCTTTCTGTTCAGTTTATTTTGTTTCAGCAAGAGGGACAAAGCTTGATGTGTGTAATTGGTCCTACACACATCCCTATAAATGTACGGCCTCTTGGAGGTCCGCATAGGGCCCTCCCCGCTGTGTGCGGATGGTTGTCGGTTTGAGAAGGAACAGCTAGCGGCATAGGAGCACCGTTCGTCAGGGAGCAGCTTTACTTGGAGATACATGCATGATTGTCCGTACCTATGTATACACATATGCATGTGGCATTGCATTTATCATTTGCACTCGATCCTCTCTTTCTGATCCACTGATATCTTATTACTCCCATCATCATGCAGTGACATACTCGTACGACGTGAAACCGCTCGTACACGCGCCTTCAGAGGCGGACGATGGCACCGGCACGCAGCAGTCTGGCAGCGATGATGCAGCCGCCGGCGCCGCCGCCGGCGCCGCCGCCGCCGCCGCCGCCGCCGGCAGCAGCCGAGATGCTGCTGAACGGTGTGCGGCGCAGCTTGGAACATGTGACGTCATGAAGCTATATATCGTACAGGAGTACTGCAACGGTGGCACGTTACGGAAGGCCCTCAGTAAGCAAAGACCCATCGGAACATCACGTACTAGGACGACTATCACATCTTGTAGGACAGTTTGCGCATTATTTCTACCTATTTGGAAAGAGGGTGACGATCTTGCCTGGCAGTAAATCTTGTGGATTACCTAATTAGATACTTTATAAAGTACCGATACACATATCGGCGCTTTAGGTGAGTGGGCCCGAAAAAATAATGATGTCCAGTATAAGCTAGGGATTACGTACTGCGTTGTTGGTCCAACAACTCCGTCCAGCATCTGCAGCGCCGCATATTTGTATTATTTGCACATACATACACACATACACACATACATATATACGTACATACATATTGCCCTATATCCTGCATCCTGGTGCCGCAGTCCAACAAGAACCCCAATAATGATGACCATCCCCCCCCCACATCGCAGACCAGGGCATGGCGGGGTGCGTGCGAGCCGGGGGCTGCGCACGTATGTTGGCTGTCCGTCTGGCGCTTGATGTTGCGGGAGGAATGGCACACATCCACAGCTGCCGAATTGTACACGGCGACCTCAAGCCCGGTGCGTGCGTGCGTGCGTGCGTGTGTGCGTGCAACCATTAGTGCCAGAGCGTGACGGCAACAGTGTGCTATCGAAGGGTACCAGAACAAACTTTATTTGCTGGGACAGATCGGGGGGCCGAGTAATCAGCAGGTGCTGCGGATTTGATATACTGTACGGTGGGTTATTCATTACATGTACGTGTATGAATGTATGTATGTATACAATAGCATCCCTAACGGTCTGCTAGCAGTAGACGCGGCCCCTGAGCATACGATCAGTTATGCATCGAGGTACAGGTGATGATGGCACGCAGTGTTTGCCTGCCGTCTGTGTTCGGCTTACATTCGATAGCGGCCCATTTGCCCACGTTCACCTGCAGCCGATATCCAGGACGGTGTTTTTTGCCTGCTGGTTTCACAAAGCTCACATTTTCGGGTCGTACGTCTGCATACATCTTTATATACTTCACGTGTTCATGGACACGTGCAAGCATATGCACATAAATACATATCGAGGGGATTCGTGCGAAACTTAGTGTTTGACATTAGCACACGGCAGGTAAGCCTACAACCACGACACATATTGTGTGCGTGTGCGCGCGCGTATCGTTTACCTTACCTGGTTGTGTGTGCGTCAGAGCCGTACAGGCCGACCTGTATATCTGCCCAATACGGCCCGACGGGGGCTCTAAGGTCTACGTAGATGGGCACGAACTATAGAAGAAGAAAAGGAAAGCAACCTCCCACACGAAAGCAAATGTAGGCGGGATGGTTAACATCCTAAGGAGATATCAAAATTCGGTGGAACAGTGTCAGACCGCCACCACTATAGTTCGTGATGGAAATAATGAAAAGGAAAGATTATTCCAGGCCCTGAACCCCGGAGTGTGATAAGGGGGATCTAGCGGTGTACGGCGGGTTGGGTATTGCTGTTCGCCACCAGCGTATATTTTGCTCTCGCAGGTCCGTCCCTGCCGCCCCTATCCGTGTTGCCAGCCTCCCAAAACCGGCCCCTGGCGTGATGTTGTTCCAACCCGCCGGGGCGCGCCCCTCTAAAGCGAACCACGTCCGCCTTCCTGCTTGCTCTGATGTATTGTCCGCAAACCGGCTTCAGAGAATGTGCTGCTGACGTTGACGAGCCTGCGACCCGACTCAAGGAGCCGAACGGACTTCGCTTCTCTGACATCAGCATCGGCATTAGCGACAGCAGGCGGTGGGAAGGCTGCTGTTGGACTCAGCGCCCCGGCAATACCTGTTGACAGCAGCACTTCGAGCGGCTCGGCAGTGGCGGCCTCGCTGCCTGTCCCCGTGTCCGCCAAGGTGGCGGATTTCGGTCTGAGCACCCGCCTAGCTGAGGGAGCCACACACGTCTCTGGATGCTTCCAAGGCACTACCACGTACCTAGCCCCGGAGGTGGGTACGTATGCAGTGATCGACACTAGGATGGACTCGAGTACGCATTAGCATCCGTACATCCCGTGCTCCCGTGGGCCATCCGCCAGGTTCTTGTTGTCCGTAATTTGTCCAACTTCCACGCACTATCTTCCCTTTCGTCCACCTACCGTTCAAATCTATATCCAGCATGCGTCAACTGTGGACGCCTGCGCTTGCATATTACCATAGCACGAACAACTGCTATTATTTATTCCAAATCCATACACTTGCGTGGGTTCGCTCGTTTGTCAGTTTGTCAGTCTGTCCGTCTGTTCTTCACCCATGTTTATACCCGTCAGGTGGTCGGCAAGGGCCAACTCTCACCCGGAGCCGACATCTGGGCGTTTGGACTGATCCTTGTGGAGCTCTATTACGGCTGCTCGTTCCAAGACGTGGAAACCGCTTACTCAGCCGCCGCCCCGATGGGCTCCTCCTCCGAGAACTACGCCGTCGACTACTCCTTGGGGACGAAGTCGCATGCACAGGCATTTCTCGAGGTACCGTCCTCATCAAGGCACCGGATGGTATTATACATTTTAGCAACGGGCCTCTGAACGTAGCGAAAAGTGTATTGAAGTGAATTAATTTAGATACTGTTCGGATTTTGTTCCCGTATTATGGTAGGGCGGGGTAAAGAGGAAACTCCTTGTCAATTGCCTAGGGCCATGTGATGAAAAAACGCTGTATGGGTGTTGTTTTTCCACCGCCCCTGCTTGCCATGCTGCTGCGTAGCATGTAAGCAATATACCTGCAAGGCATATTTATACGATATTTATACGATCCCTTGTTTGCTGCCATCGCGTATGTACGGGTGTTTCGTGTTGTTTGTCCATTCCCGCCTGCCTCGCTCGCTGACTTGGTGCTGCATGCATACAGGACATTTTAGCGTCCATGGCTGACCGCTCCTACGCGGCACTTGCGGAGGGGTGCCTGGCAGCGCCCCCCCAGGAGCGGCCCAGCTTCAGAGAGCTGGCAGCCGCGCTGCGGACCTTGGCGGAGGAACAGCAGCAGCAGCAGTGACCAGCACGGGGAGCCCACGTCATCATCGCTGCGCGTTGATCAAGGATGATGATGTGTCTGTGTGTGTGTGTGCGTGTGTGTGTGTGTGTGTGTGTGTGTGTGTGTGTGTGTGTGTGTATGTGTGTGTGTGTGTGTGTTACATGGTTGGGGGTGCGTGACCCCATACCTGTAAGACTACCCATACGAGCCGAAGGCCCAAGGATCTTGTAGTATTCAGTACCTGCTGAGCATTTTCATAATCACTGCACCATAGACCTGCCAATAATTTAACAAAATGTATGCACGCAAGAATTTGTGCACATATGCATATTAAAGGATCTTACTAATACCCTTTTCATATTCATTGCCATACGTCTAATAAATTGAATTGTTGTCTCTTCTTGAGTTCTTGTCTCTCAGCTCGTGTGGTAGCTGGCCGCTGAAAATTAAGGCCTCTTAAGATGCTGGCAGAGCGCCTTAGCGCGTATTCATAGACGATATGTGTGCCGTACTATCTGCAGCTACTACAGGTCGTCCTCCGGTTCGTAGTTGTCCAAGATCCGTTGGTTGAACCTGGTGGGTTATCGCGCAAGGAAGGCCCAGTCTTGCATCGGTGGATAAAGGCCGTAGCGCCATACAGGCCAGCCCCCGGTCGAACACCTACCAGTCATAGCGCGATATTGCACAGTTTTAATGCCGTTCACCTGCTTAGTACATTCAAGGCAGACCTATGTTTGCACTGATGTCACGTTTAGTCGTTTCATGCCAAGCATCCTCATGTGAAGGAGCAGTCATAGAACGACATAGAACGACAGTAGTAGCCACGACGGACATAGTCAGCCATTTATGCAATGTTTAAAGTTAGTTGACGAACTTTCGGGCCTCGTGTTTGATCTTGTCGCGATCTGTCGTGATCTTGTCGTGATCTGTCGTGATCTTGTCGCGATCTTGTCGTGTCGGAGCTGGCGGAGCTAGGACTCAGGTGTACGGCGTGTGATGTTGTTAAGCGGAACAGTTTATTACAAGTTACAAGTTATATGTGTGTTTGCATGTGTGTGTGTGTGTGTGTGTGTGTGAGAACGTTGCAAGTATCTGACCGGGCCTGACACTGGCCAGGGACTGCTGCCCAGCCCCAACGGAAAGACCGCCTAAGCTCTCTCCCGCGGACGGGAGAGGGGCGTGAGGGGCCTCTGGCCCCTCCTTAGCAGCCGACAGCCGCAGGTCCGCTAGCTCCGCTCTCCTCCCCCGGGGGTGGGAGCCGCCGCACGCGCGCACGCTCTCACGAGTGTGTGTGTGTGTGTGTGTGTGTATGTGGTGGGTGGGTGGGTGTGTATGTGTGTGTGGTGTGTGTGTGTGTGTGTGGTGTGTGTGTGTGTGTGTGTGTGTGTTGGGGTGTGTGTGTGTGTGTGTGTGGGGTGGGGATGTGTGTGTGTGGGGTGCGTGCTTGCTGGAGTACATAAGCAGGTGTCTCTTACCAGCCTACAGCAGAGTATGGACGTGGTAATTACATGAACCCCAGTGTATGAGAGCAACAAAAAGCTCCAATAGTGTTGAGAGGCAGATTGCCGGAGTATGGAGCTGTCAGATTGCTCTTCAGGCACCCCCCGGGCCGCTGCTGCACTGTTCCCTCGATGCGCATGGAGTTCCTCACATGATTCCTCGCTTGACACCCACGGCGCTGCACATGGCTGCGAGATCTCCCGGAATGAGGTATAGCTGAGGATGCTGATGGGCGACTGAACAGAGCCGGCCCTCTTGGTCTTCGCAAAGGATCAACGCAGCTGTGCGCGGACCGGGGTTACGATCATACTACGTCTGAGCAGCCTATTTTCCGAAGACCTTGTCGCGCATGGAGTTAGCTCATTGGGGTCCTCTTTCGGAAGTCGCGATAAACGTCCAGGCGTGCCATTTGCATCCATCTCTAGGGTATCCCACCACCGATGAACTGGAGCTCGGTCCCTCCCTATTACCCGTTTCCCATGCGCGGTGTGGGCCCCACCAGGGTGCATAGGCCAGTCGGCCTTGCGGATCCTTCCCCTTTAGCCGTCGCGTCCCGAGGAGGTGAGCACGGAAATGCGCACGGCACAGCAGCCGCGGCACAAGCAAATGCGGCGACAAGGAGCCTGTCACTGCGCCAGAGCAGTCCGCATGGGTTCTGCTTTCCAAGCAGCACAGCGATATAACCCGGCACCACAGCCACGGCGACCACCATGCATGTCCCACATGTCCAACCCACCCTGCCCTCAAGGCGACTTGCAAAAGCATGTGAATTGTGAATTGTGGAATTCACAATTCACAGAAGCACGTACCTGTGCACCAAAAGGTACCGTCCTTAACTGTACAGCACCCGAACTCGTTTTCTTCCAGCCCAGTTGCAGTAACGTACGGTGCCGTTTCCACAGCGAGCAAATCAATATGTAGTCACAACCGAAACGGCCCTTACACCTTATCCGCGGCGGGGACGCGAATCTTGCAAAGCCATCCCAGGAAGCGGGCACCGTCAGGCCATACGTCGGTCGAGGGCACCTATGCTGTGCTCATTACAGCCACCACCGTTACCTCCAAAACGAGGTCTGGTAAGTAATCCTACTAACACGTGGGATTCCGAGCCGCATGTCATTAAAAAAAGGATGGGAACATACGAACCTTCCCCCAAGCCACAACAGTAGCCCGGAACAATCCACCACTACGTATACCGCCGCACCAAGAGCTGCGCTGGCCCTGCATTCCATGGCCCCCTGCGGGAAGCCCTCACTCCACGTCCCTCCTAAGTTATCTCCCTCTCTACGAAAGGTCAATGTCCGGCAGCCCACCGTCACGCTTCTTTACGTCTAAAACCCATGTCTCGCGCTCCCATCTCCCCGCCCGGACAGCGACTCGTAGGGCCGTCCAGCGGGAGGTACTCTCGACGCTCAGGTTCCTTGCAGTCCCGAAGACCCCCAACCCCCCGTCATATCTCAGTTGGCGCTGGTTGGCAGGGAGAAATCATCCCGGTTAGCCTCCAGACCGTCCCGGCTAATGTCATCCCCACGCGCATGCTTGTCGCTGAGCGCCCGGGTGGGGTCAAACTTGGCCTTGCGAGGAGGCAGCAGCGGCAGCGCGCCGCCCTTGCTGCCGTCGCCGGGCCCCTTCCCACCTCCTTCCTTGCCGCTTGCCACGCCGTTGCCGTTCGCAGTAGCCACGGCGGTGCTGTCTGTAGAGGATGCTGTGGGGAGACCATTTGCTGCCCCATCCCGGTGTTGCCCCTGCTGCTGCTGCTGCTGCTGCTGGTCATGGGTGATTTCGGAGCCGGTTGTTGATGCATCCTTGGCTGGGATGTCGGCTGTGGGTGGCACCTCCTCCCCGGGACGCATTCGCATGAAGGTTAGGTGCCCTCGCTCCTCGGGCAACGCCACGAAGATACTGTCGTCCTCCTGCAGCTCGTTGGCAGTCGGTTGCGGCAGTCAGTTATGTCAGTTGCTTACAGAGTGGTGGTGAGAGGTAAGTTGAGAAACGCGGGTCAAACGGCAGCGGAGCCGCCGGCCTCTCAGCCACGGTAAAGGGGCAAACCCCGCATGGGACATCTGGACATTGGATGGGCAACACTGTACAACTGCACAACCGAACAACCACAACGCACACATAGATGGATAAGCGCCGGGCAGAGGAAGGGGGACGCGAGCAGCACCAACGTCACCGTCACCGCCACCATTTCTCGTAGTCGCATGTAGTCTCTAAGGGAGATCGCTAACTGATCGCCAAGCCCATCGAACAAGGCAAATGCCAGGCTTTCCCCAACCCGGCTCACCAATATGGACCCCTTTCCCACGCCTTCACTGTTCACCCTTTCGTCACAACCCCCGCATCCACCCATCCATTTGGTCTACACAAGACTCCGTAGTCTGAACCCCTCACACCGCATCTCCCCCCTTCCCCGTACCCTGCCCCCGTACCTCGAAGTCCCCTCTTAACAGCGCCTGAGCCAGGGGTGTCTCCAGCTCCCTCTGAATGGCCCTCTTCACCGGCCGGGCGCCAAAGATGGGGTCGAAGCCCTTGGCTGCGGGGTTTAGGGGTTTGGGGGTTTGGGGCCCGGAATTTCCGCTGTTGCCATTTCTTGACAGAAATTGCAAGCAAGAATATGAAAACGAGATATCAACGGCAGCGGAATCAGTATCGTAGAAGCAAAAACTGCAGTGCATAGCCATGTGCTTGACTTGCTTAGCTATCGCACGCACACATGCATACACACACACAACACGCGCATAATCGCAACTCCCAAACAGGCTCCAATTCTTAATACCGATACACACCACGCAAACTCGCATGCACCCATGCAGTTTCCCCCCTCCTCTCCCTCGCCCTCTCCTCCACATATACACACATGCGAGGTAGTCCATGGCCGAGTCCGCCAGCACCAGTCGGATCTTCTTCTCGGCCAGACGCGACACCAGGCCCCGCAGCCGCAGCCCCACCACGTCGCGTATCTGCCGGGCCGTCAGCGGCTCGAAAATGATGAACTCGTCCACACGGTTCAGAAACTCAGGAGGAAAGTGGCGGCGGACCTGTTGGCGGTAGTGGTGATAACGGTGGCGGTAACGGTGGTGACGGGTTAGAGCGGGGGGAGAGGGGGATGGATTGGTCGGAGGGGCCACCGGACGTGGGTGCTCGTGCGGATGATAGGGGTGGGCAAGAGAGAAAGAGAGCGGAGGAGGCCCGGCATTAACCCGCACCACACGCACCACACGCCAAGCTGGCCTTTGTCTTTGTCGACAATATCCCCTAGCCTACCTGCACCTCTTCCCTTCCCTTCTCTTAGCGCGGCTCAGTACCATGGCGCAGTAAATAACCCAATAAATCACTTAGCTATCTCTTATCAGGTTCTCCTTAGGCAGGTGCCCGGACCCGGTTTTTCCTTGCCTACTACTGCAAACAACTGCGGCAACCCACATTCCCATTCTCCTGACCCGCGGGTCGCTCTCTCCCCCTGACCTGGTCCATCACCAGATCCCGGATCTGCGGGTCTGCCGCCACACCCCCTCCTGCCGCAGCCGCCGCCACTGCCTCCCTGCTCTTGCCCGCAGTTGCCCGGTAGATCTCCCCCGAGCCCAGATTGGAGGTCATGATGATGATGGTGTGCTTGAACGACACCGTGCGTCCCTGTATTTTTTGTGTGTGTTGGGGGGAGGAAACTCAAATGCATGCAGGAGGAAACAACGGATTATCTGGGACGGGGATGTGTCGGGCGGTGTGCCCCTCACCCGGCGGGTCTAAAATGGGGACGGGTAAGGAGGGGAAGTCGTAACGAAAACCGGATACAACCTCCAACCACAAGCGGCCCACGCACGCCTGACGGGCAGAGTAGCTCGGTGAGTGAGGGCGACTTAGACAGGTAGGCAGGTAGGTAGGTGGGTAGGAACGGCCCTGCCTGCGGGACATGGGATGGGCACGGACATCTACACACACATCTACACACACAGACACACACAGCGCTACATGTCCTCCCTACCTGCGAATCCGACAGTCGGCCATCGTCCAGCAGCTGCAGCAGCAGATTGAACACATCCACATGGGCCTGGGAAGGGAGGGAAGAGGAAACGCGGGCGTAGGTCTGGGTCTGGGTCTGGGTGTGGGTGAGGATATGGGGAATGGATAGGGACTCGCAGAGGGTCCTTCTGGGCCGTGTAGGCGGTAGCGAAACCTCGACCCTCCCCGGTGGCCAAATGGAAAGGTATGAGCGGGCTGATGTGCAAGGCATCCGCAGGGCGCCATCAGATGATTATTTTGCACAACTGGCCGGACCGTGGAGATGTACGCACCTTCTCAACCTCATCGAACAGCACGACAGTGTACGGCCGCCGCCGTACCGCCTCCGTCAACTGGCCGCCCTCGTCGAAGCCCACGTAGCCTGCCACAACATGTTGGAAACAAAACAGCCTCAGCCTCAGCCTCAGCAGCGTGATGTCATGTCTTGCTGGTGGTACCACACCGAACAGCTAGCACCGCGCAGGAACAATGATTACTAGGTAGCCCTCAACCCCAAGCCTGCAGCTGCATGCCCGCAGCCCGCACTGCGCGCCACCGCAAGGTCGCACCCTACAGCCCCCCCAACCCTACCGCCGTCTCCATGGCACCCATCTACCAAAACAGATACTTAACATATCCTGAAAACCCCCGGAAAACTCTCCGGGAACATTGCCTCCTCGCCCATGTGCGCAGGTGCTATATGCTTTGCAGTCGACTGTGATCGTAGGCTGTACTTGGTTGGCGAATGCCCTCCCCCTCCCCCTCCCCCTCCCCCTCCCCCTCCCCGCACCCACCCGGTGGCGCCCCAATGAGCTTGGACACAGCGTGTTTCTCCATGTACTCCGACATGTCCAGTCGCACCATGGCGTCCTCCCCGTTGAACAGGTGACACGCCAGGGCCTTGGCCAACTCGGTCTTGCCAACACCTGGAAAGTAGAGCGGCGGAGGCGGGGAAGGCGAGGAGGTTGAAAGGTTTGACATGGTGTTTGGCACGGTGCTTCTTAAAAATGCTGTATCTGCGCCGAGCCACACAAATGCATGCACACGCGCACACGTAGGGTGTGTGGGTGCGTTGTGTTGGGCGCTTGTAAAGGGGGGGAATAGAGATGGATAGGTGACGTGGTGAGTAGGATAGCAAGACGAGACGTGGGTGAAGGAAAGGGCCACCAGCTGCCGGGCATATGTGTGGGTATCGCGTCCAGAGACGGGGTGCGTACGCGAGCGGCGCAGGAGCAGTTGAGGAGGGAGGAGTCCTAGAGCGGAGGAGGTTCGGGGGCGAGCCCTGCAGCCCCGCAGCCCCCACCTGTCGGGCCCAGGAACAGGAAGGACGCGATGGGGCCATTGGGGTCCTTCAGTCCGGCGCGGCTGCGGTGAATAGCCTCCGCCACCGCACTCACCGCCTCCTCCTGACCGATAATGCGCCTGGGGGGGGGGGGGGAAACAGGCACAGGCACAGGCACACACACACACACACACACACACACACACACACCAGCCAGCCAGCCAGCCAGGCAGACAGACAGACAGACAGGGAGGAAATGAGAACGAGGGGAAGTTGACAGGTAATCCATCCTAGAGGTATGAAGGGCGCAGGGCGGCTGTCAACCAGGGCGCGAGGTGAGGGCCGCGGCACTTCACCAGTTGCATGCAAAGCCCTGCCCAACCCCTCTTCCTTCTCCCCCTCCTCCACCCCCACGCCACTCGCCTGTGCAGTTCGTTACCCAGGCGCAGCAGGGAGTCCCTCTCCGACGCCACCAGCTTGGTGAGCGGGATACCGGTCCAGGAGGAAATAACGGAGGCGATGTCCGCCTCGGTCACCTCGCCCCCGGGGCATATGGCAGAGCTGCCGCCCTTGGAGCTCGCCTCCGAAGCTGCACGTCGCCTGCGAGCTGCCTCCTACGGGGTCGGGCGGGTGCGGGGAGGAGGCGGGGAAGAGGCGGCGATGTGTGCAGAGCCAAGGCAACCACTGACAGCGTCCTAGCTGGGCAATGAGGAGGAGGAGGAGGAGGGTTGCAATGGCGGGGATGGCGGTGGCGGTGGGGAGGGCTGCGTCATGGTTGTGCTGTGGTAAACGTGCTCCTGTTAGTGTGGGAAGGAGATGACGGGGTTGTAATGCTGAGGACGATGGCGGTCGTCGTGGTCCGTCCTGGTCCTGGTTGTGGAGGAGGATATCAAACGACGGATGGCTACACTATTATACGGGGGGGGGGGGAGGAATGTGACAGGGGGGAAGGGGAACTACCGACATCTGGGGTTGAACAGAGCAGAGTCCGAGAGGGCTGTGCGGAGGGTGAGTGCCCGGGAGTGGAGCAGGTCCTGGTCAGGGAACGGATAACACAAGTCGATATCGAGCCGAGCCGGCGGTATGGGCAACTTAGCATGGGTTGGGTTGGGTTGGGTTGGGTGGGCAAACTGTTGGCGAGATACTGTTGTTCCGGCAAGCTTTGAGAATTGTGACGCAGAAGATGTGAAGCGATGGGCCCACGTCTCCTTCGCCTTCCCAACCAACCTGCGCCGCATGCAGCTTGGCCAGCAGCTGCTCCCGCCGCTTGGTCTGCTCCCGATCCGCCCTGACGTACGGCATAGTACGACGACCAGCAGCCACACAACAGGATTATTCATGAGGCTGCTTGGCGAGCACATCCGACAGCGTTTGCTGCCCCGAGAGGCTTTCCCTCCACACACGCACACAGGATTTTACCCACGCGTCCACACAAACACATTCACACGCAGCCCCCGGCAGAACCCCCCATCCCGACGTCTGTCGACCCCGCAACAGCCTCCAAGCTCCGTCTGGGCCCGGTCTCCCTTCCCCCCCCCCAACATCCCCCACTTACACAGTAAGTTTATTAGGCGCATAACCAAAAGTTATAGGGATGAGGGAAAAAAATAACTGGCCGTCTTGCAAGCCAGACAGCTATACTGCTCCGCCACTAAGGACATTAATATTAAAAATACAAACGCGCGTCTAAATTATTCAAGTGCCAACCTCGCCAGCTCCTGCCTGCGGCACAGATCATCAAAATAAAATCCCAGCCCCCGTCCCACCTGATCCTCTCCGCGTCGCTCTTGGGGCGGTTGGCGCCCTCCGCCAGTGCCGCCTCGCTGCGGCCGCTCTCCTCCGCCTCCAACTCCTCGTGGAGCGACTCCAGCTCTGAAGTCAGGGCCTGGAGCTCACGCGCCTGGACACACGCGCATGCGGGTCGGTGTGTGGACTGGTGCTTAGAAGGGTGCGAGTGTGGTATAGTAAGGGGGGGGATCAGCGCTACCGCTAGTATGTGGGGTATGCGATATGCGTATATGCGTTGAGTGTACATGCGTGACAGGGAAGGAGGGGGCGTCCGCCATCCGGCGTGGGCGTTCCCTGCCCCCTACCCACCCACCCACCTCGCTCTGCTGCTTATCCACACGCGCCGTGACGTCATCCCTCTGGCTCCTCAGGGCGCTCAACTCCGCCTCTAGCTCAGTCAGCCGCAACGCATCGCGCCGGTCCACACCTGCGCCAGCAGAAGCAGCGGCAGCGGCAGGAAGAGCAGGAGAGGGAGAAAACAGTAAACAGACCCGCATTTGGCAGGTAGGCAACGGCCGGCGGCAAATGATCACCGGCAACGGGGGAAGCGTGGCGAGAAACCACTTAAACTCCGTCCGTCCAGAAATTAAATAAAGCCTGTCCATCACGAGCTCTCAGACCCACCCTCTCCCTCATATCCTCCCCCCCTTTTCCTGCCCCTTCCGTTGGGTCACACCACTCACCTGCGGACCTCTTGAGCAGTTTCCGCTCCACCTCCAGTTGGCTGATGCGGCGAATGATGCGGTCTAGCATCTGGTTGGTGGTGGGGGAGGGAGGAGAACGACGAGGAGGGAGAGTGGAGATGCGCGGGTGTGGGGCACATAGGGAACATGAAGGGCGCAAAAGCGGGGATTTGCCGGAACTAATTCAGAAACAATTCGAAGTGGCTGTGCAGGTTTGAAAATCTGCACCCCTCTGCCGTCGCATTCTTATAAAGACGGGATGAAAAGTGGGCTGACGGTTGAGACAGATTGCGAGTGAAGAGATAGCCACGTACTTGGTAATGATGCGTCCAGTGAGAAAGGATGGTGGTGCTAAATGTTGTAAGCTAAGAGCATTGGTGCACTTGCCGCGCTCCCTCACACTCCAGGCACATCACCACCCACCCCTCCTCTCCTCCCCTTACCGCCGGGCGCTGGTCCAGGTCCAGCTTGACACGGGCAGCCGCCTCGTCGATGAGGTCAATGGCCTGAAACAATGACCCACGGGTCACAATACCCCGTTACGAGCCGAACGGCTAAAAGATACTCGGATCGGGAATGGACGCACTCGCAAAGCCCTCCGCTGCACCCATCTGTAAAAGCCTGCTGCGCTTTTGCTCCCACGGCACCTTCAAATTACAATTGTGGCTTCAGGCTTTTGCGCTTCTTGTGAGCTGGTTGTTGGCGTAATCATTATTATTAAGCAAAGGTGTATTGCCCTGCCACTGTACATTGGCATGTCGGAGGCTCTGTTTCGGCAACCAACTTAACTTTCTTGCACCATCATGCCTCAAGCTGAATGAAGAACTCATCAGACGTCTGCTTGGATACGAAACAGAATCCTCAGTGTTAGCCGGAAACGACTTGTGACCCTAAAGCCCAAGTCCCCACCTAGCCCGATCGTGCTGTCTTCCGTTGCCATTTATTGCCAAAATTTTCACACAAACACACGCACATATTCTCTCCGGCTTTATCTGTTCCGTCCCCATTCAGCACACTTCAGGCAGTTTGATTTTTACCTTATCCGGCAGGTAGCGGTCAGCCGTGTAGCGGCTGGACAGCTCCACTGCCGCCACCAGTGCCGCATCGGTGATGCGCAAACCATGGTGCCGCTCGTAGCGGCCCCTCAGGCCGCGGAGAATGGAGATGGCCTCGGCCACAGACGGCTGGGACAGGGGCAACTGCGGGATGGCAGTGGCCGCGGGGGTTTAGGGCGACAAGAGGCGAGGAATTGCTGAAATCCTGACAAGGGCGGGACGGGACACGAGCTAACCGCACTCCAGGAAGGGGCAGGAAGCGATTGCCGGACAAAGAAGCAGGTCGGCATGATGTCCACCCGCCCGCCCCGCCCATCTCGCAGAGTGCCCTCCTTAAGGCCCACCTACCCCTCCCTCCCTCCCCACCTCCCCGCCTCCCTCCCTCTCTTTTCCTGCCCCCTGCCTTCCTCCTTTCTCTCTTTACCTCTCCGCAAGAGCCCCTCTCCTTACCGTCTGGAAGCGGCGCTCCAGTGCCGGATCCTTCTCGATAAAGCGGCGGTACTTGTCAGGTGTGGTGGCACCGATGCAGCGCAGCTCACCGCGGGCCAGCAGCGGCTTCAGCAGCATGGACGCGTCGTTGACTCCGCCACCCTGTACACCGAACCCGACAGGCAGTCCACCCACGGCTCAGCAACACGACTGTAACCACCACCGCCCAACCCTAACCACCACCACCACCGTCACCCACCAGCACCATAACACTGTTGGATGGGAAGCAACCTTCGTGCCAGCAACCTTACACCATATCTGTGCCGCCCAATCATCCCCTCTGCGCGATCAGCCGCCACTGCATACACGCGCAAGGAGAGCACATCCTACCGCCCCTGACCTCCCTCTTTGCCATCTCGCCGCATTTCCTTCATCTGGTGGGAAGCTCCGTCTCCTGGCCCGCCTGCCTCAGGATCACCACCCTGGTGTGGGGCCCCTCACCCTGCTGACATGCTTTCCCCTGCCTTTCTAACCCCTGCCCCTTTGCCCTTACCTGCTGTGCATTGGGCCCAGTGACGTTGTGGATATCGTCAATAAAAAGGATGCAGCTGGTGGGGGCCGGCTCAGCAGGCGCAGCGGGCCCCTTCTGGCCCTGTCCCTGCTGCTGCTGCTGTTGTTGTTGTTGTTGGGCCTGGCGGGGCAGCTCCGTCAGCTCCTTGAGCACTGCGCTCATGCGCTGCTCGAACTCGCCCGGGAAAGTGGCGCCTGCGGGGACGAGGGCGGTAATAGGGCCGTGGACCGCCAGGAATCCGAAAGGGGTTCAATAACCCAAATATTACTTATTACTTATTAAATCATCAAAACAAGGATAGATCAGGACATCTGGTAAGATTCGACTGCTGCCGCCACACGAACCAGCATAATAAGATCCGCCCCCTAAAGGCTGTAGAAGATTACTTCCTTGCCCACTTCACTGCTTCTCAGCCCGGTTCAACCGGTCCACCAGCCCATCCCGCATCACCCACCCAGCCACCAGCCCACCCCATCCCACCCTAGCCCAGTTCCCGAGTCAAACAGCACCCCAGAACCCTCCCTTTCTCAACCCACCCACCAGCCATGAGCATGCCCATGTCCAAAGCAATGATGGCTGCCCCCTTGAGCTCGGGCGGGCAGTCCCCGGCGGCAATGCGCTGCGCCAGCCCCTCCACCAGCGCCGTCTTGCCCACCCCGCTCTCGCCCAGGACCACAGGGTTGTTCTTGGTGCGCCTGCTGAGCACGTTGAATAACCTGTCCATGTGCCAGGAAAGAGGAACACGGTGTGGGGAATCGACGTGTGGGGTCTGAATGGGGTTGAAAGGCGCATACATTGTCCCATTGCGTGCGGGATTCCCAACACGGCCTCTCACGCCCATGCATGCATGCACCCATCCCTCCCTCCATCCCCTTGTAACCCAGTTTCTCGTACCCCCCTCGCACAAAATCACGTCCATCCAACTATCCATCCATCCATCCATCCATGAACTGGCCCTTCCCCCCCCTCTCACTCACACACACACACACACACACGCACACACACACACACGCACACACACACACCTGCGCAGCTCATCCGTTCGGCCAATGAGGGGGTCCAGTTTGCCCTTGCGAGCTAAAGCGGTGAGGTCGCGACCGTAGCGGGACAGGGCAGTGGGAGGCGCCTCTGTGATTTCCTGCAGATTGGGGTTGCACCAAGATGGGCTGGGGTTGATCGACAAAGATAACCGGAGGGAAATGGAGAGAGCAAGTCCACCCTGCTTACCCGCAACCGCAACATCCGCATTTGGGTCGTACTCTGGGTCGTACTCCAGATAGTCCACAGCTACTGTTCCGTTACACCGCTCTGCCACAGCCCCAGTCAGCGGCTCTCCGTTCTCCCGCATATCAAACCCACAACCACCACCACAACCCAGTCACGAGGAGTCCCGCACTACCCTTCTCTCATATCTCCTCTTGCCACGTCCCTGCTCCGCTCTTTTCCTTCCCTCCCCAATCCTCTCCAGTACACCCCTGGAGTCGTATTTATATATATGGAGCGGTATTTTCTGAGTTTTCTTTCCGCAGTTTCTTGTTTCACTTCCGTCACTTTCAAGTTTCCCTTCCCCTTCGTTCCCATCCTCCACCCCTCGCCCTTCCTTTCCAAGCGTCCGCCCTCTTCAACCCCGCCCTCACCAGGCTGGCTTCCGAGTGGTTGTACATGACCCGGGACTTCTTGATGGCCTTGCGCAGGTCATCCTCGGAGAGACCCTCCGCACACGACAGGATCTCACCAAACCTGCACAATACAGCGCAGCACGGGGGATTGAAGAGGAGAATGGCAGAGAGCAGCAGGGAATTTGGGGGCGAGTAAAGGGGGGGAAACCTTGGGAATTGTATTAGGGGACGGGAGATGAACATGCGATGCGAAGTTGGAGGACCGCGTAACGGATGCATGAGGGATGAGGGATGAGATGTATGGTGCACGGAGAATATGAGCAGCTGGTCCCATGCGCACGGGATGGTAAGGTGGTCGAAAGTTTATGTTACCAACCCCCGGTTTGCACGCAAACCAACGGGGCGGCAAGCCTGACCTCTTCCTCCTGCTGTCTCGCAGCCAAGAAGCTTGATAAAGCCGGTAGTTCTTCCCAACCCAAGCGCCATAAAGCTGGCCCGGGTATATGAACGGACCCAAATCGCATGGCGCCAGCAACCTCCTTTCCCCCCCCCCCCACGTGCCACAAGCACCTTGCAGGCGCCCGTTAGCAGGTCGCTCTTCTCCTGCGCATTTAACTTCGTCCGACAGCCCAACTAAAGCAGAACCTGCTATGTCCGAACATACATGTCGGCCCCCCGCTCCCAGCACCAGCCCATGCGATACCCGGAACCCTAGGCCGCCGCCCCCATCTGGATTGACGTTCCTAGGCAGGGTCCCAGCACCCGCCCAGGCTGGAAGAGATAGCTGCCTCTATCCCGCGCGTCACTATCAGCACCACCGCGTTAGGCTCAGCCGCTTGAATCACCGCACCACCCGCCCAGGTACCCCTAAGCGGAGGAGTTAGCGACATGAGTTACCGGAATTGAACACCACAGAATTGGATTTCCAGATCCCCGGGGCCCCCTCACACACACATGCACACACACGTGCAAATCTGTTCTGGACATTTCCGGACGGTCTTCACGGGCGCCTACATCTCCCCGGCACCATAGCTGACCCAGTGGAACGTGACGTGGCTTGTTATTCCTGCGCCACAAACACCCTCACCACCACCCATCCGTTTCCTACCGCGGGTTCTCCGCCAGCGCTAGCACCATGTGCTCCAACGTCATCTTGCCCTCACCCGTCTTGCTGCACTGGGCCTGTGCGCGGGCTAGCAGGGCCTCCACCTCGACCCGGTTGGCGTTCTGCAGGAGAGTTAGAGCCATAACGACGCGAGATGTGCGGCGGGGAGAAGGGCGGTACCGCGGCTGAGTGGGAACTGTTGGAAGGTGACCGACCGACAGGGTACTGGAGAGGACGGTTACGAAGGTATGTAGTTGAGCAGCGGGGGCGGGCCTCGGAAGCAACGTGATAATATGGGTCCCCCTCTTTGGGAAAAGGCATGTGACCTCGGCTGGGGTAAGAAGACCGTATGCAATGTAAGGGGCGTGTGCCAGGCGGCCGGGCTTAGGCTGTGGTCGCCCACGGACGGCTTTCTGCGGCGCAGGCGCCTGGATGGGTATCCACCCTTCCTGATCCTCGACTAGCCGAACAACCATCCCCCAGGCACCACTTCCGCACGGTGCAGTCGGTTTGCGCTGCATTTGCTGCCGCTGCCGTGGGACGACAACGCTACATCTGGTGCTCCTTTACGGCTGACTCATAACCAGCACGCGGCCAACGAGGCAAAAAAAACGTGCAAATTTAAAGTCCCTTATGCAGATGGTGTTTGATCGCATATCCCGTTAGGGAATTTGGCGCAAAGATTGGCCCCAACCGTGGGAAGGCCGCCGAAAAACCTCACCCCTAGCTCTTGTCTACTTCAACGCCAACTGCAGCTGGGGAAGCTCGCATACCTCATCCAGTATAGGCTGGGCCTCTTGCTGAACGACTTTCTGTCCAGATCCCGCAGCAGATGGTGCTGCGGAATCTGCTGGTGAGGCCGTTTGGGCAGGCATCAAACGCTTCTTGTTCTGTTGCCTTGCATACCATTCCAGCAGCCACGTCAGAGCATATACAACAGCACCAAACACAGCAGCCTGGCCTACAACAGAGTAAACCTTATCTAGCATTTCTTTGTACCCCATCGTAGGGGAGGCTTGTTTTAAAACTGTCTAAAGACTAGATTTGACGCATTATCCTGGCAATTTCTTACTGCATACTGCAGGCGGCTACTATACCTTGAGCGCAACGACAGTTGAAGTCGCGCCGTACACGCGACAAATTACCGGTGAAATAACCAAGTATGCAGAGATGGTATATCCAAGTTTTTATGTTGAATTCTGAATACGAATGAACACCAACCTGCAAGCCGCTCTAGACGAGGCGAACAAGTGTATAAAGCGCCAGAAGCTATGTGCCTCCAAGAGCGATGCGGTTTTGGACAAGATAATAGGCATGGTGACGGCCGCCCAGAAAGAACTAGAGAATTTTGCTGAGGGCTCGGACCCGGAGGCCACCATAACGAGTTTACACAAGGGCATAGAGGAGGCGGGTCTTTTTAAGGAGATGAACTCTTCCACCAAAGACCTCCATACGTCTGTTGCCAAGCTGGGAAAGGTGGGGAAAGGTGATTTATAGTATTGACATTTAGGGTTCACATCAGGTGGCAGTGCATAAGTTTTTAGATAATGGTTTTGGTTGATGGGGTACATCAGCGAAGGTTAAAGATTTACAGCTTTCCGGCACCTCACGTCGCTGCGAGTCCGTTGAAAAATGAACGGGATACTATGGTTGGGTGCTGCGATTGCCCGCCCCTCCAAGCCCATGTGGACTCCCCAATAATTATACTATTATAGCGCAATCAAACCCTTCCCCGATACCTCTCGCGGTTAGCCCATCTACAGCAATCCGCCCGTTCAGCGTTCCCGCCCATCGGGGTACACGTTGCTCCCCAGGCCTTAGAGCGAGCCTTGGACATGGATGCGGACATCTGCCGGGCGCTGCGGCCATGTCCAGCTCTCAAGGATGACCCCGGGCTCCTGGCCCGTGTCGTGGCGGAGCACTTCTATCGGGAGGGGCGCTTTGAGCTTGGGGACACGCTGGCCTCGGAGGCAGGGCTGATGGACGCGGAGGAGCTGCGAGCACCGTACGCCGCCATGCACACCGTGCTGGAACAGGTGCGGACGGACCAGGGCCTGTGAATATCGAGAGCTGCGGTGGGATGTGTGGAACAGGGGGCATATGTCAAAAAGCAGCAGAATGTGGGCGCGCGTAACAAGTGCAGCACAGCATGACACGCCGCCGGGTCAGACTCCCCCGCTTGCGGTGTTGCGTGGGATCACAGCCATTTAGCTGCTGTGCGCTGCTCTTCCAGCTACGCCGTTGGCCACGAAGATCTGCAGCCCAGGTCCGTCCTCTTAAGGAGTCAGGAAGGCTGCTTGCACGCATGAGCACGCCTTCAAAAGCTCTTGGGCGTTTTCCTCGGGCCCATAATACAGCGTTTGGGTTACACGGGCAGCGCGACTGGTCGTATCCCGCTGCGGGGATTAGTGAATCCCACCCCCAAAGTCAGACCCCCAAAGCTATGACCACTGTGACTTACTGCTTAAGTCACCATTGGTCAGTAAAATACTCCTGCAGTATTTATCTTCTCCTGGACCACCTCTGTCTATCTTTGGAGAATCTGCTTCAATCGTCAGTGGTTCGCCTGACCCCCTTGACGAGTTAACAGTCAGCCGTTTACTTCCTCATGAGGGGTCACGAGGGGTCACTGGGGTTGGTGGGGCATAAGAAACGACAACCGGGCCCGCACACAAAGCAGCCGCGAATGTGGGCCCAGGTGGTGAGGGCGGAAGGCGGAGCTCGGCTAGAAAGTCTGTTGCACGCCTGCACCTTCCATTTAAATGCCTTGGCAAAGAAGAACTCTAGGAGTTCGGGCCGTTGATTCTCATCTGCGTCTTGTTCGTTCAAGCTCGTGTTGTCCTTACCTCCTGAACCATCCCGGCCCCTCTACCTTTCCCATCCTCCTGTCCGTCCGTCTGTCCATGGTCATACCCCATCCTGCCCAGATCCGGGTGCACAACCTGGATCCCGCGTTGCAATGGGCAGTGGAGCACCGCTCCCATCTGAGTCCGGATGGCGGCCCCTCAGCCTTCGAGTTCCGTCTCCATCGTCTCAAGTTCGTGCAAGTGCTGCAGTCTCAGGGTGGGTCACACAGGGTGCGATCGCTTTAAGTGCGAGTGACATTACATGGCAAGAGAGCGGGCACCGGAACAGAGCATTGTGGAGTAGTAGGGACAACTATGTCACCACCGTAGGGACAGGGAGAAGCATAAGTAGCTCTCTACGGCGAAGAGTACACAGGAGAGCAGTATGGAGACCTTGTGCTGCATGTAGTTGGTGTGTCAGCTTTGAGCCCGAAGGGTAAACATGCACGTGGGGACCGGGGCGTCCCGGCCGGCTGGCGGCCGGTGGCAAGATGTGTATCCTTAGCCAAGGACACTGCCATCATGCGCGCGGGGTGCGGGGATGCGCACATGATGAGCTGGGCCGCCTGCCCAACTCCTCGCCGTCCTCTCACTGTCGGCCGGGCCCAACCACGCAGGCCGCACCGCAGCCCTGGCCTACGCCAAGCGCCACTTCGGGCCCCATGCGTCGCGGCACTTACAGGACATCCAACGGCTCATGGGTTGCCTGCTTTTCGCGGATCGCGAGAAAAGGCTACAGCAGCAGCAGCAGGCGGCTGACGGAGCAGCGGCGGGGCCGGCGGCAGCAGCAGCGTCGCACCCTTATGCGGACCTGATGTCGCCCTCTTGTTGGGACGCAGCGGCGCGGGAGTTCGCAAAGCAAGCGTGCAGCCTCATGGGGCAGGTGGGTGGGGAAGCAGGACTGAGAAGCAAGAGGATATACGATAGCAAGGGTCGTGTAGCTGGCAATGCAGGTGGGCACTTCAAGAAGCTGTTAGAACCCCGAAGCAACGAAGTAAGCACAAGTACCTGCAAATTTCAGATCCTTTGATTTTAACCATTAACTGTCAACCGCTTAGGCATCGGAGAGCCCGCTGACCACGGTGGTGGCGGCTGGTTCGGTGGCGCTACCGGCGTTGCTCAAGATGGCGGCTGTCATGGAACGCAACTCGCAGGTGAGCGGGGATCACGGACCAGGCCCTGAGGGTGTGTAAGCACTGCGCTAATGCACAGTTGGTGTTGGTGTGCGTAGTAGCGTAGTGCGTAGTAGATCTGAATGCTTAACGTTATGTGTGCTTTCTTGTGAATCGGATGTGTTCATGGTTCGCTATGTTCCTCTGGCGTATCCTCCGTGGCGTACACTGGGGTCACTTGTTGGATCCGCGCTTCCCACATCCCCGCATGCTCAATTCCGAGTGTTACCTGGTTCCACGGTGCTTTTCCCTGTCCCCTGTCGCGCCCGCTTTTCCTCGGCTGCCTCCCAGGATTTGCGTACAGTGGATCAGCTGCCGGTGGAGATCGAGTTGGGCTCGGAGTTTGTGTTCCGGTCCATCTTTGCCTGTCCCGTCTCGCGCGACATGTCCACTCCCGACAACCCGCCCATGCTGCTGCCGTGCGGCCATGTGCTATGCGAGCAGTCGGCGAGCAAACTGGCCAAGGCGCGTGCGAGGCCCTTCAAGTGCCCCTACTGCCCACAAGAGGCCCGGTTGGATGCACTCAAGCCGCTGACGTTTCCCAGAGTGGATTAAATCGGGTTTGGTGGTTTGTCGGACAATGTGGGCTGTGGTAATCGGGTGTCGTTACATTGGTTTATTATTATAGAATAGAACTAATGCATGTTTTCGTGTTGACTGGTTGTTCAGATTATGAGGTGTACGATTTCGAGGACGGCTTAAAGTAAGTTTAGTTTTTAGGACTCTTAAGGTTTTAAGGTTTTAGGACTAGACGCTTCGTTACGCATGGTTAGGCGCATGTTATATTGACACACGAAGGGAAGGTGACTGGAAATAATGAGATAGTCTTCTCTTACATCTCGTTGAAGTTATAGCAGCAATAAGAAAGCTACACCTCAGTGTAGCCAAACAATTTGGCGAACACAGCCAAACACCGCAGTACTGATATCATTTTCAAGATCTGCCGGCCATAAGACGCAACGCAACGCATTGCTTTTACAGCAGGAACCCCGAAAATAAGACAGCCCATCCGCTGCAAGAATTGCATGGTCATGTCGATATTGTTACAAACCGATGCAAAACGTTCCGCGCCATGCCCCACGGAACACCCTACGGCCAAGTGGTCAACCATCCAAAAATCCGCAATGTCAGGCAAACCATCTGAACTACGATATCTTTGAATCAGGTGTTCTCATTCAAAAACTCCAGCCTAATTCTAAGCTACCGCAATACATCCGATCAGACCGCCCGGTTCCTAATCGTGGCGGCCATCGACGCAAGTTTAACCAGCCGAAGCGACGGTCTCCGGCACAGCTCGCTCGACATCAATTACTGAGGACCAAATGCCTTGCCTGCAGAGCAGGAAGAGGAAGCGAACAATTGTTTACCCCACGTTTTTCAATGGCAAGGCAACACAAGGAATGCCCTTAGACATCGAACACCCAGCTGACAGGACCTAGTGCAACCAAGAGCGTACTACCCTTTCGTAAAAGCGGCTCCACATCCTCGCTTACCGAAGTTAGTCAGGATGTTGTTGTTGACGGGGTCAGCCAGGTGGTCCAGCAGGTTCTGGAAGGGACCCTCCCGGGTCAGGGTGGCCTGGGCACCGTAGCCCAGCATGGCAAGCATGGCCTGCAAGCATTGTGTAGAACATGAGTAAAAGGCAGCAGCGGTGCAAACAACGCATATTCACTACGAAGAACACTTACCAGGCGGCCGTTCTTGATCTCCTTCAGCTTCAGCTCCTTCATGGCAGCCTCAGTCTTGCCCAGGTTGAACAGGTTGAAGAACGGGCCACCTGCATTAATCAAGGATGTCATAATGCAGGCAATTGAGAAAACAACCGCAGGGCAGCGGAGGCATAGAAATGCACCGGCATTACGCCAGACATAAGTAGGCACATAATTCTCCACGACGGTAAACAAAATGCAGTAACGCACCGGGGTAAGCGGGATCGCCGCTGCCAGCGAAGATCTTCTCCAGACCCAGGAAGTATTGCTTGCCCATCGAGCCAGGGTAGCGGAAGTCCTGCATGCCCAACGAAGACACAACAAATCATAATGGCACTAATCGGGTTGAGCCACGGCTTCAATTCGGACCGAAACAATTGCGCACCTGCAGGCGACGCAGCTCGGCGAACTGCATAGCAACAATCTCAATAAAGAAGATCGTGTATGGGTCAGCCCAGTAGCCATCGTACGAGCCAGCCGGTGGGATGACACCACTCTCGTACCAGACAATGTTGGTCTTCTCCGGGATCAGACCAGCGGCACCCAGGATCTCCGGGGCGATGCAGCCAGCGGCGCCAAGCATAGCCCAGCGGCCGTGAATGACCTCAGAGTACTGCAGCCACTTGGGCTCAACGAAGCCGCCCGAGTTGACTGGGTCCAGCAGGCCCAGCGGGTCGAAGCCGAAGTCCTGTGCGCCCACGTGACCAAAAAATCGAGATCCCTTACAAATTCAGGCAGAAAGCCTAACACTGATCAGGTTTATGCATAGGTGCCCGTCCTAACGCAAGAACCAGAACGGTGGTCCCAAACGATGTTTGGACACATATTCGCTGTAAAACACAATGTTGCGCATGATTGCAGCTCAGATCTGAACTGTTGGTTCAAGATACCAAATATCTTGCACACACCGCAAGCAATCAGAACATTGCAACCGTAAAGCATGCACCAAATGCTGGTAAGGCAAATATCCTTACAGGCTGTGCAATCGAGAACACATAGATTACAGCAGTGAGCCGGACAGCAACGCGATACTCACGCCCGGCAGGGTGCCATCCAGGTAAGCCAGCGACGACTGCGAGGCGCCGACGTACAGCTGGTCCTTCGAGCGATCCACCTAAATAAGATTGATCAGGGAAGGGAACGCTATCAGAGTTCAGGAACACCATGGCCCCAGCCATCACCGCCCTGGAAAAGTTTTAAGTCTTGTAATTTGCTGCAACACCTCACCGTTGCGATGGACTTCTCCTCAGCGCGGCACACCAGGCGAGCCCGGTTGGCCTGGGCCGGGCGGGCGGCCTTGCCGCTGAAAGCGGCCTGCAAGCCATGGACACGAGTATCATGTCAGTAGCAACCAACTATGCAATGTAATTTAGTATCGTTTCATCTATAGAAAACTTCAGGTCTTTCAATTAATCATGTTGAATATGTTGCTCGCCAGGGACAATCGCGTCAGGCAAAAAGGCCATAAACAGCACATCATCACCTGTGCAGAGCGGTTGAGGAGCATCATTTTCACTCGAGGTGCCGACTGCGACGTGCAGAGACAGGCCACTGCGGCACGTAAGTGTAGGCGATTTCGAGATCGGAGAGGGATCTCCTGGAGCTGACTGGTCGTTGTAGTCGTTGTACCTCGGGCATTTGTGCTGAACTGCCTATATCATGGATGGATGAGTTGGCTTTGTGTTTGCATCATCATGCGATGAGCTGCATTATGATCACAGAGAAAGTTAAGATTCTTGAATGTTGAAGTCGTGCTCGTATTTGCACAAAAATTCTTAAATTAATTATTCCTTGAGATTTGCGAAGAGGCTAATATCCTCACCTGAATCCGTGGAAAGAGACGGCGACGGAGTGCACATCTCTTCACCCTACTTGAAGATAATGTTTACTTTCATGCTGACAGGCACACTACTTATGTAGTCAGTATAGGATTGCTTTCGCTCTAATACAGGTTAGATATGTAGCGGTTCTCTCCCGCTGCTCCATGATTGACCCCTTGCACCCATTCCATGGGGCTTTGCAATCTTCGTAAACAATTTGTTACTTGGCAAGGCAAGGGTTTTGTCTCCTGGTATGTCATGATGGTAGCCTGGGATGAGTTACAAGTTCCGCACAAGAGGAAGGGCCCGTCCGTAAAGCCGACTGACGACGTTGTCGTCCTCCCCCGCGCGTATAGGCTTGACGCGCCTGTTTGCGTCGTGCCTATCTTCCCAGGATTACGGGAGAAAACGTACACACAAACCACAGCTAGAGGATCCCTCAGCCATAATCGTACGAAGGCTGGGTACAGTGAGGTCCATACTCTTCCTCGATGGAGTGAAGGTTGCTCCTGTTCGTGCCGTGCCATCATCTCTCTCATTGCTCCCCCCTAACATCGTGATCCTTGGATTCCAGCAACAGACGGCCCAACAAAAGCGCATACACACAGCGTTTGTACGAGTAATGGTGAGGGTATTGATCCATAAGTTTGTTCCGTGCTGCGCGAATTGTACGCAACTCACGACAAGGGGGAACCTGACGCGCTCGCTGAACGCTTCTTCCTTGCTTAGCTCAGTTGGTGGAGAGCGGAGGAATGTCTTATAAGGATATGGCGATGTTGATGAATTTCGCCCAGCTGGACGACCAGCGACGCCGCCCAGGAAACTGATCAGGGATACACATCAACCTGATGTAGTACGCTTATGGGCGGGAGCACTGTTTCTTACCCTATATTGCGTTTAGGGCTTTAACTTCCTAGAACCTTCCAGAGTGCAGGATGGAATATGCTCTGTGAGCGTGTGTACTCACGATACTACGATATTACTTCTTCACGCAACGTCGACTGGGTGCTCCATGCATTCGGCTTCGGTGCTCAGACACCTCACAAGGGGAAAACATGGAATGTTATGCAGGTTTGTCGGTTTGTCCCTCATGTTTGCAGAAATAGGTCATCACACCCTTGGGTCAGTGATGAAAGTGTGTGATTGGATATAATCATTGGGACGGCGCAGGCACACATGGAGCAAAGCCTTCCTAACACGTGTTTTAAAGTATGCACGGAGCAAAGCCATACTTCCGCGTGCTACTAAACATGCAGGGAACGATATAAACATAGTAGACACCCAGGGACGACCGTCCAGAGGAGGGTAGACACTCCTCAGGGATGATCGTCCAGAGGAGTGTCTACCCTCGCAATACCTTGTATGAGCTAACTATCCTCGCCATCGGGCCATGAGGACAGTATTGCGAGCAGGAAACAACGCTGGGATGGAATCGACAAAGCTGGCTTTACCGCTGACCAGACCCAAGCGTCAAGCCGCTCAACATGCAATTGGAGAAAAAACAACACAATGAGAACGCCGCTTGGCCCAAGACCAGCGACGCCTAACAACCGATGCCGCCAGGACACCGCACCCGGTCATAACGTGTAAGAATACCGTCAGATCACTACAAACTCAAATCAGTATATACAAATATACAAATACAAACACAATGTTGGGGACAAAGCTGTGGAAAGGTCCTTTCCAAGAGCAAAAGGCCGTACTTGTTGGGCCCTGCAAGCCTTATCTCGAGCGACTTAGCAAGCGCTGGCCAACGCTCATCCCTCGCACTTGCTTGCGCACAGTTAGCCACTTGATCCTACCTCGTGCGCACTTAGCGCCGAGTTGCCTTGCGTAGTGACAATGCTTGCCGCCAAGTCAGTCGTGGGCCAGCGTGCCTTCAAGGCGTCGGCCACGCGCGCCGCGCCTAAGGGTGCTCGCCGCGCTGTTGTTGTGATGGCCCGCAAGAGTGAGGTCAGCGAGTCCTACGCTAAGGCTCTCGTCGAGCTGGCCGACGAGAAGGGTAAGCTGGAGGCCGTGCATGCCGATGTGGACGCTGTTTCCAGCTTGATGAAGGAGAACAAGAAGCTCAGCGACCTCATCATGAATCCAATTGTTGATGCTGACAAGAAGCGCGCTGTTCTGGCGAAGATCGCTAAGGAGGCTGGCTTTCAGCAATACACGGTGAACTTCCTCAACCTCTTGGTGGAGAAGGACCGTTTGTCGCTGGTGCCGGAGATCTGCGAATGCTTCGAGGACCTCTACTGCCAGATGACTGACACCCAGGTCGCTACTCTGCGGTCCGCCGTGAAGCTGGAGCAGGAGCAGCAATTCCTGATCGCCAAGAAGCTGCAGGAGCTGACCGGCAGCAAGAACATCAAGTTGAAGCCTGTCATTGATTCCAGCCTGATTGCCGGCTTTGTTGTGGAGTATGGAAGCAGCCAGATTGACCTGTCCATTCGCGGACAGATTGAGCGCGTCGCTGACCAGCTCACGAAGGAGATGACCGCCAAGCTGGCGTAAGCTTGGAGTGCAATGGCAATGTAGGGCAGTGTCGCTTGGGCAGATTGGGGTGTGATGAGCGTTGTGTGCAGCGAACTTGCATACGCTGCACCTCAGCAGTGCCGGGGCGGCTGACTGGGGTTGGCATGTAGACGCGTAGTTCCGGAGATATAACATAGGCAGCATACACACGATTGGAGTAGATTCCAGCGGATGGGTGTGCGTGACTAACTGTGTGATGCTATGGTTTGGCACGCCGTATCGGCGCAGCTTCGAAGAGCAGATTACTTTGTCTATGACTTCGAGGGCATAGCAATTTTGCTATTTTGCTTAAGCCACATGGGTGAATTGTCTCCTGAAGATGGTATGCATGTTGGACTTTTGCCTTGGTGATACACTTTTACCATGTGCAAGCGCTCCCGCGGACATTTTGTGCTGGGGCAGCTTTGGGGTTAGAAAGCTCCTTGGGTCTGCGAGCCTGACACACCAGATTACCTCCTGAAAGGAGATTTCGCCTTGTAATTGAAATGGAGTGCCTTACTTTGCTATCCACCAACGGGGGGGTGTAAGAGCTATTGTAGGAAACCCAAGCCTAGGGGATTAGGGCTTCCAATACGGTCGCGGAACAGCAGGCCAGCCGATTGCAGTCTGGGAACAGCGGTTGATTATCATGAGTGCAGCAGCCGCAAGGCGTGAGAGACCGCCGTACGGAAGTTGTGGGGACCTCCTCGCGTGTTGATCGAAGCAACCCCTTGATCGAAAGTGGATGAGTACCACATACACCTGTGGTCCCAATGATTCTGCATTATCATCATGCTTGCTATACAATACCATGACGGTATAACTGTACCAACACTTGAATCATTGTGTAAAGGGACTACTGGCACATAACTTTGCAAACTGTTTATATAGATAGTGCTTTGATCAGGAAAGAGTCTTAGCCATGTTACAAAAATTATGCAGGCATTGATATAACGGAAGAACCTTGCCCAAAGCGGTGCGTCTTGGACGAGTGCAAGTTTGAAATGGCAGAATCTCAGCTGGAGGATCGCGAGCATCAGGAGGGGTATCGCGCGCCGCGAGTGGCACTCACAATACGCGATTTTCATATCCTTGGTCGTATCGGCGATGGCAGCTTCTCGACAGTTTTCTTGGCGCAACAAAAGCAAACGGGAAAGCAGTATGCGATAAAAATGATGAACAAACATCTTATCATGCGCAATAAAGTTGTTGAATACATCAAGAATGAGCGCTTTATTCTCGACAAGCTGGATGATGCCGGCATTGCCAAGCTCCATTTCACTTTCCAGGACCCAAACAACCTATGTAAGCATCAAAGAACCTGCAGTAAGGAGGGGAAGCAGACGGGGTTGTACCAGGCAAGCGCCCGGAGTAGGGTTTGGGTTGCAACTGACACGGTGCTGACACAGCGACAACCATCCAGATTTCCCTCCCAAAATTACATTTCTGCGCACTTGCTGCCTACGCGCCTTACTTGGGTGCCCCTGCGGTCGGCGTTCCCTGGGCCCGTAAACTGCTCAATTCCACTTCGGCAGACATGGGCATGGAGTACTGCGCTGGCGGCGAACTGTACGAGCAGATAAAGAGGGTACGGATGCTGATTTTCGCTATAAAGACGAATGTCCCACACCCTTTGGAGGGTACGTGTCCTGCAACGCGTGTGGCTTGCGGATGCATGTGCACGTGTTGCTGCATGTCCCCTCCCCTTTTTCCCCCTTCCGTGCACCCCAGTTCTCCGATGTTTTTGTAATACTGCATATAATCCGGTCCCCCGTGTCGCAGCGTGGCGGCCTTCCCCTGGACGCTGTGCGATTCTACGCAGCGGAGGTGGTGCTCATCCTACAATACTTGCGTAGCGCCCAGGTGGTGCACCGGTGAGAGCGTCTGTCTGTCTGCCTGTCTTGACTGATTGGCTGTCTGGCCTGCTAGCTGGTTGGCCGGTTGGCTGGATGATGGCTGCCCAAGGGCCCAAGGGCGGTTAGGACCTGGGGCCTGAGGACCCGGGTATGTAGCGGGTCACCCTGCCAGGCAGGCATGTTGTGCGTGTGGGGCCCCTGGCTGGCCGAATGGTGGCCGGCAGCCCGGCTGAGGTTCCTGCTACCTGCCTGCCTGCCTGCCTGCCTGCCTCCCTACCTGCCAGCCTGAGATAGTTTGGCTGACTGGCTCGCCGGACGTAGTGGACTCGCTGAGGAGAAGACGGGTGGTGTTCTGGCGGGCAGGGCGAATGATCGAATCACAGATTGAGTCGCTGGCTGGAGAGCTAGCTGCATCTGGCCGGCTGGCTGAGAGTGAATGTGTGTGTGAGGAAAGGCCGAGCATGCGGCACGCAAGGGCGGCCGTGCCCATGCCCACACGGTGTGTCTGACAGCTTCGTGCACCCATGGCCCCTCTTCCTCTAGCTGGTCGCCCCGTTCCATATCGCTCCATTTTGGTACTTGGACCGCAGCGCCCCAACCCCTTTTGTTACCTGTTACCCCGGCCTTGCAACAACGGGTGCAGGGACCTTAAGCCCGAGAACCTGCTGCTGTCAGCGGACGGCCATTTGAAGCTCATTGACTTCGGCAGCGCACGTGCATCCTTCTTGCCTCAAGCGGAGAAACCGCCCGGCAAAAATAGGTATGTATGCAAAGCGGCTCAGGAGCGGACATTTCTTAGCCCCCTGCAGTTGCTTATCCCCCTGGCATGACACCGCTCCACACGGCTACACGGCGGCGGCATGAAACCCCACCAACCCCAAGCAACCCCAAACACCGACCCCGGCACCGCGGCTCTTAACTATCGTAAGCTTTCCCGGGTTCTTCAAGGACTCGATGAGGCCAACCAACCATGCGCCTTAGATATTGAAAAGCCGTTCGTCCCGAAATCCGAACCATTCGCGAATGGTCCCTCCCCTTGCCCTCCCGCTTATATAGGCAGTCGAACCCTTGTTCTTTAACCTGCATTTACCCCTCTCCTTCCCAGCTCCAATCGTCAGTGGTTCGTCTTACTTCCCTCTCTACCAGCCTAAGTTGCCGAGGCCACTGCGGGCCTTCGAAAGCCCGACTCTGACCCAACCTCCAGCTTGATTCCCACCCAAGCCTGACGGCCACTCGGCACATGATCATGTCAGCCTTCCCCCAACCTGCGCCAGGGCCACCTCTTTTGTGGGCACGGCGGAGTACGTGTCCCCCGAGGTGCTCCTAAACCAACCCTTGTCGTACCCTGCGGACCTTTGGGCTCTGGGCTGCCTGCTATACCAGATGATCGTGGGTAAGTGCGCGACTGGGTTGTGGTTGGCTGGGATGATGGTTGGGGTATAATATGCAGGACATAAAGCAGACCTGTGAGAAGGTGCTGGGACAGGTGTGTGTATGCGCAGCGCCATGTGGGCTACCCCTGCTGCCGCCTGCTTTTGCGCTCTCTTTCTGTCTGTCTATCTGTTTGTCTGCTCCACCTACGCCTCCTCCACCGGCGTCGCAAAGCCATGTAGAATAGCCACGCGGCACTGCGGTACCCGCGGGTCCCGGGGGGTCCGTTACTCCGTGCTCCCGTCTCGTCGGGAACACACACCACATGTGATGGTGTCCTCCTACCCGCTACGGTGACCCCTGCTAGCCTCACCCGCACTGGGGTCACCGACTTAACCAGAGCGCACAGGGCTTATCCTGCACTCTGCCGGACTCGGCGCTGTGGAAAGTGAACGTCGTCAAACTGGATGATGATGATGACGATAATTATGACGACGATGATGATGATGATGATGATGATGATGATGATGATGATGATGATGGCGGTGAGGATAAGGATGAGGATGAGGATGGGGTGAATTGGCCGCGCGCAGGTCGGCCGCCCTTCAAGGCCGCCAGCGAGTACCTCACCTTTCAGAAGATCACCGACCGGGACTTCTGCTACCCTGAGGAGCCCGCCACGGCGGCGGTGGCGGCGACAGCGGCGGGTGACGGAGACGATGACGATGATGCGCCGTCGGTGGTGGTGTACCCGCCCGAGGCCCGCGACCTCACGGACAGACTGCTTGCGATGGAGCCTTCCGCACGAATTGGTGAGAGCTGTACCGAAACCGAATCCGGGCCAAAACCAACCAGATGCATGAGTACGATACTGGGAAGGATTCTCCAATCCTTTTTGAGGGAAGAAATGGATTGAGGGATCCATTTCTTCGCTCGATCTCTACCCTCGACCTGATGACTGCCGCAGCAGGGTTGGCCAGGAGCTGCTAACTGGCCGGCTCCTTGCCAATCCTACTGCTGCATGAGTGGTTAGCAGAGCGCTAGCAGATCTGGCTGGGGGTAGGGAGCCCTGCGGCGCCATCGTTGCACGCGGGTTGATTTCTTCCTCCAAACCATACCTGCACACATTGCCACACATCCATGCGTACACGTGCAAAGTAAACACGTGCAGATAGGTGACGACTTCTAAACAAATCTAGCCGTTGTGAGCTTTGTGTGCTTTGACGTGGAAAATGTCATCATCGCCTATCATTGAAACCCAACCGGTGAAAATGTTTCCAAGGAGATGTACCTTTTACCCGAAGCCCCTCCTGCCCTCCCTGTCCCTCACCATCGCCAGGCGCGGAGGACATCTCCGAGCTCAAGGCACACCCCTTTTTCGCCGTTATCGACTGGGAAACGCTGCGCTCCGGGCCTGCGCCGTCCTTTCTACCGCCTACGCCGCCAGGGGGCGCAGGCGACGGCGAGGAGGGCTGGGACTGGGAGCTGACCTCGCTAGTGCGCGACGCGGCCGATGGGTTGTAGTGCAGCGCCTCCCGCACCCACCCGCCCGCCTGCAGACGTGGGTGCCGCCCGGTGCAAAGGATAACCGTCGTTGGAAGGCGCGCGAGAGGGCGAATACCGTGGATGCGATTTCGAGGGTTAGGCAGGATAGTGGTTACGAGTGTCTTTTGCCAGGGACGAAGCCGGCGGATGACCTGCGCCCTTGGACAAGGACAAGGGAACTGGTCAAGTGCGAGTGTAGGTTACGGGACGGAAGTTGCTGGGGGCATTGCAGGGGCCGTCGTCGTCCGTGCATGACCAACCGGCGCACCGCATGTGCATGGAGCGTTGGCTGTCGTCCGACTCATAATAACGAGCGCATGACCGTTGTCGTCATCGTCGCAAACCCTAAAACCCTAAATTGCCATTTAGTTCTTTTCGGAGACTGCAAAGCTCGGAGTTGTCAACCGAAAGGCGCAGAGGGCGAACACGTTCCGGTGCACGTGCGGGGGCCGGGTGCTCTAAAAGCTTGTCGATGATGCACGCAGGACCCCGCTGTGTGACCACGTAGACCGGTGGCCTAGGGCGACTTGGGCCCTGTTCCGTCCGGCGTATGCCTGTTTGCTGGAGCACGTATGCATATGTGGGGGAAGGGGTCGGTTCCTTCCCAACGACATGTGACAAGCAGGGGGCATGCAGTAGTGTTGGACACCCTTGTTGCTTGGGCAGGAAGGCGGGCGTGTGGGAAGGGAAGAGATGAGAGCACTGTGACGGCGCTACGTGCCGTTTGTGGCTATAGTTACAAGTTCCGCACAAGTGCGGGTGTGTCCGTAAAAGCCAGGGGGTCATGGACGGTAAATCGTTTTTAGTGTGGTTACGTGGTAGACCATCATCGTTTGTGTCTAGAAGTTAAGAAACGTAGGCGCATAGGCCGATCGGGGTAGCTGCTGGTTGCACATCGGGACGTGAGCCGGATGCAGTCTGAAGACACCCGTATGTCCGCAGCTCCCCAAGCGTCCGAGGAAATAGGCAGGTAGCAGATGCACCCCTGCCGCTCGGCCAACGCGCTGTGCCGCACACCGCAGTGGGCTTCGCTTTGGGTCCCCCTTCACACGCGCACATTTCCACGCACACAGGTGTGGCATGAAAAATGGCATTGTGCGCATTGAGGCTCCCAAGTTTTGCGTGGGGGATTGTTCGAAGCTCAGAGCAGCACACGGCTGGTGAGGCTCAGGTGGGTTGGGTTGGACTGGTTGTATGTAGGCATCTGCATAGGGATTGCTTAGAAAGCCAGTGCTGCAGGCCGCGCGCGCGTGATGGGGAAAAGAAATCTGCTTCAGTGCAGGGCTATACACGCTTCGACAAGTTGTCGGGCAGACAAGGCAAGAGAGTTCCTTTTGTAATTATGGATACAGCCTAGAAATGGTAGGCTTTGCAAAGTACACCCTTTCTTTTGCCTATTTTGTTCATGGTCTTTGCACTTCCATAGAAAAGCCTTCTCGAAGCGTGCAAGTAGAGGTTCAACCGACTGTGCTCTACTCCCTGCCCTACCATATTCTTTTTTGGGAAACCTTTTTACCGAGCTATGACAATTGCATTTCAGGCTTTCCCGCGCGGTTCACGCATCCTTGAGGCAACCCCAAACCTCCACACTGGAAACCTTGTGGGAAAGTAGAGGATGCACGAGGTTGGATCTATATGTTCAGGCGAGAATTGCAAATGCAGCTTGTAGCTTCAACTTGTTCATGACGATCCTGTACAACGATTTTGGGCCAACTAACGAAATATTTGGGTTTCCCCGCCTCGGAGTTTCAGAACGGGGACCCTGCAAGAATATTACGGTAATGTAAGTAGCATTTAGTACAACGGTACATCCTATCATCTGCCTTGTGAGTTCGTGAACTTCAGGTGAAAACTCCAGGAGGGCACACACATGGGTACGAGGGTGTCATATATAAAGGGCTAACACCGCACTTAAACTATGCGCCAAGTTGTAGGACGGATCATATAATTGCATAAGTATAGAAAGTCAGTTTTGTATCAGTCACACTTGTTGGAAGTCTTACGTGAACGCAGCAGTCGCGACAAAAGCTCTAGACCAAAGCAAACATGCAGATCTTCGTAAAGACCCTTACGGGTAAAACTATTACCCTGGAGGTCGAGTCTTCGGACACAATCGAGAACGTGAAGGCCAAGATCCAGGACAAGGAAGGTGAGCCATGTTCCTAAAGGTTGGCTTATTTGGGAATCATGATACATGTAGCTGTGGAAGATTTTGTGAAAATCCTGGGAATTGGGGCGAAAGTTCATTTAGGGTTCTTCTCGGTCCAGCAAAGGGCCGCTTCCAGCTCTCTTCAGTTCATAGGTTTCCCAGAATATGTGAACGAGCAACATGAAGTGCGACTCCTCGTGTCTTGAGGAAGTCTGCAAAGCTTTCTTCTTGACTTTGTTGGGTAACTTGACCCAACGTTTCACGACGTCAAGTTTAAGGCTATTTGCTCCGTCGTTTATCAAAGCCACCAACGTTGTTGTTAGTACCATCAGCGAGGCAATAAAAGAGAGGTACGGTGAGCATATGTATTCAACGAACTAAAAGTTTGTGCGCTCGGCAATGTTTAACACAGGCATTCCTCCGGACCAGCAGCGTCTGATTTTCGCCGGCAAGCAGCTGGAGGATGGCCGTACCCTGGCTGACTACAACATCCAGAAGGAAAGCACGCTCCATCTGGTGCTGCGTCTGCGCGGCGGTATGCAGATCTTCGTCAAGACCCTCACGGGAAAGACCATCACCCTGGAGGTTGAGTCGTCGGATACCATTGAGAACGTGAAGGCCAAGATCCAGGACAAGGAGGGTAAGACACATGCATATGTTTGGTGTGTTTACCTCGGCCAGGCTGAAGTGGGTCTGCTAAAACTCGCTGCCTTGCTAATCCCTCCTCCGGCTAGTGTCTAGCTTTGAGTTCGTTGCACGCGGCCTTTGTCTATCCTTCCCTGCAGGCATTCCCCCTGACCAGCAGCGTCTGATTTTCGCCGGCAAGCAGCTGGAGGATGGCCGTACCCTGGCTGACTACAACATCCAGAAGGAGAGCACGCTCCATCTGGTGCTGCGTCTGCGCGGCGGGCTGTAGTTCGCTGGTTTGGTGTCGTTTGCGGCAAAGATTTCTTGCGATGTGACTGATACTTACCTGTAAAAATGAAAGGCGCAATTGTTTTATTGTTACACTTGGTATTCAGCATGAAAAAATAGAACAAAGGCATGGAATCCGCTTCCTAGAATAAACGCTGGCCTTACGTGGCAATCCGTTGATTTTCAGCACAATCCGTTGATTTTCAGCACAATCCGTTGATTTTCAGCACCTAATACGAAAACGTTATAGAGACTTGAGAAGTAAGCGCCGGCTAAATCTTGTAAACTCGGAGCCGTGAAACTTCCGCGTCTATGCCTGTAGGGCGCAAATCCCCAACCCGCATGACACCTGAAGGCATATTCGACGTTATCCGTGCTCTCTCACTGGGTGAGAAGTCGGGAAAGTGTCCTTTCACTGCCGGAAAAATGCATGGTTAGAGTCGGTGTTGTGTGACAGAGTTTGATGTTCTCGGTAATGCAGCACCAGAAATAATTTTGACATCAAAAACGCACATGGACACGTGTATCTTGTGTTGTGAGGCAGGGACACCAGCACGTTGGAGTTGTTTTCTGGATAATACATTAAAGATTTGTAGCTCATGGAACCTACGGCTACCTACCGGCAACGGCAAACCCCACGTGCAAAAAACCCCCAAGATTTACAAAGCGCTCGAATTATGATTGGCTGAATAATCATAGGGTGGGTGGGTGGGCCAATCGAAAGCAAGGAATCGAGGATAGCAGAAAACAGGGTCAAGTGGCTTCCTATCGATGCCGTACTTACATTCGTACAATGCACTAGAATTGCTGCGCTCTTGTATAGGTCGGAAAGACAAACGTCATTAGCCTTGGCTGACTTGCATTAGTTGTTTATGAAATGGCATTGCGTGCGACAAATCAGCTTGGGCAATTGAACGACCTTGCGGCAGAGGGTCTTCTCCAATTGCAGAACGTGATAGCAACTGTGAGGCAGATATTTGCCGATTTGGGCTTTGGCGACCCAAACGATGCGTTGCCACGACAGGCTGCTCTTCAGCAGCAATACTTACAAGCGATGTCGGTGCTTCGTAGAACAACACTGGAATGCAGCTCCCTAGCCGCCCATATCATTAGCGAAGGCGGCCACGGTGAGGAAACCGTTGTTCTGTTAATTCACGAGGTGGTCACGAAGATTTTGAAATCAAGTATCGACGCATTATTGTACAGCAAGTGCACAACATTAAAACCTGTTCGCACGCAGAAGGCCAAGGCAGCATTGTGGACACGCCGGATGCCGCAAATGGCCCTGCCAGCTGCGCTGCGCAGAAGCAGGCAGAGATATCCATGAAAAACGAAGTACTCAAACAACTTGTCGACCAGGTTCGGCAGATGCTTGAGTCAATGTGTATGTGGGAATCTTACAAACATCAGCTTGAGCGATACAAGCTTGCGGAGGGCCACTGAGGCCGTTTGCTTTTAGGTTGAAGTCAGTGTATTGGGCAGATCTGGTAGTATGAAGGATGCCTGTCGTCTTGGAGTGTATCTGCCAGAGTCGCTTGGACCTTGTGCTATTTAGGGTAGGAGCTTTGGGGGGCTTCATGCCCATTCCCGGATCGCGTTTATGACTTAGCGCGGTAAGCTGAAAGGATAAGGACCCCTTTAGGAATGCGTATAGTGACACATCGTTACTTGGCGTCGGCGACATGCAAGGGGGGGTTGAAACTTAGCCTCAACCGATGACGAATAACTGAAAGGGCTGGCAATGCATTAAAACCCTTGCACCAAACGCGTACGTAAGCATCCCTGGCGCGTAATTCCTGGCCGAGGAGTCGTCCCTGGCAGGAACATGGTAATGCACCGATAACTGTCGTCTTTTTCTGCGCAGACCCAACGTATGCTCGTAATCATTCGCAAACCACTGATAAGGCAGGAATATTTACAACCGGTCTGCCCACTAACCGGTCAGCGGCCATCATGTATATTGCCCTACTCGAGCTGAAGGGCAAATCATCTCCATCCCCTCTCTCTCTCCATCTTCATTCCATTCCCGGAGCGAACAAATTAAGCTGGCACGTCCAAAACCCCCACGCTGCCACGTTAGCATTCTGGAACGCCAGGAACAATCTACCGTACGGCAACAAAGATGGACGCGTATTGCGTGCCATGCGGCATCATCAGCCAGAGGACTTTGGTGCCCCCTTCCTTACCAAGACCAAAACCAAATCAATCCTCCCCTCGGGCAAAATGTACTGATGAGCTCTCACCATCACCGTATTAACACATCAATATGGCAGGTTTGCGACAATTGTCCTTCAAGAAATACAATGCAGCTACAAACGCAACGCGCCGCAACACATGATGGAGCTGTAAATCGTAAAGCCCGCAGCCACAAAAACTCACGGGACGCTCAAAAAGCGGCACACAATCAAAATCACCCCGCAAAATCAGGTATAAGACACAAAATGCACCTCCTCCAACGGCTTTGTGGCGCACACATATACATGCATACATACATGGCGCCACGACAGCCAAAAGAACACCATACGATACGACTTTTATCCACACTGCGGACCAAGACCATGTTGTGGCACACAGACACACAGACGCACATACAGACACTCGCCAATGAACCACTAAAAAGCAGAGCCCTCATGGATGCGTCACTCAGGACGGACAACACCAATGCACACACATACATAGCAGCGCCGCCAGCGAACAATAACGCGAAATCAGTGATGGCTGATGGCTTCCAAGGCGAGTGCTTGCAGGGATTGACCAAGTCACACCATCAGATCAGGGACCAAGTTAAGCATGTCATCGTCAGGCAGGTGGGGGGCGGGGTGTTCACGACACTTGCCGGCACAAACAAAGTAAGCGATACGGGTACGACTCGAGTCATGTGCGGCCAACAGACGGGAGGTCGTTTATGCGCACATAAGCAGGTTCCCACGGCTGCGGAGCCCCTGATCCCCGGGGGACCCCTTAACCCCACTGACGGCCTCACTGCCTCACAGCCCGCAGTCCTGCAGAGGCTGCCAGGACCAGACTCCGCACCTACCCCACCAACAGGGCAGCAGGTATCCGCCAGCAGAGGACGGGACTCCGAGTTGATGCTGCTTATCACCGGCGCCCTTGCCGTGCCGTGCTTGTCACCACCAACCAACCCGACAGACAGACAGACAGACCTCCGCTCCCAAGTCCTACACCCGCCCCAAGCCCGTCCTAGTCAACTTCTCTTCTCAGACATAACAACACCCCCCCCCACACACACACGCACCACCAAGGGCACCAAACGACCCACGCGCGCGCAGCTCACGGACAACACACACCATAGACAAGTCATTGCGGCCAAACAGTCTTTTGCGATGAAAATGAAACGCGAGCGCCGCCAATCAAACCACCACCATCACCATCACACGATGAAAGGAGGTTCCCCATGCACCCCAGCAACCTCATGTGCTTGTTTGCCTTCTTCGTCACAGCGCTCGTCACTCATGAGTCCTCCAATTTAATCTGGGGACGCAGCGGGACCACAGCCGCAGCCGCCGGAGGAGGAGGCGGCTCTGATGTCGCAGCCACCGGACCAGCCGGCGATCCCGCAAATCCGGGTGATGTGCCACCAGCCGCTGAGGCAATCAAGTGCGCCGCTGCCGGGGCCGCCGCCACCGTCGGCGCCGCGGCTGCGGTGTTGGTTGGGCCGGCTGCCGTCGCCGTACCACCAGCCGGTGCAGCACCTGCCACCGCAGCTGCAGCCGCGGCAGCCGCTGCAAGCGCCGCTGCAGCCGGCGCCTGAGGCTGGAAGCCCGCTGGCGGCGCGGCCGTGCCTGCGACCTGCGGAGCCGCCGCACCGCCAGCTGCGGCAGAGCCGCTGCCAGGCACCTGCACCTGCAGTGGCGGCCGCGCCTGCAGACTCGCCTGCGGGAAGGCTGCCATTGCAGCTGCTGCTGCTGCCAGCGCCGCCGCCGCGGCCCCGGGCGTCATCTGCAGATTGGGCATGCCGGGGATCTGCATACCCGGCCGAGGCCCGCCCGGCTGACCATTCGCGCCCACAACACCCTTGCTAGCGGCCGCAGCCGCAGCAGCCGCGGCCGCCGCCGCCGCCATCATCTGCGCTGCATTGATATGCGCACTGCCCGGCAGCGATGTCGGCAGCATCGGCCGCACCGCGCCTGGTGCCGCCGCTGCGGCTCCAGCGGCCGCTGCCGGCCCTAACGCATGGCCCCCGGTCCCAGCACCCGTAGCACCCAATCCTGGGCGGGCTGGAGGTGCAACCGCACCAGCCGCTAATGGCGCCGCTCCTGCAGGACGCGCCCCCGCCATTGCGGCTGCCGTACCTGCCGCAGTGCTGGCGGCACTGGCGGCGGCAGCTGCCGCGGCGGCGGCCGCCAGACCTGGCAGACTCGATATTGCGTTGGCGGCCCCCGCCGGTAACGTTAGCCCTCGCCCAGCCGCCATGGCGGCGGCCAGCGCCGCCGCCGCTGTGGGGTCCCCCGCCGCCGCCGCCACCAGCGGGTTCCCTTGCAGTACACCGCCTGCAGATGCCGCCACAGCCGCCGCTGCCTGACCCTGCAAGGCGCCCCGTCGTCGAATAACACGGGAGTGGGAGTGGGAGTGGGGGGGGGGGGTCGCTGTGATTCGAACTTGACCTCGCACTTGGCCCTGCGGGCTTCATGACGTGACGTAATGAACTATGTACGGCAGTTTTGCCCTCAGGAGGAGGGCCCTATTGCGACCTCTTGAATTTTCAATTCGTTATCCCACAGGTTGTTTCCCCACAGCCGGTCACGAACACGTTGCTGATGCGTCGCAGGTACATGGTGCAACAGAGTCTCAAGACACCGCTGCGCCACACGTCCGGTTGCCGCCCCAGCACCGCGAGCACAGCCCGGCGGCGTGGTGAATCCACCTCATGTGGGTGAGGTGAGGTTCACTGACGTGCCGCAGCTGTTCTCTCAGGCTGCAGCCCCGCACACGTAACGGAAAGAGCCTTCCCGCCAACGCAACAATAAACTAACAACTGACAAATATGTGCGTGTTAGACTCCCCCCCGGCTGGTGGCGGTCCTCCTCCTCCTCCTCCTCCTCCTCCTCCTCCTCCGCACTCAAACACACCCGCACAGGTTCCTCTCCCTCCCTTTTCATCCCCTTTTCCCCTCGCATTCGCATTCACACTCGCATTCCCCCCCTCGCCCGCCCTCCAACACCGCTCACCACAGCCCCCCCCTGCTCGTCCTGCTTCCAGAGTATCTTGGGCCGCGGAGCGTCATTCTTCGAGAAGTAAAGCCCGCAGGCGTTACAAAGCGGTCGCCCGTCGTTCTTGTCCTTTCGCCAAAAAGGAGTGGACTTGGTACCGCAGTTCTTGCATACCTGCACGTATGTGTAGATATATGTAGGTATATGTATGTATGTATGTGGTCCCGTCGGGTTGCGGATGGAAGTGTGTTCAGGACATCAGTAGCGGAACGACGTCTCGCGTCTCACGGAGCGCGGGAAGCATTCGAGACCGTGTGGCGCGATGCGTTCGGTGTGTCGGTGTATTCGCGGCCCCTAGGCAGTTCCCGAAGGCCCCCTCGGCCAGGGGGCTCTTCAGCAGCCAACAGCGCGTAAGAGGTTTAGGGGGGAACGGCAGGGTGCACAGGATGACGTGTACAGGCCCTCGTACAGGCCTTTCGCAAAACGGCTCTCGGGACCATTGTACGGCGCAGTGTGCGGCTCCCCGAGCGCCCCCACGGGGTGAACAGGAACCTTAGAAAGGCAGTAGTGTGGCAGTAGCCCGGTCGTAGTCGCAGCAGTAGTGGCAGTAGCGGTAGCAGTACTCAAATCAGGTCCTACCCGCACACACACACACACACCGATGTGCACCTCCCAGCTCCCCTTCCCAGCCCCTCAGCCCCGCAACCAGCCGCACCTTGGAGTCCGTTCCCTGAGGGCGGGTGGGGCGGGATGAGGTCGGGTGGAGGTCGACGTCCCCGTCGTGGCGGCAGGGTGAGGGGAGGGTGAGGGGTGAGGGAGGGGGACTGTTCAGGGGGGAAAGGTGGCAGAGCCGGGACGTCGTCACCGCATCGTGGTGCTTGAACCCCTGTGGCGTTGTGGCGAAGGAACAGGCGGGAAGCAGCGCCCCCCTATGACCCACCCACCGGCCTAGTTAGCCAGGTAACCCTCCTCGCTCCTTCCCTCCCCATCCCTCCCCTCACCCTCATCTGGAAGACCAACGCTCAACCATCCATTCCCACTCCCATTCCCACTCCCCTGCCCAAACAAAACTGAGCAGCCCTCCCCCTCACCGCGCTCCGCAGCTGCTGCTGGAAGACCCCTCGGCAACCTGGTTGATCAGCACCTCCACACAACCCACCCATCCCCTCACCCACCCTTCCTTCCTTGCCCCCTTGGCACCTCCGCAACCATCCGACAGGTCGGTCCGCTAACATGGGGCTGTGACGTCACTCATGGACCCCCAACCCCAGAGCAGCAGCAGAGTAGAGTCTATCCACACACACACACACACACACCACCCCGGCCCCCGGCCAACCCCCGGCGGCAGGACAGGCAACCCCTATCCGTCCGCCCTTGCGCCGCGGACTCCTACACAGGACTGCATCAGCCGCCTCCCCACGCACCTTCTGCTCTTTAGCCGTCCGCCTGCCCCTCTTCGACTGACCGGACAGGTAGCTCTGGGAGTTGGCGGCCGCAGCCGCAGCCGCTGCGAAGTTGTTCGCCGCCGACATAGGAACTGAATGCTCGAGGGGCCGCTTCGCGGCCGCCGCCGCCGCGACGACATTGGCCGCCGCCGACAGAGCCGCCGCAGCGGCGGCCGACATGTGCGGTGGCGGGGCCTGCGGCACGCCAATGGGCCCCGGCGGCACTGGCTGCGCAGGCGGGGCGCATCCCGGCATCGGAACGTCCCCTTGGTGTTGCTGCTGCTGTTGCTGTTGCTGCTGCGGCGGCTTCGGCAACGATGATAGCGGCTGTGCGTGGTGCGGTTGTGCAGCTGGTAGTGTCGGGCTTGGCTGTGGTGCGGTGCCGGGGGCGGCTTGCGTGAGCTGGGAGCCCTGGACGTGTCCGAGCCCCGCCTGCGACTGCGGGCCCCCGGCATGTCCCGCTCCCGCTCCCAGTCCCACCTGGTTGACGGGGAAAGACATCGGAACCTGCGCCTGGTGCGCAAGTGCGTGCGGCTGCGGCTGCTGCGGTAGCAGCGGCGGCAGCGCCTGAATATGCTCCTGTTGCTGTTGGTGGTGGTGGTGCTGCATGAAGGCCTGGTGGGAGGGAGATTCGTCCCCGTCCTCCTCCTCTTCTGCATGCGGACATACACACAAGTCATACATACATACATACGTACATACACATCGGCACACCGGGTGGTCCCCAACAATCCCCAAAGATGGTGTCTCTTCCAAAACGCCCCAAAGATAGATCAACGACAGCCAGCGACCTCCCCCCCCATCCTGTTCAGACTGTCCCGGGAAAACGAACTACAGCTGCAGCAACGGCAGCCACGCAACCACCCACCCACGCCTGACGCCGCCTACCCGTATTCTGTTCCTCCTCCTCCTCCTCCGGCTCCTCCTCCGGCTCCGGAAAAGCCTCATCACTGTTGGTGGGCATCGACAGGCCCAGGCTCCGCAACATGGCCGCCCCCATCCCCCCCCCCCCATCGGGCCCCCCAATACCCCCCACGACGACTCCACCCGCGGCGGCGCCGCCAGGGTAGCCGTACCCCCCCATAGTGCCCCCTATGCCGGCCATAGCGGCCATGGGGCTACCGGCCATGGCACCCGCTGTCATGCCGCCGTGCGGTACAGCACCCCAGAAGGCGGACTGCAGCGCCTGAGCCTGCTGCATCCACTGGGCCGACTGAGCAGCAGCGGCGGCGGCGGCGGCGCCAGGGCCCCCGGCGGCGGCGCCAGGTAGCCCCATGGCTCCACCCATGGCGCTCGCCATGCCCGGCATCATGCCCATAGCTCCCATCTGCATTGCCCATGACTGAGCCATCATGGCCTGCATTTGCGCCGGGTTCATGCTCATGCCCATCATGGCAGGGTTCATCATGCCCATCATGGACATTGCCGCCGCTGCGGTGGCGGCGGCATCCCCGCCAGCTGCCGTGCCTCCCATGAGGCCCATACTGCCGTACCAGCTCGCCGCTGCCATGGCCCACATCTGGAAATACGCTGACATGGTGGCTTGCTGCTGCCGGGCCAACTGCCACTGCTGGGCAACGTCAGCTAACGGCGTGCCGATGACGACGGTCGCGTCGCCACCGCCGCCGCCGCCGGCGGTGCCCGGCATCCCAGCGATGTCAGCTGCACCCGGCACCGGCATTGCACCCGCGGCCATAGCTGCCATCTGCTGCGGCCCCGCCATCGCCGTGAAAACTGGCATAAGGCCCGACATGTACGGATACGACGCAGCACCCATGGCCGCCATGCCGGGCATCTGCATCTGTCCCAGGCCCCCCATACCCAGAAACCCCGGTGGCATGCCCATCGCCATGGCCATTGACATGGGCAGCCCCACATTGGCTCCGGAACCAGATTTCGCATCGTCCTGGTCCTCGTGGCTCAGGGCCACCTGGAGATAACGGCCGCCACGACATGTACGAGGTGTCGTACAGCGGAGGAGGACAGGGCGGGTTGGGTGTGGATACGTGGGCAACCATACACAGGTGGGGGCAGGGGCAGCAGTGCACTGCAGGGTGTGCGCGACGTGACATGAGTGGAATAAGATGATGGATATTAGGATGATGGACAGGCATGCAACACAACGCAACATGATGGGGTGAAGGGTTTAGGGGTGGAGGGTGGGCCGCAACCCAGGAGAGGGGGAGGGAGGGAGGGAGCCCAGCACGCGGATTTGTGGCAGGTGATATGAGGCGGGAAGCCTGGAGGGGGTGAGGGGTTGAGGGTTACGATGGACATGCCGGCCAGGAGAGGGGGCATGCGACCCGGCCCGACCCGCAGAGCATAGCGTCTCCTGCACCTCTGCATTCCCCGAATCCATCCAGCCGGCACCTGCCTTTGTGGTGATGGGATCGTCTTGAGACGTCTCCGGCTGCGAACGCTGCGAACCGGACGTGTGCGCTGGATCCGTGCCATCATGCAGGAGCCCGGGCACCTTGCCTCGCCCAGCCTCGCGCTCTGCAGCGGTTGCAAGACTGTTGAGCGCATGCAAGGCGTCCGGGTCCAGGTCGCCACCGATGGCGTTAGCCGCTTCGCTCGCCAGTTTGGGGCGGTTAAGCGATGTGACGCACGGACAGCGCGAGGAGGCCGTCCCGGGTCCAGGAATTCCTCTTTGTTTAGATTCTCAGTGACGGCTGTGTTCAGGTCCCCGGGGCAGCGCCAGCGGCACAAGCGCCCCGCGGCTCCGTTGAGCACGACGTGGCTGATAACTTTAAAGCAGCGCTAGGAAGCTGTCACGCCGGCAATAGTCCTCCAAGGGCTCGTGGCCTCAGCACAACGGATGCTATCGTTATGCGCCTTTTGCAGATGGCTTTGCCGAACTGCCTGCACGGCGGCTAGACAGGAGACGAGATAAGAACAAGAACCTGTTGACCAAAAGCCAGCATGCACAGCACAGAATCAACAAAGAACATCATGCGTCTGCACATGATATTTTATTTCAGTGACAAATCAACCACGAGCAGAGTGGAGGTCATGATTTCACGACGCGCAGAGGAACCCAGCGAGAGCCGGGAGATAACCAGGTATGTATATATTAAATGTTGAAACAAAATGCGCAAGCGATTGTTAGCAAGCAGTGCATCCACAGACCACGGAGGATGCCAAATGATGCCCCCGCGCTAGACCAAAAAGCTAGCGCACATTTTTCGAAAACACAGGCAGTGGTTCCTCATTATCCCTGGTGGTGTCAGCAATTTGCGACGACTTACCCGAATACAGGTGCCAACGCAAGACCGCTTGCTCACCCGTCACCGAAACGGCTGCACCTAGTTTCGCGACTCCTTTTGTTTAGGAGTTCAGGTAATCGTTTATCTTCTCTACATAACCGGTCTCTCAACTTATACGAGGTTGAACACGCAGGGCTTCTTCTGTCATGCTTTCTTTATCATCGCAATGATGCAATGGCCAGTTAGAGTAAGTGCACGTTGGTATAGAAGTTAAAGTAATAATAAATGACTTCACATCTTTGCTTGTCCCTGCCTTACCGCTTACACAGCTTCCGCAATCCGCATACAGTCATTGTTGTACCACTTGTGTTTCAACTGCAAATGCTCCCGCCGAAGTAGCCGCAACTCCTGAGAACGCCCTCTTATGTTGGCTAGGTGCTTGTCAAAATGCTTACAAGCCTAGGGTGCCACTTGCCACGATTTCGTGCGCTCACCTCCTCAATTTCTTGCGGCGCACAAAACTTACATACACATGCATCCCCGCATCCTATCATTTACCCTGCTTATGAAACAGCTGCGCATCTGTACGTTTTTCCTGTGCAACAAAGTGTGCATAGCCGAGGAAAGTGCTACGGAACCGCATTCCATCTCAATGCCGTGCACAAATCAGATTGCCCACTGAGGAGCATTCATGGCGCCGCCAGACACCCGCCGACAGACATGCTGTGGTTGCACACCAACGCGCTGGATTGGTTTTCATCCACCTGTGAGATCCACAACCACGTGCACTCCCGATACAACCACTCTATGACGCACACCACTAGCACCTTTATACCACAAGCTCCCGCATGGACGCCCAATTCGCCACGATAAGCTTAAGCGGGAGCCCAAGCAGAACAGCCTCCACAACACCTCCCCGTCGAGAGCGCAGCAACAACTGGTTGAGCGAACGATCCTCCCTGCACGTGCGCCTCGCCGCGTTATGCCGTTGCCGTACATTCACCAGGATACGACACGGCACTGCGCATTACGGCACGGCATGCTGTGTTTCCGCACTGCGGTACGGCCTTCGCCGGGGCCCAGCAAGCAACCTTCGACTCGCCGGCCCGGCCCAGCCTGGTTCAAGCTGGGTTGGCGTTGTGCGGCTGAGCGATGTGACAGGTGCGAAGTGGAAGGTTTTCTTCCGAACCTTTCCTTATCCCTCACTTTCCCTTCTTCGCCGCCTGCCCTGCCGGCACCACGTCGCCATGATGAGTTCTCTGCTACCCCGGCATACTCGAGCACCACAACTAGGCAACAGCTTGCGAGGGGGTTGATGGTCACGTGCTTGGGCACCCTCCCTGGCGTCACTATCCAATTGTATCCACGGGGTTCGTGCCCACGTGCTCCTGTATGTACGACCGGCACACTATTCCCCGTCTTATAACAGGAGGGGACGCCGCCCGCAGGGCCAACTATCGGTCCATCGCTGTGGGCTCCCCGCTCCGCAATGCGGGCTGCACGGTGCAGTAATCGCATGCCGGGTGGTGTCCAAACTCTTCAAGGACAACGGTGGCTGTGTGTGCCCCGCGAGTGTCAGCCTCAGGATGTAGGAGTGGCTTCGGCACGGCGAAGCACCACCACCACCACCGCCACCACGTGTTCATCGTGCGGCACCTCATTTTCAAGTGCATACTGCGGCCGGCGCCAGACCACGTGTTCCATTCCGACCCTTACAACTGACCACGGAAAACTACTTCTTAGCTACTTCCCAGGTGCAGCCAGCATACGTATGGTGGCAATAGCTACACAGAAGTCAAGATCCGCGAGAAGATAAATGGTAGGCTCCGACTTCGGGTTTTCCAATCGGCCAACTTTCCTCCAACGATATGCCAGTTTTTTACCTTTCAATCGAGGTGTTCGCCCACCCACTATACTGATGATGTCGCACACACGACATATCGCCCCATATGTGTGTCGCCTGCGCCGCCTTCCTAAGAGTCTACAGGCCAGTCTACGGGGGGGGGTCACTGCTGGTGGTGGGGACTGGGGGGGAGCCGGGGGGCCGGCAACCTGCTGACCGTCGACGATGCAACCCAGCGGCAGCAACCGGGCGCGAGCGAGCACAGCAGCGCCTGCTCGGTTCCTGAGTCCTAGATTTTTTCAACAACGTCAGGCGACTGGCGACAAATACTGCCAAATACTGCCACGGTGCTTACCCTCGAGGGAGCAACACGCAAGCGCGGCTCATGGCTGGATCCGACCGGGGTGAACGAGTGCCAAAACTCTCATCACCCCACGTTCACATCATACATATCACACATATCAAGGGAAAGGGAAATTCGGATCAGGAGAGGGTAGTCCACTGACGAGAGGAGGTGGTGGCGGTGGCGGTAGTGATGGGGCGGTAGTCAATGAGATATGATATACTGGGCTGTGCGGCCACCGTAACGGTGATACCCGCGAGACCTGCACCCCTCATCAGGTCTGACCAGGAGGGGCTCAACAACCGCCAGCAGCGGCAGCAGTAGCAGTAGCAGCCCTACTACTACTGCTGCTGCTGCTGCTGCAGAGCGCTGCCAGTTTCTTTCGTGTGACACACTCTGGCTCACCAGCAACTGGCGACCTGACACGGGGCGGTGTGGTGCGAATGTAGAGCCAGGCGCACCCAACCTAGCCGGGAAGCTGAATCAAGTGGCGGCGGGCAGTGGAGGGAAGTCGGGCGGCGGCGGAACGGCGTCTGGCCACCTAGCCGCGAAATGGGACTCCGTCCTGGGTGGGGAGGCGTGAGGTGAGCTGATGCTCACACTTTCCAGGTTAGCAGCTCTCTCCTCTCCTCTCCTCGCTTTTTTCCGCAACCAACCACCCACTCAGTGCCGCCCTTCATCACCTCCACCGACTTCTCACTCTGCTCACACACATACAGACACACACACACCCCTATACACCTCATAAAAAATGACCCTCAACGGCCGTCTCGACTCAAAAACGTCACCTCGTGTCTCTCTCTTTTGCGTCACACGTCACCTCGCCCTGCGTTGATTCACTTCACACTGCCCCTCCCTGAGGTACAACATGTACGACATGTACTGCACGTTCTGCACAGTGATGCTCTACAACAGCCGCTGCACCATACAGCTGTGTTACACCGTCGGCCGCCGCAACACAATCTACCGACTGACTACGTATACGGAGGGTGACGTCATCATCGTTCAGGAAGATTGCCACCGTGCCACCCACACACCAAGCTAGCCAGCTGGCCAATCAGCTCAATACGCAACGTCTCCTAAGAAGCCCATTACCATCAATTCATTCATTAATCCATTCATTCATGATCATCATCCGAAGCTCGTGGTTGCCACTCATGCTTTCACCTCATTTCTCCCGTCAATCTCACGCACTCACCCTCATTTTTATCATTAACATGCCACCCACCCCCCGGGGGGGAACTGGGAGATGTAAAAACCATAGCTTACGTGGAAGAGGTGGTACTGCAAGGTGGACCTAAATCTCTGACATTGCCTAAAATAATCCCACATTAGCGGACGGGCCCCCCAGGGGCGGAAGGACGAGCACCAGTCCCACGCTCAAACCAGAACGGGCTTCTGAACCTTGATAGCGCACCAAGCTTGGTAGCGCATTAAAGTAGTGACCCACGGGTCTGGCGTCTGACGCGCGAAAAGAGCCTTGGGGTGGACCAAACTACACACCAAGGTGCACCTCCGGCTCTGAAATCAACATTAACAAGGGCGCCAACAACACAGCTACAGTTTTTCGCCTCAACACTCGGGGGGTGGGGGTATTGGGGTGGGGGAACACGCAAACAAAATATTTAGGATAAATCCGAAACGGCCAAAATTCGAGGCAGCAGCAGCAGCAGCAGCAACAGCCGCAAGCACAATAAAGCGGTGCAGTCCTCCGAAGCGGCGCGTCGCGAGACACGGAGGAGCTCCGGAGGGGGAAATGGAGCGCAAACCTGCAACTACCAACTTCTAACTTCCAACTCCGCGCCACGCTCAACTGCAACACCAACGGAACCAGGGGCACAAACCGTTCTAACCGCCCTCTCTCTCTCTCACACACACAGGCACACATACACTCTATAGCTCCAACCGAAAGTCAATCCTATTCCGACCCTCGAGCACCCGCGGGTACAAAAGGTCCTTCCGCCTTTCTCTCCCCGCCCTGCCCCTTTCCTCCAGCTCGACGGGCTCTCGGGCAGATTTCAGTCGCACCGGGTGACTGCTGCGCACCACCAGCGGTAGCACCACCCTAGCGCCGCACCCGCACCCGCACACCAGCACCGCCCCAGCGCTGTCTGAAGACGTCTCTACAGAAGCGGCGGGCTGCAGCAGCAGCGAGTCCGACAGCGAGTCCGAGCAAGCGCACCTTCCCTTCCCTTTCCAGCCGGCCTAATCACCATCAAAACCCCCCCCTACGGTCACCCGCAACACCTCTCCACCATCTCACCTTGTGCCACCACCACCACCGCCACCACCGCACTTACAACCGCACCAATCGGCACCCGCCAGCAGCCGCCAGGGAGTCATGTACTTCTCCAATCATCGCCGCTGTAACACCCACCACCACCATCACCACCATTACCACCACCATCACCACCACCATCACCACCACCACCACCACCATCACCACCACCACCACCACCACCATCACAATTCACTAGTTGGTAGCAGTTCACCATCTGATGCCATGCGCACAGCACGCCTTACCGCCCCTCCCCTTTTCGAAACTCTCTACGGCATCACATTAGACGTAGCTCAAACTGGGTCATAACGCTGATGTGGTCGCTGCCCCAGCCAGCTGCGGGCAGCCCCCGCGGCAGCAGCTCCAGGTCGGGCGGCAGTAGCACCGCCACGGGGACCAACTGGAACCGGCGGGCCGGCGAAGCGGTGGCGGCGGCAGTAGCGTCGCCTGTCGTACCGTCCGCTGACGCAGAGGTGGCCGCGGCAGCGGCGGCTACGCTACAGCCTCCAGAATGCAGCGGCGGCGGCTGCTGCTGCTGCTGACAAGGCTGAATTGTTTGCTGAGGCTGACCTCGACGACACTGCTGCTGCTGCTGCTGCTGCTGTTGCTGATGGTGGTGTTGGTGTGGTCCTGACGCGGGGGCATGAGGCAATTCGCTCTCCGCCCGACCCGCCGGTGGCCCACACAAGCAACCGCACGGAACAGCACCCACCGCCGTGTCCGTTGTTGACCCCGCTGCCGGCGCCGCTGCCGCCGGCAAACCTGGCGCCGCCGCCGCCGCCGGTGCCATTTCGCCCTCAACGCAACCCCCGCAGGGTGCTGACGTGGCCACCGCTGCCGCCGCCTGCTGCTGCTGCGGCTGCTGCTGGAGGATGGCATCTGCGGTGTACCAGATGAAATCCACGGTGCCCATGAAGCCGCTGTGGAGGGAGGTGAAGGCGGGCTCTGCACGGGCAACCTCCATGTAGCTGCTCTTGAGACGAAGCGGGTGCCGTACAACCAGCGGACCCGACGGTGAGCTGTCCAACGACGGCGCCACCTGGACGTTGGGATCTGAGTCCAAAGAGCGACACGGCAGGGTGCTCGCGGCGGCGGCGGACTTGCCACGGTTGGCCAGTGGCGGGTGAAGCTGACGGCCAAGCCTCGGAGACGACAGCGGCGGCAGTGCCTGGGTCTCCGCTGGCGTCCCGCCGTCGTTGGTGACGGGGCCCGAAGCAGAGGTTGCCAGGACTTGGCTCGGGGGAAAAACCGCGGCGGCGGCGCCGCCATAGTTGCAAATGGCCCGCTGTACGGCAGCGGCGTCATATTGATCGCCCATCGCGCAGCGGAGCTCCTTCTCGGACCAGCGCTCGACTCCGCCGCCGCCGCCGTACATGTGCCGGTGATGTGAACCCGAGCCGCCGCCGCCGGCGGCCGTGGACGATGAGTGCAGGAAATGGTCCAACGCCCGGGCGGCGTCGGAGGAACACGCCAGCGCCGGCTTCGTGACGGCGGTGACGGCCGCCGCCGTACATGCACTCACGGCCGCCGCCGCAGAGTCCATCGCTGCAGCGGCTAGCCGCTGTATGGCGCCGACTGGTGTCGTCGTCGCCGTACTCGATCCGTGGCCGTGCTTGGATCCGGACAAGGCGCCAGTGCCAGCGTCGGCCCCCGCCGCCAAAGGTGTCGACGGCGGCGTTCCTGGCGGCGAGGCGGCTAATGCGGTGACGGCGGCGTTAGCAGTGGCGTTGCTGTCAGCGGCGGCGGCGGTGGAGCCGTCGACGGCGTCAGGCCCAGAAGCTGCAGCGGCAGCGGCCAGCTGCGCATGCAGCTGCTTAACCTCCCTTACGGGTTTGTACTGCGTATGGCACACGCCATGCAGCTGCCCTGCGATATACATACATACATACATACATACATACATACATACATACATACATACATACATACATACATACATACATACATACATACATACATACATACGTGAGTTTGTAACTGAGAGGAAGTCGCGAAAGAGGCCCCTGAATCAAACGCCTAAATATGAACCGTGGAAGCCGGGGGGGCCGAGCCCATTACACAGCGCAACACAGCAGAGAAAAGGGGAAAAACGGGGACCCCAAAGGGAATCACGACAAAAATACAGAAAACCCCGATGTAGTGTACGGCATATAACAATTATTCTTCAAAAACGACTCACCACTCAGCTTTTTGCGGTTGGTCCGACCAAGATCCAGCGCCCCACGGGACACAAACTGGTACAAGGGGCTGCCCGCAGTGCTGTTGAAGTCCCCGGTGATGATGGCCAAAGTCTGAAGAGGCTGCTGGGGCTGCTGCTGCTGGGCCCCGGCTGTTGGTGCTGCTACTGCCGCTACTGCCGCCACGGGGGGCCGGGATCGGTCGCCGGACGCACCGGACCAAGGTCCCCCGGGGGCCTTACGTCTGCGGCCCTCAACCGCCGCCGTACAGCCCGCCGCGGGGCCCTCAACCGGAGAGGACGACGGAGAGGCAGGGCCAGGGGCAGGGGCAGATGCAGGAGCAGCTGCCAGCGGCGGAAGTACGGCACGCGGCCCGGCCGCTACTGCTGCTGCTGCTCCTCCTCCTCCTGCTACTGCCGCTTCCAGCGAGCACGGATACTGCGAATGCTGGGGGTGCTGTTGTTCTTGCTGCTGTTGTTCTTGTGGTGGTGGTGGTGGTTGAATCTCTTGCCGGTGTTCACACAACTGTTGTTGGTGTTTGCGGTGGCACAAGTTTAGCTGAGGAAGGCAGTTGCTGCTGTTGCTGCTGCTGCTGGCGATTTGAGAAGACCCCTGGGGCTGCTGCTGCTGCTGCTGCTCCGACAGGGCGGCGGGGGAGGCTGCCAGTTCTGCCGCCCTGTCGAGCAGCGTGCGCACCTGGCCCAGCTTCACGTCCCCCTTGGCGGGGTCGAAGGTGATGTGGGTGGTGGCCACCAGCAGGCGAACTGAGGTAAGCGCCTCAGCAACTTGCCTGTACGGTGGTGGTTGCGTTGTTGGTTTGTCGTTAGGTTTGTTGACATTGCGAAACAGGCGTCAGGACACAGACAGACACACAGACCGACAGACACACAGTCCTCGAGCTCATGATCCCTAACGTACCTTTTACGGTACAACCACCAGACCCCCCAAAGTATAACTGTTTCCTACACGCCGCAGCCCGGGCCCCAACCCACCTGTCCAGCCCCGCCGCCTCCGCCGCCTCCGCCCGGGGCCCCAGACCCATCAGCAGCGCCAGGTTGTCCTCGAGACCCAGAGGGGCGAAGTCCAGGCGCTCAAGGCCGTGGGCGCGGAGGCGATCGGAGCGCCTGCGAAGCAAGAACAGCAACAGCGACAACGACAGAAGCAAAAACAGCAGCGGCATTAGCAGCAGCAAGGGGTGGGTGTGTCCGCGGGTCAGTCGGTGAACATGGTTGATACCCGACGGGGCTGGCCGCGCCGGACATTGCTTAATACGTTTTGCTCGTCTTCACACGGTGTACGGAAAGGTGATGAAGTAATGGGCTCCCAAACACCATCACTATCCTGAACAACCCCCCTGCTGCTGCTGCTGCTGCTGCTGTTCATCTGCTCCCACAAAACCCCGAACGGCCCCGCCCCCCACCCGCCCGCCCTCCCGTCTCCGCCATCATGGTTACCAGAAGGTGGCGCAGCCGTCCCGCCTCCTGCCGGTCCGCCGTACAAATCGCCCCTCGTACCTGCGAGCACGACTTGACCAGGTTGGGCCGCGGTCGCGTGTTGGGTCACAGGAAATGGATTGCAGGCAGTTGTGCGGTTGGTTGTGCTGGTGGTTGTGCTGGTGGTTGTGCGGTTGTGCTGGTCGTTGTGCGTGCTTCCTGCCGACTCCTCGGGTGTTTAAGGAGTGCTGAAATGGGAGGTGCCCCCCCATCTTGTGGACGGTGTAGGACGTGATAATATCAACTTGCGAGCTGACCAGGAACTAAGTTGATGCGCCGTTAATCCGCTAGATTTGGTTGGATGCTGGTGGTGAGTTGCTGAACCCAACGAATACATTCCGAAGTCGGATGGGGTGAATGGATTAGGGTGCCCCTCTAGCAGGGGAGAGCAGGGAACTGCCTCGGGAAAGGGCTGGTGAAGCTATACCACCCTGTAACAACATACTTCGGCTTCGGCCCCCGGCTCTCGCGGCCCACAGTGTAATCTAAGTACATACATACATACATACATACATACATACATACATACATACATACATACATACATACATACATACATACATACATACATACATACATACATACATACATACATACATACATACATACATACATACATACATACATACATACATACATACATACATACATACATACATAATACACAAAACCCACCCGGCTGCGCGCAGCTCCGGCTCGAGCTCATTGTAGTGCTGTACCTCCTAAATGTACGACAAAAGGAAAGAGGAGGAGGGAAGTTGTAGCAGGATAGGAAGTGGGCGAACGGATTGTCTGGGTGTTGGCTGGCCGGCGCACACCGTGGGGACCTATGGGGCTCTAGCGCCCTGGTTGCTTACTGCCCCTCTCCTCTCTTTTTCTCCTCTCTCTCTCTCTCTCTCTCTCTCTCACACACACATATACACACATACACACATACACACATACACACACAATACATACATGCATACCGCAGGTCGCGCTTGAATGCAGCTGTATTTTCCAAACACACCCAGCATTAGTAGCAGCAGCATACATACATACATATACACAGACGTACACACCTGCAGACACACTACGTCAGGCGCCCAGTACCGTATTTCCTCAACTAGTAGCCTAAGACGGTGGTGCCAGTCCAAGTAATGACGTGGCACATCGCCGTACAGCTTGTGCGCAAAGTAATGCGCCTGAGGCGGGACGCACCGACCAGATGGCAGCGCACCAAGGGGGGGTCAGGGGGAAGGGGCGGGGATGAAGTCTGGGGGCCCGAGGATGGGCTGCGAAGTGGAGAGGGCTATAGTAGCCGACAAGACAAGAGATACATACTTATGCTGTACGGCACTGCACCGTCGTGTTTAAAGGGGTCTCAGCAACTTGTGCTCCCGCTTGCCCGGATGTATTCTTGCGGACCCATCTTCCCCCTACTGCTCTCCCCCCTGGCCCTCCCCCACATGTGGGTGGACTTAATGATGGCCCCAGTTTAGACAGTTCAGGCTTGTGCTGTGCTGAGCGCTGGAGCTGTGGTGCCTTGGTGGCGCCTTGCGGCAACAGCAGTGGAGCGGAATAGTGGAACGTGCAGGTCGCAGCAACCCGCGCGGTGCGGCGCCTCGAGATTAGACCTTCAAGGCCATGCGTTGTAGTGCGTCCAAACATTTCGTCGTGCCAATATCAATACAGAGTTTTGCGTTTCAATACCTACATAGGTATCAGCGAGGATGTTATAGCACATCACGCTGAACCTCCAGGCCTGCGATTGAGGAGATGCCGCTGATGCGATGATGTCATCCACGCTGTCCGCAGGGGTTCCTTGAGATGGGGTTTGTCCGGCGCCAGATCCAGGCGCAGAGCTACAAGCTGCCGGTTGCTGCACCGCAGCCCATACGCGCTGCCCATACCATGACCGAGCACGCTCGGCAGCGGCATCGCCACTTGAGCACGCGTGACAGTGCAATGTCGACCGAACTCCAAGCTGATGCACATCAGCTTCACGTGCTGTGGATGACTGCTTGTCTTCGTTATTGCGCAACAATCCTTGGAGCGCAGCGCTAGCTGGCTGCGCTGCAGCTGGCGCCGCGTATGCTGAGGGCAAGGATATTGCGCTTGCGACAGCTCCATTTGAGCTATTGCCGATAGACTGGGCAACTTCGTCCACGGATGAGTAAACCGTCTGAGCTGTGTGCAAAGCTTTCTGCTGAGCCCTATTGATGCCTCCGGCTGTGGATTGGAAATGGGATGCCATCGTCTGAACTTCGCGGCGTGAAGTTGTAAAACGCCGACAGCCAAACATCTGGCCTTGCACCTCCCTTCGCAAAGCGGCCTTGCGAGCCAAGGCCGATATATGAACTACTTACAAGGTGTGTTAATACCTTTAGCAATCAAGTGTGCAAACCCGCAGCGAACGGGTGGTGGACGCAGACACACCTCACAATAAAGAATAAACGCAGACGTGGGCGAAAGTGGATATGTTCAGTAATCATAGTATAATAACCCACAATAAACATTTTCAATGGCAAGGCCAGTTCTGCAGTTCAGCCTCCACAGAGCGACAACGACGCACGTACGCATCGGCACATCGCACCCAACGATGCAAGCCCAACGATACATTACATACACACACTGACGTCAAATATTACTACAATGTCGTGACTGCATTAGCGAGGCCTTCCGTGCAATTTGCACATCGGCTAGGGTATGCATGCGATATTAAGCCCGGTATCGTAGGCCAACTGAATTTTGGAGCACGCAATTGAAAAATGCAAAATGTAAATACACTGTGACGATGGAAACCTTCAATTAGGCGCTGCTTTCAGCATCTTCAGTGAGGACGAAACATAGCCACGTGGATGGTCTCTCCGTAATATTTGGGACCACAAAGCTGTACACACCCAATAACTTGTTTTGCAACTTTGGATTGCAGCTTGAGTGCACGTAAACCTCGAGTCCTCGACACTTTTCCTGGCTAGTTACACAGTTAGCCGTTGGGCAGTCCCGTCTCCTAGGAGTTTAGAGCTTCAAGTGTATTTTATTTCATCCAAGAAAATAATCCCATTAAAACCCGGCATGCAAACTGCGAATACTGCGATTGATGCATTATGGGACGGGAGCTTACCCAAACCAGCCGTAAATGTCGCAAACGCAACATTACCGGACCTTACCAACTGTGAACCGAGCACAGCTAATGTAGCACCGCGTCCCGCCACTCCAGCCGAGCTCCTCCCCTCGCGGCCGCCTGGTCGACCTGACCTCCTGCGCCGAGTGCTCACATCCCCATGGCGCCTGCTCACGCCGCCTCCTCGCCGCGCGCCCTCAAACTGGGAACGAAGCTGCCATGCATTTGGCACCAACCCTATTAACACAAGAAACACAGCTAGCGCGGTGGTCAACCGCGATGCCTCAGCCCCAGGCCGCGTTGACCGTCGCAGCACAGCCAGCGCAGGCTCCCATCGCAGCCTCTTCACCGTGGACGGGCTTCCGGAGGTCACATTGCCCCCAGATAACCCCCCCATCCTCACGCTGCATTTGGTCGACCCACCACGCTCTCGCAGCCAGCACTCACATACCGTTCGGGGAAGCAACGGCGACAACGGCAGTAGCCGCAGCGCCACCCCGCAGCAGCTACAGCGCGACACAACGACCCTCAGCACCCTCAGGTGCCCTCCGCAACCCGCACAGGGTGGCGCCCTGGATCCAAATCAGTTGAAAATCCCAACGGAAATGCACGATCCGGATCCAGATGGAGCTGCCTGGCCGGTGCAACGCGGCTGCGCCAACGGTTACGCGGGACCTGAACCCCGTTCTGGGAGCCTCCACGGCTGGGGCGATGAGTTTGCAGCTGATACTCAGCTCCGAAACCACCAGGTCTCAGATCGGGTCCCAGGGCAACCTCTGCCGGCGCTACAGCCTCTCCCGGCACCCACCTTCCCACTCCCCTTTGTGTTGGGAGCGCCAGAGCGGCACCCGCAACAGCTGCCCATGCACTTGCCGTACTCGTACGGCACCCAGGATCCACAGCAACAACAGGAACAGGAACAGCAGCAGCAGCCGGCGCCGCAGGGGCCCCCGGTGCCGACCTTGACGTCCAGGTCCACAGACTTCCTCGGGCCCATGCATCACCTGCTACAGCTCCCCGGCGCCGCCGACACGTTCGTACACAAGGCCCGCCAGTACCGAACCTCAACGGAGCCTCCGCCGCCGCAGGACGCGGCCGCCGCCTCCGCTGCCTCCGCAGAGCCGTTGCTCGTCATGATGCCCCAACGAAGCGACGGCGCCAAGACCGCTCCCGCCGCCGCCGGCGCTCCTGCAGGCGACCTTGACGTCGTCGGCCCTGCGCCGTGGCCGCCGGGGTCGGCGGCGAGCCCCGCCCAGATCGGCCCTGACGACGTACGGAACCCCATGAGCTTCGAGTACGACCCCTCCCTGGATCATCCCCGTCAGCATCAGCACCTGCAGGCGAAACAGCAGCAAGATGGTTCGCCGCTCTTGTACGGCGAACCTCCCCAACCCATCCACGGCAGCCGACCAGTGGGCGCCCCGACGGGCACCGCCGGTGGCGGCAGTGTACGGCCGGACGGAAGAACTCTCGCGGGTGACCGTACAGTGACCGTACAGGCTCCTGGCGGCGACCGCGGCAGCGACGGCGCTGAAGTCCTCACCGCCGACGGTCCGTTTGTCGTACTGGAGATGAAAGGCCCGCGCGGCACGCCCAGCACGCACGCAGCCGCGGCGGCGGCGTTCCTGTCCGGCGCCTCCGCCTCACCGGCGGCACCTGACGCCGCCGTCGCGGCCGCGGGCATGTCGCTGTCGCTGCGCGGCCGCATGACGTCGTACTTTTCAAAATGGCGCGGCGTCGGCGACACGTTGATGCCGGCGGACCACCCCGTGGATATACTTTGGTCCTGGCTGGGTTCCTTCCTATCCATCTTGGTCGTTGCCGTACTGAATCAGTACCTGACGTAAGTGTACGGCAGTTTTATTCGTACACTATGTGTCCAGTACACATTGACTTTCTTGACTCGATGTGGGTGTGGCGCAGTCACGTGGCGGCGTACGGGGTTGAGATGTTCAGGCGGGGCGGTCGGACGTTCGAAGGCAGCGCGTGGAGCGGCTTTAGCCTTGGCTGGGTGCTGCTGCTACTGCTACTGCTGTTACTGTTACCGCACCCATTCTGTCCATTCCGCCCCCTCCCCCACCAACTTTGCACGTGTGTTTTCCTCCCCCTCACTCCCCTCTCCCCCCCCCCCTGGACCTGCTCAGCCCGCACGTCAGCATGCCCCTCATGATCGCCTCCTTCGGAGCCTCCGCCGTGCTGCTGTTCGGGGTGCCCGCGTCCAAGCTGGCACAGCCGAGGAACTTCCTAGGTGGGTACTGGCAGAGGAGGGGGAGGGCGGCGGTATGCCAGGGTGGCGGCTAGAGCAGTTAGGAGCCTGGGGGGGAGGGTGTCCTGCGTGAGCTCAGCGCCCTTGATGCTGTCATAGAATCCCCGTGTCTGTGCGCCCCTCGCCTCACCCCCCCCGCACACACTCTCTTCCCCCCCCAAACACCCCCACCCGGCCGCACCCACCTAACACACCCAGGCGGCCAGGTGGTCTCCGCGGTGGTGGGTGTGCTGGTCCGCTTGGCGTTCATGAGGGCGCCCGGGCTGGTGTGGATGTCGGCAGCGCTGGGGATGTCGCTGGCACTGGCGGTCATGCAGATAACACGTACCGTACATCCGCCAGGTACGGGAATACGAACAGGGGTACGACGGTACGGGTACGGGCATTTATGTTGGGGTACAGGGAAGGGCCGTGTTTGTAAGGTGTGTATAGCTCCGTACAGACCGGGTGTGTGTGAGGGGGGGGGGGCCCTGTCATTGCGGGCGTACCCCTCCTTGGACCTATTGCCGCCCAACCTTCAACTGCTAACTCCCAACCAACAAACCACAGGCGGCGCGTCCGCGCTCATTGCATCTTCAGCTCTGTACATCGGCCCTTGGTACGGCTTCAAGTTCGTACTAACTGTATTTTTCGGTTGCTTAGCTATGCTGGTGGTGGCCATGGTTGTCAACAACCTCAGTGCCCGGCGGCGGTACCCGACCTACTGGTGGGGCAAGTGAAGGGTGGGGGCTGGGCCCCCCAGGAGCTTAACCATAAGAGAGTACTCAATAACAGCTTGAACTGGGTCGGGAAGTGATATACTCATACACACCGACAGGCAGACAGACAGACAGACAGACAGACAGACAGACAACTAGACAGGCGGACAGACCTAAGAACGGGCGCCCCGATTAACCAGCGCCTTAGCAGGCGGTTAACGTTTCCCACTGGGCTGTTGCTGTCCTCCCAGTGTGTCCTGCACCGCTTTCGGGGGCCGCTTTTTGAAATAGAAACAGAGGAGAAAGCCGCCACCACTGGTCGAAGGGATGGAGGAGATGGAAAGGACCGACGACGACCAACGGATGGGTTGATGAAAAAATGAAAACGATGCGCTTCACAGAATGGCGGAACGCGAAACAGCTCACCAACTAGCTCACCACCCTGCGGTCTTGCGGTACTGCCAGCTGGGTCGGGCTTTATCGATCGGTCCATGTGCGCGTCTATGTGCGCATCGATCGATCCACGTTGTGGTTTGAGAGCAAATAATGCAAATTGATTGGCCGGGATAGGGGGATGGATGAATGCGATGGAGCTGACTGACTGAATGATTGTATATCTGTGAATGCGATGAGAACGATTGAGGTATGCGGTCACTGGGTTGGCCGGCATGCATGGCCGGTTGAAAGAAGGTTGGTTTGAATGTACATGTTGCTATTAGAGGGGCTGTGTGCAGACTGAAAGCCAGAAGGTTTTTTTAGTACTTCTCATATACCGCTGCGGGGGGTTGGGTACATTGTTGAGTGCCAAGTTCACCGGGCACGTAGCACATGGACTATGTATGTATTCATGAGTATGCTCTAGATATCCGACAGTCTGGGGCACCCGACAAGCCATGGCCATCGTAATAAATTTTTTAAAATTGAAAACATTTTCCCAAGCTGCGATGTTGAGCGTTTGGCAAATAAGTGCATCGATCATCATTATCACACCTAGGATTTTTAATTCCTAATTTGGCTGAAGGGCCTTTGGCAAAATCGGTTAGGTGTTGCAGCTTTTCGTTGTGACGTGGACTATGTTGCTTTTCCCGTTTTCCCGTTTTCCTGGCTTGTACTTGTACTGGGCGGCTGGCCTAATTAAGCAGCCAATGATGGCCAAATAAAAAAAGTAGTATTAGGGGTAGTATATGCGAATACAGAACGTGCAGGAGATGAGGCCGGCTGGCATCCTCTCAGAGCGGTGACATCGTGATGATCGTGGCTGGGCGAAAAGAGCGAGCACTGGGTGGTCCCCGTACCCGTATCCCATGCGGTCCCGGAGGGGGGTTAATCTCTGTAGAAAAATGAAGACGTGCCGCAGCGCCTGCGGCTTTTTAAAATCCCTTTGGCAAGGTGCGGGATGACGTCAACAACCGACAACGGAATGGATGCCGCCTGATATTGTGTGTGTGTGTGTGTGTGTGTGCGTGTGTGTGTGTGTGCCCGCACCTGTTGTCAAGCCAGTATGCCGATCGGGGGGATCTCCCCTGAGGCCGATTGCTTGCAGCGCGGGGACAAACATATTCCCAGAATTGATTTACGAAGTGAAGTGGGGAGTGGTGTCCTCCGGGGGAGATGTCGAGGGGGGGGAAAACGATTTGCGAAACGAGTGTGCGATTGTAACCATACACGCCAGGTCGGTTTTTGCTCTGGCGGACCCGGTAACTATTTTGAATTCACGTAATGCTGGATCTGGATCTGGATCTGGTTGGTGACTTTGTGCGTCGTTAAGGAGCTCTTTTCCGTGAGCGCTTTTACATATCTTCACAAGAAATTGCTAAAAAACAACGAAATCGCGCATTTTTTCATTTTATTTGAAGGCCCGGGAAACAGGGACCCGACATGCATCCAGGCTACCTCCCCCCCACCTCCTCCGGTTGCTCTCCAAACAGTTAGTGGCTGCTCACACTGTGTGGAAGTAGAAGAGAGTAGGGTAATCATCCATTTAACCGCAATGTTGTATGACTGTGGAAACCTCCTGCGAACAGCAAGCAAGGCGTGTGAAAACCCGCAAGCAGCGAGGGGGGTATAGCTTCACCCGTGGGGCCACTAGCCAGGCAGTCCCTGCCACCTTCTACCCAACAGTCTGGGGTACCCTCACACAGCCTTCGGATTACCTCAGCGCACCGACTTACGCGGACTTTTCTCCCTCCAGGTCCTTCCTCTCAAGTCTAGCAGATTCCCCCATATGGCACCTATGCCATTCACCGTCTCATCAACGTGGGGGGTCATTCCATCCAACCTCTAAACGGTAGAGAGATTTTTGTCCCACCCTTTGTCAAGAACGGTTCTGGAATTTTCTAGGGACAATGTGCCGCAACTGTTAGCATATTCGTTGTGTCCGGAGCCGTATTACATAAAGCGATGTTGCTTGATGTACATTGATGTACATATATGTATGTATGTATTTATGGTACACACTGCTGTTGATGTACTCACAGAAGGAGTTCTGGGGGCGAGAGGGGCTGGTTGCCCCAGAAAATAACTGCACGACCATATCATATATGCAATCGATTGTGCACGACAAGGTGCATGATTCGGTATCAACCTCCACCGCCTCACCACGACTTGCTAACCGGCAAGGGCAACACGACTCATTATCCGTGTTAACGAGCCAAACCGCCAACTCCCAACTACCCAGCAGCAACACCAGAAGCTACGTCTGCCTCTGCCCAAACACCAACACATTTCTCCCCCCCCATGCCATACGATACAGCCCCTGCCACAAGTCCGCCACAGGCCCACCGTCACCACATCACCCTGCCGTAGTCAGCAAGCCCTCCGCAGCGACACTTGAACCCACCATCAGCCACACAACCACCACACAACCACTACACAACCACCACCAGCACCAGCAGCACAACAAGCGTTCAAGGGGTTGAAGTTTACAGCAGCAACAACTCCTGCGTCGGTGTCGGCGCCGAAGGTGGCGTCGCCTCCGCAGCAGCCGCCGCCAGCTGCGCCTCCAGCTGCCGTACCCGCGCCGCTAGCTGTGCACTGGCCTGGCTGTGCGTCGCCAGCGCCGCTTCGTGGGCCTTTCGCTCCGCCACCGCCACCGTCCGCAGCCTCTGCACCTCCTGGGCTAACAGCGCATTGTCCGCACGAGCCCTCTCCAGCAGCGCCTGAGGCTGCTGGGGGACTGTGGCCGGAGGGGTTGGCTGGCGTGCAGCCGCCGCCTCGGCCCGCTCTCTCCTCTCGGACTCGCGGGCCTTCACACCGGGGGGGGGGTGGTTGACAGTGAGATGTGGACCGTGAGAGCAGCCCGTTCAGCAGCAGCACGCGTATGGCGGAGAGCCAGACATGACGAATTCTTTCACAGAACTCATGCAGAGCCGCAGAGCCCTCCAATCACCCCCAACCCCCAGGTCTCTTTCAAGTCTATTTCCCCCGAACACACGCACACACACACGCATTCATACATACATACACACTTACAAGCTGCCGCTGCTGCTCCTCCAATTTCCCCTGGAGCTCTCCCGCGCGGGCCTTGGCCTCCTCCAGCTCAAGAGACAGCTGCCGTACCCGGTCATGGAGTAATGCCAACCCCCGCTGCTCCTCCTCCTCCTCCCGCTTCCCCTGGGCCCCAGCTTCGCCGCCGCCGCCGCAGCCATGCGAAGCCTGCTCCTCCAGCCGCTTCAGCAATTCATCCATTTGACGCCGCTGCTCGTCCAACAGTTCTTTCTGGTCGTCCAACCGTTGTTGCTGTTCAGCCATCCGTCGTTGCTGCTCGTCCAACCGTTGTTGCTGCTCGTCCAACCGTTGTTGCTGCTCGTCCAGCTGTTGTCGCAGCTCTTCCGCCCGCTGATCCGCCGCCGCGAGGGCGACCGCGGAGGTGCTGCCCCCCACGTCCCACTCCTGCAGCCGTCGCAACAGCTCGGTGTTGTCGGTCCGCGCCTCCAGCAGTTGGGAGTGCAGTTGAGCAACCTGGGGACCCGGGGGGGGGGGAGGGCAAGGAAAGGGGGTTCACATGTATGTATGCATGTATGTATGTATGTATGTATGTATGTATGTATGTATGTATGTATGTATGTATGTATGTATGTATGTATGTATGTATGTGTGTGTAAAAGTTGGCAAATGATACGACTGCCGACGTGGCAAGAGGGTTTATGAGGCGACCGCTGCAACCGACAAGGAGCTGAAACGGCTCCAAACCGTTACTTTGCGGTTAACCGTTGTACCCGACGGTTGTGTGTGTATGTACGTATGTACGTATATGTGTGTTTTATGGGTCGGTTGTGGGTCATGAATGCGCGATGAACTGACTTTGCAAAGTTCAAGTGCCCAGCAGCTGTCAGTGAATACCGTACAGATAGCGTCTACAGACGAACCGTTCATCATCGCATCCATAGGCCCCCCCGGGGGAGGTGTGTAGTTGTGAGGCAGCAGCACTTGCTCCTGATGCAGGCGTTGGCAGAGGGGGGCTGTTGTCCCCGGGTGCAGCCCCTCTGGACATTCGTAATCTTACGTGGGCCCACACCGCTATGCCGCTGCTGAGACCCACCCATCCATTCAATGTGCGTTAATCGTATTGTTGCGGAAAGAGTTCCTTTAAACTCCTCCTACTGATAATGCTGCTGATGATGATGTTGATGATGATGATGATGATGGTGATGGCGCCTCCATCAACAGCAACAGCAACAACAGTAGCAACAGCAACCGCAACCAGCAACCACAATGCCCCCCTGCCTGCTGCGCATGTGCCGTACTGCGGCTGGCCAGTGTCTCATCCAATTGGGCCACTCGTCGCTCCAGGGAGAGCCGCGCCGCCTCAGACTCCGCCAGCATCGCACGGGCCTGCGTGTGCACGTGTGCGTGTATAAGCGGCGTCTGAGGCGTGTTTAGACATCCGAGCTGTGAGTGGGACGCGAAGCTAAAAAGCTGAAGAGCGGCGTCTACATACACGCCTTCACGCTGTCGGGGGCTTCCAGCCCGCGCAAAACCCCCCCACCCCACCCACCTGCTGTACCGCAGGCCCTTGTACCTCCCTGTCCGCCCTCTCCAGCTCGAGCTCCCCGAGCCGCTCCGCCATGGCTCGATTGGCGTCCCGCAGCATGGCCACTTCGCTGGCTGCGGAAGCGGCTTCGGAGCCTTCGGACCGGTAGCAGCAGCAGCAGTAGCAACACAGAGAGCGAGGGGGAGAGGGACAGAAGGTAAGAAGAACCACTGACGATTGAAGCATGTACCAGAGATAGACGGATACTCCAGGGGGGGAGCAGGAGGAGAGAGAGAACGGGTTGATGGGAGGGGGGGACGGGAGGGCGCAGTCCCGGCCAACGACCGCAAGGAGGGGGCCGGCGCAGCAAAGAGCCGTGAGAGAGATATCGTGTGTATGTGTGTAGGACCTTTAGAAAGGCTAAGACGCCCTCTGAACACAGCCCCAGCACTGCCCCCCGGGCCACCACCAGTACTGCAGCACGATTCCATGGAGGGCAAGGCACGCGCCGCGTATACACACAACTAACCTCCCGATATGCTGTTCGTCTGCCCCAACCCATTGCATGGGGAATTGACTGATCGCCGAGTACGACATGCACGACATGGGCCCACGGAGGCTCCATCCCACGCGAAGTACTCACAGGCTACATCCAGCTTTTGTACGAGCAAGTCGACAAGACGCCGTACGTCCCCGCGGCTCTGCAGGTTGATGCCAAGGCGAACCGCGGCGGCAGCACCAGCGGCGCCAGCTCCGCCCGGGCCGTACAGAGCCATCGCTGTTGCCGCCGCCGGCGGTCCCCCGTGTTGCTGCGGTGGCCGCGAAGTGTGGCAATACATTCGCACATCCGTACAGTCGTACATGTAACATGCACTGCAACCGGACGGAGCCTAATCCCGGTATGTCTGCAGTTTGGATAGACAGACAGACAGACACACAGACAGACAGACAGACACACAGACAGACAGACACACAGACAGACGGACACTGGGCGTCGCTCATGACCACTCACCTCATGCATCTTGTGCTCACGCAGGCTAGATGCAATGACCCGTGGGTCAGGAGGCATCGAGTAATGCGAACCAGGTCCGCCGCCGCCGCCGGCCCCGCCACTAGCTCCTGCCAGACCCGCTGACGCCGCCGCAGCCGCCATCGCCGCCGGCGTCACGCTCGACAGCGCTCCCGCCGTACTGGCGGCGCCGCTGGTACCCGACGCGTCACTGGCGCTGTCGTCGCCAAGGACGCTGGCACCGCCACCGCCGCCGGGGTACGTCGCCAGGTGGTGCTGGTGGTGGTTGCGGCCGCTGATGCCGTACCCCGACTCAGATGGGGGAGCTGTACTGCTGCTACCCCGCGGTAGGTCCGGGCCTCTAATATCGCCACCCAATAGCGCCAATCTAACCCCAATGTGATGATGATGATGATGACGATGATGATGATGATGATGATGATGATGATGATGATGATGATGATGATGACGATGATGATGATGATGATGATGATGATGATGACGATGATGATAATGAGGAGGAGGAGGGGGAGAACACGGAGGAGAACAGGTTTTGAGCGGGGTGCGTGCGTGCGTGCGCGGGTGGGGGGAAAGGGATTTGACCAACCGTGATCAACCACGCGACGATAAAACTGCCCAGGTAAGCTCTGTCGGGGCACCCACCCGAACAGCACACCGCACACAGCCGGTGTCACAGCTACCTGGTACAGCTTCAGCACTTTTAACTCAACCGACCATTTCCCCCCGGGCCCCCCTTCCAGCAAACTCACCCGGAATGCTGCTGCTGGTGTTGCTGCTCCAGCCTCTGCCGCTGTTGTTCCTGTTGCTGCTTCTGCGCGCGAAGAATGGCCTTATCAAGCTCTAAAAAGGACTTGAGCTGCGGCCCGCGGGCCACATCCTGCGTGCCCACCAACCGCCACAGCCAGCGCTCCAGCTCCACACGCCGCCTTTCCAGCGAGTCTCGCTTGTCGGCCCCCAGACCGAGAACCAGCGGATGCTTTGGTGGAGGCGCCATGCCCCGCCCCGACATGACGGCCGGGAAGGCGGCCTTCAACTGCAGTACAGTACGACATGCGGGCGGAGCTTGGGAACCCTAAGCAGGGGTAGAGATAAGACAAGTTTAATTGCAAGGTGGAAACGAGCAAGCTGACCCCAATTATGCGGCCAGTCTGCCCGGAGGAGAGAGATTTTTAAGCTTGGCCAGGGGCTCAGGTGATTGGGTTTGGTGGGGGAGGGTCGGTAGGAAAGTAGAAGTAATGGGAGAGAAAGATGCCTCAGGAGGGTGAAGGGAAGAAGGAAAAATGGAAAAAGCGGAGCCGCCTGCTGTGAATAAAAGCGCACGTGCTTTGGAGGCCAGGTGTTTCGTTGTGTTTCGCTCGGCGCACTGCCACTTGATTTCGGGTTGCCTCAGAAAAAGGGATATAGGGGTAACGGTTTTTGCCTTTGCGGCCCATGCCAACCTGGTCATGTAGGTGACGGAACTGGCTGTAACGGCGCAACACAAAGAAGGGTGCCGAGTCCGTTCCAGGCGCCTCTTTGTTGCCGCCGTTACTTGAGCCATCAGGACTTTGTTGCTGAAAAAAGACGTTAATTCTGTATAGCTGCGGTGGAGGAAACGAAGTGAGCACCCGGAGAAATGGAACTAGATGGAACCTCTCCTAAACGCAAACCCACCACGACATGTTCTCCGTTTTCATCTTTTCCGGTTATATACGTAGGAATATTGCAGGCGTAACGCCAGGCCATGCCCAGCCTGTAAGTTTACTCCCGGAGCAAGCTGACAAACGATCTAACACACGGCAATATTGTTACTTATGTTCTCTGGCCTATAGGATAGTTGAACATGCCTTGGCAACAACAAAGCACTTAAGGAGGAGGACGAACAGAAAGCAAGGAAGGATATGCTGCCCCGATGAAACCAGGCTTAGCCACTTGCAAAATGCCAGCTTCAGAGCCTTCCTACGCATATAATGCTACTGCAATGTGTGCATCGGAGAAGCTTGCACTGGGAGGTCGTTACATGCCGTTGGCCTGAGGGCAACCGCCTTTGCGTAAAGTAGGTTAAGTAGCGTAAGGAGCCGCAATGACACAGCCTCAGCAGTGACTCCGAGAAAACTTCTATCTTTCATAATTTATGTTACTATTGCCTTGAGGACCTGGCAAAACAGCTCTTCGCTCTGACCTCGGTTGTAACACCACATAACCCGCGCGGGCAAGTTTTACAGATCGTCCTGGCGCAAAGCGGCTCCGACCAACATGACCGAAACCAAGGAATCCTCAAGGCAGGCCCGTCTACGGGTTCTGTGTCTCCACTCTTTTCGCACCAGTGGAGCCATCTTCCAGCAGCAAGTAAGCCATGGCCGCAACGCTCCTCTCCTTGCCAACCCCTATCCTTCCTTATTGCTATCATTGCCATTTCAAAACCTATCAACTGAACTATGTAATGTATAGCTCCGGACCCAACAGAGCTTGCCGGCCATCCTTGCCCCGGTCCACACTGCACTCGTACTGCTGCCCATCGCCACAGTTAACAGAACCGCGCTCCCCTGTCTTCACTCTCTACACCCCGCGCAAACACTTTTAAATTTGCGTTGCCCAATAGCTGCAAAGAGCTGGACTCTTGGAGGCTTTGTCGGACCTGGTCGAGTTTGTAAGTTTCGTTGCCGGCTTGGCCGTGTGTAACTTGCGTACAGCGCCTTGTAAAGAGCATACCTACAGCTCTGATCAAGCCCGTAGGCCACAACGGTGATCACACTTCTAGGAATGCCTCGGATTCTGTTTGTTGACTGACTAATTGCAGACAATGCGACCAGCCACCAGGATTTCGCCGTGCTCTGGGATGTTATGAAACGTTATGTTGTTTTACGGCGATATTGTCATTATAAGAACCATTTCCTTAGCTCATGACACCGCACCTTATCCGTCATAGCCCCGTTTCGGGTGAAACTTGTCGCAGACGTTTATAGATGGGCCGCACCCTGCAAGTGGACCTATTCCCCGTGACGTACGGCCGTACTTTGGAGGACCGTACTATGAGTGGTTCACTGTGGAGTCTGTGGTGAGTTTCCCCATCTGTGTGTCTGACTGTCTACCTGCCTGTCTGTCTGTCTGTGTTCGTCTGTCCACCTGTCTGCCTCTGTGTGTGCGTGTGTATGGACAATGGAGGACACTGCAACAACGGGAAGTCGTGAGTAATAAAGGCCTGTAATGTCTGTACTGCCTGCACCGCCCTGTATTCTCGTCCACTAACACACCTCACACTTCCACCTCCACCTCCACCTCCCACCTCCTTGCGAACGCACGCAGGGCGATCGATTGGAGTTCGACGAAGTGAAGATGCAGGTGGGGGTCTGATGACCTGGTAAGGGGTGTGTGTAAGGGGGGTGAGACGTGGAGACATGGTTGCGACCCGTGGGGCCGTCTGGAAGCGCCGCTGGAGGAGATGTGGGCGGGGAGAGCGGCCTGCTAGGGTGTTACAAATTACGCACACACACACAGATACACACACAGACACACACAGACACACATACACAGACATACATACAGACACACACACAGAGACACATGCTTGCACGTGCATGTTCATGGCAGACCACTATGGCGGGTAGCTGCCCTCATCTCCCACCCTCTGTGATGCCACGACTTCAGAAAAGTACTGATCGGCGGATGCAGATACCGTGATAAGCCCCCCAGGATACTACACCCGCCCTCCCTCCGTGCCCAAACCCGAACCTCCACCCCCAGAGGTTGGGGGAAGCATCTTTTTAGTTTCGGTAACCTCTTAGCTTCTTTGGTACCTGGGGACGTACGTGCTCATTGCATTCCCTGGTCGCGCTAACCTGGTTGCACAATCCCTGCCGCCGTGCCACCGTATGACGTCACCATCGCACGGCAAGGCCTCGGAGCGCTTCCTGACGGCGCAGTTGGCCCTGCGAGGGCCCTTTGATGGTGTGATGGGCTTCTCCCAGGTGGGTGCTGCGCTGTGCTGCGTTGTGTTTCTATTTGACGACGTACTGATCACTCTGTAGTGCCAACCCCACCTCACCCGGAGCTCTCACCTAACCATTCCCCTTCCTGAAAAAAGAGAGCGCTGGCCCCAACCCACCAGAGCACAGCAGGGGGGAATTGTGCCCCTATGCTGGTCTTACTGCTGCGGCTGCACAACCGGCATAAGCCAGGTGCCTCGGGAGGCTCCTACGAGCATTTGGAAACAGTTGCGCCAAATCTGCCATCATCCCACCACCACCACCACCACCAAGCACTCCTCCTCCCTGGCAAGAGACTGACCCCCATCACGCTTCCAGACGCACACACAATGTCAGGGCAACATAGAGACATACACACGCACACACAGGTAACAAAGCCTGCACAGGGAAGCCCACTCCGCTGCCCCGCGTGCACCCCCTCCCCCCACCCCGCGGAACCCCGGGTTCGACGGCCCGCAGGGCGCCGCCATGTCGGCAGCCCTGGTAGCGCTCCAGAGGTCAGGAGTTCGACCCGAGCTCTCCGCAGTGGCGCCGCTGCGCTTCTGCATTCTCTTTGCTGGGATTAAGGTACGTGGGGCGACGGCGACGGCAGCGGCGGCGGGGGAGAAGAACGAGGAGGAGAGGGAGAGGGGAGGAGGAGGAAATATCGGTCGTGTGGAGAAAACGGAGCGAGTAGGAAATAGACCTTGCCCGCTTCTTCCCTTCGGGTGTGCTTCCAAACGTGTGAACCGGCCCCCCTCCTCCTTCTCTTTTCCCCCCTCCCACAGAGCCGTCACCCGGACCATGTGGCGGCATTCGAAGAACTATCGGGCAAGGTGCCCTGCCCCTCACTGCACGTGTACGGCGACAAGGACGCGCTGAAAAACGTGAGGATGTTGTCGTCTGTGGGCGGGTGTTGGAGGGTTGCGTTGTGTGTTATGAGGGGTCGAGTGCTGCTGCTGGCTTTTGCTTGGGCTTGGGCTTGCGGGTCGTAGTACCTTGTGGTGGTGGTGGGCTGTGCTGCTCAACGAGCGACTTGAATTAATGTGGTTGGGGGGGACGCACACACGGGGATTTCGTGTTCGTGTCCTCACACATATGTACGACACATGAGCAGCTCGCAGACCAGCACGGGGCAGAGTCCCCCATAACAGGTTCACAGTGTTATGACCTTGAGAACAATCAGTCCTCTCCCCGCCTCCTCTCCTACTCGCCCGCTGTAGCCACATTGTGTTGAGCTGGCGGACGCTTTTCAGAACGCAACTGTGCTGCTGCATCAAAGAGGTACGGATGTACGGCATTTGGTTCCCTTTCGTTCTCTGTCTTCGCCACTGGCCATTAATAGCGGGTTGGTTGCGTGTGGTGTTGTGCATGGATGACATGCGTTGTGTGCGTACATGGGAACTGCGAACTGTTGCCTCCCAGCCGCCGCGTTTGAGCGATTAGACCAGGACAGTAAGCCCAGCTAGGCCAGGACGGCTAGACAAGGATAGTAAGCAGCCAGCCGAGGCGGCAAGAAGCGCGGGGACATGTTAGGGTTGGACAGAACAAGGAGGACGTGTGTTTCTCTGCAGTGGAGGTGTTTATCACCAGCCCTTACCCCCCAAGTGGCTGAACACCTTCAACCTGGAGGGTTTACGTTTCCCAAACCCTTCCTCAACCTCCCCCCGCACCACCCCCCGCGCTACCCAGGCCACGTCATACCAGCGCTCCAGGGGGCCCAACTGGCCGTGGCGAGGGCCTTCATTCAGGCGGCAGCAGCGGCGACGGCTCCGGAACCGGCCTCTAGGAGCGTCTCCACGCCGCCATCGCCCCATCTGCTCTCAGTACAGCCGCAGGGGAATGAGCAACAGCAGCAACAGCAGCAGCAACAGCAGCAGCAACAGCAGCAGCAACAGCAGCAGCAACAGCAGCAGCAACAGCGACTGCTGCGCCAACCGACAGCTGCTGCGATGACGGCAGTAGCTACGTCAAAAGCAGGGGCTGGAAGGGACATCCCTGCTCAGCACTTCGCTACAGCTAGGGAGGTGTCTGACTACTCTGTGTTGGTTCGTGGTGGGGTACTGGTGGAGGGGGACTTAAGTTGTGGAGGGGGCCGGGGATCATGGCGACCGACTGCGGTGGTCAGGACGAAGTCGACAGCAGATTTGAGTCCGAGTCAGGGCCGTGTGGGGACCGCTATCAGCAGACTGTGACCATCCAGGCGGTACACTGGGGAGCGGAGGGAGGTGCGGGCAGCGGGTCTTGCGAGGCGAAAGTGATGATGATCGTGATGGTGATGGTGATGGTGATGATGGCAGTGATAGTGATAGTGATAGTGATAGTGATAGTGATAGTGATAGTGATAGTGATAGTGATAGTGGGGAGGACGACGGGTAGTGATGTGTGAGGCGTGCTGGGGCAAGGCGTCCTTCAAAGATGATGGGTATTCCTTGACTGGGACAAGCTGACCTAGAAACTGTGTATGTATGTATGTATGACTTAGATTACACTGTGGGCCGCGAGAGCCGGGGGCCGAAGCCGAAACACAGCGCAAGGGTCGGGAGCACACAGCACAAGTCGGTTAGTCTTGTGTGCTCCCGACCCCGACTCACACTGCCAACACTCTACGCAGCCACTCCGCAGCCACTCCATCCGGGGATGGCGCTGCAGTGAAAACACCACGAAGGGCTCTCAGGTCCCGCTAGAGCGAGTCCACAAGTCTCAGCTAGGGCAAAGTCAAAGGCTCTCTGAAACAACCCCCAAAAAACACCACCAACGACAACGGGATTCCAAGGGAAAAAAAACAGAAAATAAAAATACGGTTAGGGCAGTCCCGGCAGGGGAGGGCTCCTGATACATCTAACAAGCCAAAAAAGAAAAACCTCCAAGAAAGAATGGCTAAGAGAGCTCGACACCACAAGACGTCTTGCAGCCACCTTACAACAACTGACCCCCTCTACCTGTCCCTTCCTGGGCTGGTCCAGGGGAGAAGTAGCCATATAAAGAAAAGGGATCCCGCACAAGCCTGAACACCACTGCCGGGGCCCGGGATAGACCGGCGAAACCACAAAAGCGATAGCGTTGCCACGACACACAGCTCCTAGACCCTCCAGAAAACCGCAGGGGGAGGATTGTAGCCCGCGCGGCGCCTCCCCCTTACCGTCACTAACCTGAACGGTTGTATGTAGGTATGTATGATGTGTGGGACAGGGGGGTATATCTTCACCCGTGGCCGCTACCTGGCGAAACCCTGCCTTCCCCGGTATTTCGGGGCACCCTCATCCAGTCACCCTATTCAATTTCTGCGTGGATCGCTCAAGTTCCGCACCCACCACCAGCATCCAACGGAATCTGCCGGATCGACAGCGGCCCAACTCCATTCCTAGTCAGCCCGCAAGTTCACTTTATCCCAGGTCACCACCGTCCATCAACTAGGGGCACTTTACCTTCCACTATCGGAAGGATTTTCGACCTTGACAGGTCTTGATCCCGGGATCTCCTGGGGGCATTGGTGCGCAGTAGTGCCTGACCTGACGTGTGTATGTATGTATATAAGGCCGTACTGCTATGTGGCATGCTGTCGTGTGTCTGTCTGTCTGTCTGTCTGTCTGTCTGTCTGTCTGTCTGCACGGCGGCGCTCATGCTTCATAAACGGGACAGATCACTAAGAGGTAAAGAGACGGCAAACTTGTTGTACCTTTGCGCTTTGTCCAGCGCCTCCAAGAGCTTGCTGATATTCGTGCTACTATCCAAGTATACACACATACATATACGTACTTGCACATATATACATACATACACACTTAGTGTGGTCTGCGCACGAGGTGACAAGCACGAAACTGTGATTAACATGATCAGGCTCCGGAACCAGCATCTCCCCACAGTAGCAAACTGCACGACGCCCACACGACGTTTGTCGTACTCATGACGCATGGCCACAGCGCGTCTGACCAGAGAGAATGATTCGACCCTCACTAGATTTCAATTCCATATTCCATATCCCTCATCCAAAGCTGGTAATAAAAACACACAAGCAAATCCTAACCGACGTAAGCGCCGGTCGCAGGATACCTGCCGTACATAGCTGCTACTGCCGTACACGGCTGGGAAAGCTACTGCCCGGAGCTGCTGGCCACGGCGGCGGCACAGCTGTAGCGGTCGCACCCCAGGGAAGTGCCGGTCCCGATGCAGCTGTAGCACCCGCCGCCGCCGCCGCCGCCGTGGCCTCGCCCCTGGCGCCTTGGCCCAGCAGCTGGCTCCAGGGAGCCCTCCTACTAGCAGCAAGCGACGCACGGAGCCATGGCCAAGATGAGAAAGCCCATGCCCGCAACCGCGCGACTACTGCCACCACCGTCATACCCACACCTCTTGCCATACCAGCCAGCGCCGCCGCCGCTATCACGGCACTAGCTGCTGCAGTCGTCGGCCCGGCTGCTGCAGCACCCGGCCCCGAAACCACGACAGCCGCCCCGCGCTCCATACTCTCCGCCAGGCTTGCTGACTCATCGCCACCGTCGATGACGCCATCACTCCCGTACGGCAGGAGCCGTATGTAAGGTGTTACCAGGCGGCCCTCCAGTGCGAGACCGTACAACACACCTGCAACCACACGGTCGTACACGAGTCGTACACGGTCCTGATACTACATCATACTAGTCCGCCACCGTGCTAAAAAAACCCTTTTTAAAAAAAGACCCAGAAATCCCCGGCCTCTCTAAGAAGAGGCCATATGCCACGTCTGATCCCTCCGGCTGATCCCGGGTGGGCGCATCTCCCCCCATGGTCATCCTCGCACCTACAGCCACCCAGAACAGGAGACATGCAGTCCAGTAGGGGGTCATCCCGCGTAGTGAGCCGCTGGCCAGCAACAGCAGCGCGGCAAGGATGC